ACAGGCGCCAACCTATCAGTTCTCAAAGCGACCCACCACCATCCCTCATCTACCGCCCGATCGACCGCATTCGTCTCTTGCGAGTTCCTCTTTGCTCCAAGAGGTTCCAGGGAACGGGGAAACTCTGAGCTCCCTCCGCGTGGCGAGGTGGAGGGCGGCGAGTAGGTAGGCCCATACACAAATCAAAACAAACAAACGCGTGAACAGGGTCTTGCCCGATCGTGTAACGCGATCCGAAATCTGCAACCGCTAACTTTTTACCAACCAAACTACCTTCGACCGTGTCTGAGCAAAACGGCGTGCAGGGGCGTAAAAGTCGCCTACCGGTTGCCCAACCCCAGTGTTTGGAAAAATGACGCCCATGCTCCGCGCGGTGGGGCTGGCGGTAGGCCTGACGCTGAGTCGCTGTAGCGAGGACGTGTCGACGGGGGACGATGCGGACTATTGGGACGACGACTCGTACGGCTTCAGTGTAGCCGAGGGCTTTTGTGCGTTTCAGTGCGATCCGGCATATCTCGGCGATGGGGAGTGTGATGATATGTGCAATGTGGAGGCGTGCGACTGGGACGGCACCGACTGCTTTCATGGCTACGGCGAGTGCTACTCGCATCCGGACGGCTCCGACTACCGTGGTGCCCTCAACCACACCGAGAGCGGCTATCCGTGCCAAAAGTGGTCCGCGCAGTGGCCGCAGAGGCACACGAGGATCCACACCAACTTCCCGCACGCGGGGCTCGGTGGGCACAGCTCTTGCCGAAACCCAGACAACGAGGCGCGGCCGTGGTGCTACACCACCGCCCCGGAGACTCGGTGGGAGTACTGCGAAATTCCCCCACTGCAGCCGTCGTGCCACCACAACCCCAGCCACAGCCGAGAGGCGCCGTCGGCAGCTCGCCCCCTCGATGAGGCGGGGAGCGGGGACACGGAGCGCAACCCGTACAACCTCTCCTTCTACGGCTTCGACTACTACTCGTCGTACGACATATTCCCCTCGGTCGTGTTTGAGCGCGACATTGTCAAGGCGCTGCCGCTCAACAAGCTCATCCACGGCCAGCTCGACGAGCACACGTACGTCTTTTACGAGGTGTGGATCCCCGCCTCGCCGGCCCAGTGCGTGGCCGCCCATACCGATCCACGCTGTCAAACCGCCAGGTGGAGATTCCTCGCTCGGTCGAGCTCATCAAAGCGGTCGTCGTGCCTGGCGAGGGCGACCCGGACCTCTACGTCTCGTTCGACAACCCCTTCCCCACCGGCGCGAACTACACCTTCCTCTCCGATAACTACGGTGTCGAAGAGGTGACTCTCGGGCGGTACAACTACCTCTTCTGCGGCGCGGCGGGCGTCGAGGCGTCCTGCACGCTTCACCTCTCCATCCTCGCGTACGATGAGTACACGACTTTCTCCCTCGTCGTCTACGGCGTCGAGGACCCCACCGCGGAGGACGCGCCGTCCCTGCAGTGTGCGCCGGGCTGCGAATGGCCCTCCATTGGCGACGGAACCTGCAACCAGCAGTGCAACGTCGAGGCGTGCTTCTCCGACCGCGGCGACTGCGAGTGCGACCAGGACGTCACTCCGGACTGCATCGACGGCTGCCCCATCTCGTGCAAGCCCGAGTGGATCGGCGACCACTACTGCGACGAGGCGTGCTTCCGCGCCTCGTGCCAGTGGGATAAGCACGACTGCCTCAAGAGGGGCGAGACGCCGTGCGGTGACGACTGTCTCCCGTCGTCGGTCGGCGACGGCGAGTGCGACGCCGCGTGCAACGTCGAGTCGTGCGGCTTCGACGCGAACGACTGCTTCCACAACCACGACGAGTGCTACGAGCGGCCCGACGGGGCTGACTACCGCGGCAAGGTGGCCACCACAGAGGGCGGCTACCCGTGCCAGCGGTGGTCGGACCAGTCGCCGCAGCCGCACACGCGCACCGCCCAGCACTACCCCTACTCGGGCCTCGGCGGGCACAATTTTTGCCGCAACCCCGACCGGGAGGAGCGGCCGTGGTGCTACGTGGCCGACAAGGACGCGGGCGTCCGTTGGGAGCACTGTGCCGTCGGCGAACCCTCGGAGAGCGCTTGCGTCCAGCCACCCCCGCCGGCACCACCGCCTGCGGTCGAGGGAGCAGCGGCGGCGGTGGAGGTGGTAGGCGCATTTGTACTCGGCCTCTGCGCCATCCTCCTCCTCCTCTACTGCCGCCGGCTTAAGCACAAACGGGCGCTGCGCACGGGCAAGTTCACCCAGTATGGGGGCACGGACGACTCCATCCTGGGCAGCGGCCTTGAGATCAAGCCAGCCGTGCCCGACTCGGCTTGAGAACCGTACCCCCGTGGCGCGGCCCCCGCATGCCGAATGGTTTTAGTTTTTACCGGCGGCTCTCTGGCAGAGTCGAGAGATGGGCGAGAGTACACACACCGCCAACAGTGCGTTTCTCCAACTTTTTTGCGAGACGATTTAGAGAACAAGCCAAAAAAAAGAGCGCTGGTGATCCGCGCTGTCATCAGCAGATTGGGTACTGGGCCGCGGGCGACGAGAGGAAGAGGTGAGAGGTCTGAGGAGGGCGTTTATTAACCGTTTAACCATTAACGTTCTATTTCTGCATTCTGGGGGAGCTGACCGGGCGCCGCGCGCGCCCCACAACACACGCGCCACAAGGACAGACTCGCGCCGAGGCTCGGTCACGACGAGGCGCCGCGGGCCCACGATGCATGAGGGTAATCGTTCAAGCACACGCTTCACTCCCTGCTATAACGGGGATAACGTGGTGCAGATCATCCGATATGCTCGGAAGACTGCGTGCTGCATTTGCACAAGCTCCTCGATGGAAAGAGGAGGCTTCCTCAATTTTGCTGCGAGTTTGGCTTTGTTTTTGGAGAGCCGCATGGTCGATCGGTCATTGGCGCAGAGGCGGACAAACTTCGCGGCGGTTTCTGTGTTGATGCCGTCCAGGCCAAGCGCACAGATGCCCTCATACGCATCCTCGAAGGCGGTGTCGGGCGGGCCGATGCAGCAAGGACACCCAACAGTTGGCGCTTGCGCAGACTCGCCAGCAGCAGCGGGCGGCCCAAGCGCGGACTCGCCAGCAGCGCCATCCGCGTCAGCGACGGCGGGCCGCCCAAGCAAATACTCGGGCGTGACCCAGTGGCCGCCTGTGGACAGGCGTCCGAGCGCCATGAGCGGACTCGCGAGTCCCACAGAGACGACAGCGCGAAGGGATCGTTGTGCCTCGTAAGATCGGGGCGGTGGCAAGAAAAAGATGACCTCCACTCCCCGGCCCTGGATGTGAGGCTGCCGACTGCACTCCAAGTGCTCCAAGTGCTCTCGTGGCTGGCTGGTGCCCTTCCTGCGTGCTGGAGGAGGTGGCCTCTTGCTGTTAGGACCTGTATGGAGCAGCAGCTCTACGTGCAGCCTTGCGCTCCAAACAAAGGTCACTCGACAAGCCGCCGCCGCAGAGACAAAGACGCCCGGTGGTGGTGGTGGTGTTTGGTGGTGGTGGTGGTGGTGGTGGTGGTGGTGTGTGTGTGTGTGTGTGTGTGTGTGTGTGTGTGTGTGTGTGTGTGTGTGTGTGTGTGTGTGTGTGTGTGTGTGTGTGTGTGTGTGTGTGTGTGTGTGTGTGTGTGTGTGTGTGTGTGTGTGTGTGTGTGTGTGTGTGTGTGTGTGTGTGTGTGTGTTGGGGGGGGGGGGGCTTCTGGAAAACAGTCCTGCTGCACGTATGCTTCTTGCACTTGTGCAAGATTGGGCGTCTTCTGCCGCAGTCCCTTTGATGGGAGGCCCCAGGGTGGGGGCCACCTCGAACCCCTAGCCAGGGATTCGAGCGGAGGGTGCCCCGGATTCATCTATCCGTCGGGCCCCGGTACATTCATTAGAACTGATCACTTTGCGCAGCAGCCGTCCCTTCGCCGACTGGACGGCAGTGCGCTGCGCTGTCGCTCTGTCGAGCACGCTCTCGTGCTTCGTTGTGACGCGGGAGTAAAGTCGAGAGGCAGCCCTCGACGAGCAGTCCGGCCTTCCTCAATCTTCCCCCTCTTCAGGGATGCAACCGTCGTGGGTCCAGATTTCGCAGTGGGCCGCCATCAGTGGCCTTCTCCCGTTCTGTGAGCCCGATCCCGCTGTGGCCAGCTACTTTGACAGACTCAGCGTCCTACGGCTGGCCGTCCTGGCCGCGGCGTGGCGCCGCATCCTCGGTTCTCTGTCCAACCTCGGCGTGTTCGGCACAGTGCACGTGGATGAGGATACTTTCCGGACGGCGTGCGCCCAGGCACTGCTCTCCCGTCAAATCCCCGTGCCCGAGCTCTTCTTGCAGTGGGGCACTCCGAGGCGATCGTACCCTTGGGACCAGAGGCAAGCGCGAGCGCTGCCCAAGCGGATCGCCGGCAACTAGTGCCGCCCGCGCCTGGCGCGACCGCCTTCAAGCGCGGGCGGCCCGTGGCTTTGCTCCATCAAACGGGACAAGGCAAAAACACAGTTGCACAGATACATGCCGGCGGCGCGACTCCCCCCCCGCAGATCGTCCTCAGTGGGGGAGACCGCGACACCGGTGACGGAGCGCAGTTGGCGGGATTCACCGCCAGTGGATGCGTCATCATCTCGCTCGCTGCTCCGCCAGAGGCGCCACCTGAGGACGAGGGGTTGGAGGAGATGTCTTCCTCTTTACCCCGGAAAGGGGGCAATCGATACTCGACGGGCGGGTTCGGCGCGGCGTGAGAGCCGGAGCGAGGGGACCTCGCCATCGTTCGGCCGGCCTTGGCCTTGCCCTTCGGCTTATCTCCTGGCCGCCTGGCCTAGGGCAACGCATTGGGAATAGCGGCCGAGTCGTGGGGAGGGGTGCGCAGAGGCCTGAGCCTCAGGATCAAGGAAGACGTGTGCACATGCACAGCATGCATCACCATCAGAGGCGGGCCCGACCTCTCATCAGTGTGGCCCTGGTTCACTTGCCGCTTGCCTTCCCTGCGGCTCAATTAATTAGTCAGCTGGCGCGTAGGGGTAGGGCCATCGCGGGGCGCGGGGCTGGCGCGCGCAAAGCAAGCCAACCGCTGCCTGTGGGGGGTCGACACGAAGGTACAGTCACTGTACTCTTATACTGTCGACAGAGTGCCTGGGGGCTCTGAGAGGGTCAGGGTGGGGTGGGTGTTACGGTTTCGCGGTGATCGGTGATGTACCACATTCCACTGTCCCGGCTCCTGCGCTCCTCTCTCTTATATACACTTACACGCACAACGAATATATCAAATCATTTATAATTTATATGCCCGGATACCGATACGGCACGCACTCATACACGAAAAGCGCAGTCGATCCTCTATCAAAGAGATGGTGCAGCCGTCTCCACTGTCTCCACAACACAGGGCGCAGTTCGAAAAAGTGCCTAGCGCACACGCACGCACCCCACCGGCGCACCGGCACCGCCCACCCCACCCAACCTGCACAACCCCCCATCCCTTTCCCCCCTCTTGCTGCCTGCTACTACTACTTGCTTACAGCATGCCCCGCGGAGGCGCGCCGACTGCGGCTTGCGGCAGCGTTGGAGGGCGTGCGTTTGAGGGGGAGCATGCAGCGGGGAGAGGGTGCGGTGACTGCCTGTCGTCGAGAGGCGTCGAGTAGACGCGCCGGAGCGTCGCATCCGGCATGAGCGCCTGTGGTTGGGGAGGTGCGGCAGTGAAGAGGAAGAGAGGGTGCGGGGGCGCGTGTGTGCCGAGGCGGGACGGCGGCGTCTGCTGCTCGCCTCGGCCCAGTTGCCGAGGAGGCCGCGGTCGAAGGGGTTGCGCACGACGCCGTCCTCGCCCTTGTAGACCTGCTTGATGTGCTCGTAGGTGGTCAGGTTGCGCGAGATGAGCAGCGCCTAGTGCGAGCTCCGGGGAGGGCTCGAGCCAGCCTGGCGCGAGGCGGCCAGGCTGCGCGGGGCGAGGTGCGCGTGGAATGAGCCGAAACCGACCAGCAGCGCGCTGACGGCGGCGCAATAGAGGCAGAGCAGCATCGCCACCGGGCAGGTACGCGCCGCCTCGAGCGCCGCGCGCCCACAGACCAAAGCGGAGGGGCGAGGGAGGGGCGGCGGCGGCGGGGGCGAGGCGTCCCCGTAGTAGGCGGCGGCGGCTTCATGGCTGGCGAGACGCGAGGGCGAGAAGTGAGAAGGAGGGAGAGGGCAGGGGAGACAGGTGGCGGCGGCGCGCCTGTGCGCGTGCGGTCGGACCGGGCCGTGGTGCGGGTCGTGGTGGGCGAGGAGGGAGGCGGCGAGGAGGAGGAGGCGCGACGCGGAGGCGGTGAGGACGAGGGCGGCGTGGAGGGCCGTCGCCCACACAAAGCCAAAGAACCACCGGTAGTTGTTGTGCCCGACCGAGTTGCCGATGTAGCAGCAGTAGTGGTCGTACCGCGCCACGCACCGGTCGGTGATCCGGCAGTGGTGCGTGCGCGGCGGGCGCAGATGGACGCAAGCGGTGCAGAAGCCGTCGGGGAAGCGGCGCTGCTGCTCGAGGTAGAGGGCCTTGCCTATGGGGGGACAGGGCAAGATGTGGGGAGATATCGCGAGATATGATCTCGAGGTAGAGGCCTTGCCCTCGCGCAGGAAGAGGACCGCCTCCGAGTGGCGACCCTGCTGCGAGAGGACCGCCGCCTTGACGGCGAGCTCGTCGAGCCTACTGTCGAGCGGGCTGGCGTCGAGCAGGGCCGCGGGCATGTGTCGCGCGGGCACGTGTCGCGCGAGGAGAGAGCGGCGGGAGGAGGCGACGAGGCGGAGGAGAGGAAGAGGAGAGAAGCCCTGGGCTGCAGCGGGGTCTGCGCACCGCTCCTCAATCGCGGTGCTCACCCGCTCCACCTGCGCCCGCTGCGCCCGCTGCGCCGCCGAGACAGGAACGCCTCCGGGGTCGGCGAGGCCGGCCGCAAACATGAAGCCACTCGACGCGCCAAAGGTGAGGGCGGCGGCGAGGACGACGGGGGCGTTGCCCCACGCGACCAGGCCTGGCGCAACCTACGAGATAGCACGCCGCGCACTGAGCCGAGGCTCCTCTCCCGGCGGCGGCGGCGGCGGCGGCGGCGGTGGCGCCCAGACAAAGAAGGCTGCCGTCTCGAGCAGGATGAGCAGGAACCAGAGGACGAGCACAAGCGGCAGCCGGCACACCACGCGCGCATGCAGCCGCTGAGAGACGAGCAGGAAGCGCAGGTTCACGCGCTTCGTGCCTCCCACGATGTCGATCATCGGTATCCAGTGGATGTCACTCTTGCCGCTCAGGTACGGCTGCCGCGACGCCGGCGCAATGGAGAACTCTGTCTCTTCGCCGCGGCCCAGGAGGCCGAGCGGGTCGGAGACCTGATCGGCCGTGAGCGCCACCGAGTCGCCGTCGCGTGCCTCCGCCGGAGGCACACCCGTGCACGAGACCGCCGGGTCCGCCACAGAGAGCTGCTCGCCAGCCTCGGGATCGTCGAGCAGGCGCGTGTAGCCGCCACCGTTGTTACCAACGGGAAGCGAGTACCGCGCGGCGTGGGAGGTGGACCGGCTCCGCGCGACGGACACCGCGGTGGCCGCCTCCTTGGCCTCCCGCTCCGCCTTCTCGAGCATGCCAAGACTTTCAGCGCCAACGTTTGCCAGCGCGCGTTTCTTTTTCGTGTTCTCGAGGTAAGACGGGGAAATCCTTTGGCCGCGCGTTGGGTAGCGAGGATTGGTTTTCGTGGTAGGAATTCATCTCCCTCTTAAGGAGGTCCGCTGGTCAAGCGTGCACAAGACCCGCACCCGCTCCCGCTCCGGCGTGGGGAGTGCCAGGCGGGGCGGCGAGCGGAGATGGAGAGAGAGGGCGGTGCCTCGCTGTCGCGCGAGAGCGGCGAGAGCCAGTCTCCGAGGTCGTCTTGCTCCATAGGATTCGAACAAAATACGAATGATCCCAAAAGACACGAAACCAAAGGACCCACGGACTAATTGACATACGTACGGAGCGCGTGAATGGGGGCTACCGGCGTAGAGTGGGGTAGGCGCAAAGCGAGTGACTTTGGGGGGTCATAATGACCCCGCCCGTCTTGGTCCCTCTGTACTTCCCAACACATTACGCACCCTCCTACCTACCCGGGCAAGCCCCGGTCCAGGCGCCGGCCTGAGGCATCGCAGAATCGAGAGAGGTTCCAGTGGGAGGGCCCAACTTCAGAATCGTGCTTTTGTTGGGTTGGGTTGTGGCTGGGTTGGGTTGGTTCGTTGGGTTGGGTTTGGTTGTTGGGTTGGGTTGTTCCAGAGGGGGAGGGGTGGCTGTGCCCCCCGACTGCGCCGCCGCCCGCCCACCGGAGTCGAGCTCGAGGGCGCGGCAAGAGCCCCTTCGTCCCCGCGGGCGTAGCGAGCCCTGGCTAAAGATCGCGGCCTGTAGACGGGACGAGCAGTGCGCGACAGTGGGTGCAGGAGAGGTGATGGCAGGCGTGCGGCGCGGCAGGGGTCGCGCGGTGGGGGTGCGGGAGATGGTGGCGTGGGGCACGGCAGGGGTGGCGCGGACCCCCAGCAGCAACACTCCTGAGCCGTCGCATCGCGGCTCCTCGAGGAGAGCGGCGAGCTTGCTGCTGAGTTGACAGTGGAAGCGGACATCATCGTCCATCGCCAGCACCCGCTCGAGCCGCGGTGACCGCCGGATCATGCGCAGTAACCTCCGCATCGAGGCGAGGTAGCCCCTCTCGCCAGCAGTCAGGTATCCCGGGTCGCCGGGGCGCAGCACTTCTGTGGCTTGACCGACAGGTGCCTGCCGCCGCCACACGAGCACCGTCCGGTTTGTAGCGGTGTCGTACTCCGAATCATACTCCGCGCCGTACAGCGCCTGCCCGTTGGCAGCGAAGAAGCGGGCGCACGTGCACTCCGTGCCCCGCGAGGATGTTCTCAATCCGGAGGTAGGCCTGCAGCAACGCGATGCTCGCCTCAGCGCTCTCGGTGCGCGGTCGGCGCAGAGACGGAGGTGTGGTCCCGCTACCATCCAAGCTTCGAGCGAAGCGTGGCATGCCGGCAGGGGGTGGAGCCGCGCGCTACTGGCTTGACTACTTGGCTTGGCTACTCTGCCCGGCCGCTACACCGCCGCACGACCTGCTCGTTGGCAGGGGTTTGGTTCAGGCTGAGGACAAGGGGCTGCCGAGATTCCTCCCACTGGGGGCCGACTGACCCAACCGAGCGTCTGGTGGAGCACTCGGGCACCCAGTAGCCGTGCTCCTCGTACCAGATCGATGGCGAATGGGAGCAGGAACGTAGTTTGAGCTGCACCTGTTGACGCCCGAGGTTTTTGCCTGCCGCCCCTGCCTCCAGCAAGGACTTGAGACTGTGCGCTGACGATCGCGAGGAGGCGCTGCTGCCGTTGCCTTGCCTCAGCGTGGCGACGTCGGCCAAAGAACTTCGTGGGTCATGAAGTTGCGCGCCGTGCTCCAACCATTTGCACTCGAGACACGCAACTGTTATGAAGTTTAAGAGTCAAGGTGGCCGCACCCGATTTTGCCGATTTATTGTAGATGCAATGGAGAGTGTGTCAAAACGTCACGAAAATGCAGGGGGACAATCGACAAAATTTGGACAAGGCCGAGCGTTTTTAATCTCTGGCTCGGTCAGTCAGTGGGGCTGGGTGGGGGGGCCGAGCCGCCTCGGGGTGGCGGGCGGGCGGGCGTTTTGAAAAACAGAAAACAGAAAACAAGAGGGGGCCCGGGGGCCCAGGCCCCCCACTGGGAGTAGAAAATACGCCCAAGGGGGCCAAGGAGGCGGCGCGGGGAAGCAGCATCAGGTGGGAGCAGGAAGGATGGCGCTTAGGGTCGGCTTTGAACAAGGATTTCCAGGTTTTAGATCAGTATTGGTGTCGGCACACATCCCCACATGAGGTCAGCGGCGCGCAGCACAGTGCCTCTACTCTCGCACACAGGCTGATTTTGGCTGTGCTTTCGAGTTTATTTTTGTTTTCAGACTAGGGGGCCCAACCCCCTCAGAGGCGGCGGGCGGGCGCCCACTGACCGAGAGATATCAAAAACGCCTTTTTGCTTTTAGCTAAAACAGCGCGCATCACCACAATGTCGACTGCAAGTGTTCACAGTCGACAGTCGGAAGCTCAAGCCGCGAGGAAGCGAGCACGGCAGTCCGCCTCTGCGCGCGCCGCCACCTCGCATTCGTGCAGCTCGTCGCGAAGCCGCTCCTCCGTCGCCGCAGCCCGCGCTCGCTTAGCGAGTGAGTCCCGCTCGGCCATCAGCAGCTGCTCGGCCAGCGCGGCCTTCCGCACCTTGCCGTCGCGCACCGCCAGCGCGGCGTCGTATTCCGCCTGCCTGGCCTGGCTCTGCTGCAGGTGGCTGGCCAGCAGAGCGTCCAGCTGCTCGCCCGTCGCCGCCTTGACCTGTTCCTTGAACACCTCCTCCTCACGCGGCCGCTCCTCGATGAGCCGCCGCAGCGCGGCCTCCGCCGCGTCGCCGTCCTGCTTCAACCGCACCACTTCCTCATCGCTCAGCGCAGCGCGAGCTGCGCTGGCGGTGCGGCGGTGAGCGGGTGGCGCTGCCCCACCGGCGAGGCGGTGAGCGGGTGGAGCTGCCCCACTGGCGAGGCGGTGAGCGGGTGGAGCTGCCCCGCCGGCGCGGCGAATCGCGCCGCCCTCACCTGCAGTGCTGGGTGGTTCGCCGGCGGGCTGTCTGGAGCGGCGACCATGGGAAGGGCCGCCTCCGATAACAACCGACGGGTCTGGCGAGCTATCGAACAGGCTACGGCCATCGAGCTGGCCGTCGAGCTGCATCATGGGTGCACCGTGCTTGCGAAGCGAGGGCCTCGGCGCCAGGTGCAGACCTGGCGCTGCGAAGAGGAGGGCAGCGACGGCGCACATGTGCAATGGACGCGGGCACTCGGTCGCTTGTGCTCTCGCACTCCACCGCTGCCAGCAACTCAACCAGGGCGTGCAGATCAGCAAAAAGAAAAATCCGCGCGCGCCGCTCCGAAGGAGGGAGACCACTGCGAAGAGAGATAGACTGAGGCAGACGCCGCGACGGGCCGACTAGCACCACACTGCTCTCCTTAGAATCATAAATGTTAAACGATCCACCTGGCTCTCTATCTAGATAAAGACTGTTGCAAAAAGTCTGCGGTGCAAAACCCGCCTAAATGAAACTGCGAAAAATGCTGTGACGGCCAGCTCGAGAAAAAAAGTGACGTAGAGCGCCCACTTAAAGCGTTCGCCGCATACACAAGGTCCGCCTGCGTGCGGCGCCAGCTTCTCAGGGCCATCGCGCGAAAAACGACGGAGGAGATGCATCCTAGCTGTCGCCACCGAAGGCGACTCGACGCCGCTGAGATCGGAGATCAAGATCTGACAGGTCACACGTCGCTCCTTTGACGCCGACGTGACTCGCCCGTGCAGAGCACATCAGGACACGGTCTCGACGCGCTCGGTACGACGCCTGCGACCCGTCTCGGGTCAGGTGGCACGACGCTCACATCGCGCCTGCCAGCGCTGCCATGCAGGCTGCCACGACGAGGTCGAGCACGCTTCTATACGCTCGCCCAGCCTTCCTTTCCATCCCATTAGGCAGCCTGGGAACAGTGGCGGTCAGAGGCAAAGCCTACGAGGGGTGGTGGAACCACATGTCACGGCCACCGCCGGCTCGACGCGACGACAGCCTCCGGAGGCTGACTTTGAGGCACCATCATCGGACGACGTCGACGAGTTGGGTCGCTCTCGCGGACCGGCAGCCAGGTAGCCCCCCATACTAGTAGCACCAGCCATGGCCTCAGGGAGCGCGGGCGAGGGCGCTGGGAGCAACACGTGGACAAAAAACATTAAAATTCACCCGTATTTAGAGGGTGCGGTGCGTCCTAATCTAAAATCCGAGGATTAAGGATTCAGGCATCGCTTCAGTGAGGCCAAAGTGAGTTTATGGATGTGTGAGAACGGTACGGGACACGAGGAGGCACGCGGACCAACTCGTCGGCGACTCTGCTGCACGCCGTTTCAGAATTTTTCTCAGCGTGAGCGAGACGTGGAAGAGTGCCACCGTCGGGTAGGACGGGTCGGCCCGGAGCATCAGAGTAGCCGTCGTGGTCGCGGCGAGCAGCGCCGGCCACTCCGGCGCCGCGTCGGCAACATGTGAGCATGTCCACCGCCACTTCGCGGTCGCAGCGCTGTTTGTCGCCCAAAACGCCGCTGATCCCTCTGGCGGGCCAAAGATCGACTCGCATGTCGATTTCGACGCGACGGGCGCATGGAGGCATCACGTCTCCATGCGCCCGTCAAGTCGGAGCCAGTCTGCGGCGACCACAGCGCTCACCGCAGGGATCGGCGAGCTTTTCAGAGTCAAGCGATTGCGCGAAATCCCACACTCGTGGATTTTGGTACGCACCGCACCCCCTACCGTATTTGCAACTTCAACTATCCCTTGCCCGTGTGGCGTTGGGTCCGCCGGGAAGCGGGTGCGGGCTGTTTTCTTTCTTTCTTAGGGACACAGTGCCATTCAACCGCCACAGCCCGCGCCCACAGAATATGAGAAACGGAACGCATCACTCAGCCGCTCGTGAGAGCAGAGGTTTGCGGACCGCTGGTGCGGCTAGCTAAGGCCCGCCACGCAGCCACGCTCCGCGGCTCGCGTCTAGACGTCGGCGGGCTGGTTGTCGAGGGTGTGGTTCCTCTCGAGCTCCGCGAACTCGGCGATGAGGTCGTCGATGCGCTTGACGCCGTGCACCTGGCGGGGAGGATAGCACTCATCAAAGACGAGTAAGTGCGAATGCACATCTACTAAGAGGCACCTGGTTGTCCCGCGTGCGCACGTTGACCGTGCCGTTCGCCTCCTCCTCCTTGCCGACGACGAGGATGTAGTTGTACTGCGCGAGCTGCGCCTCGCGCACCATCTTGTTGAGCGTGCGGTGGCTGTCGTCCAGGTCGACGAAGTAGCCCGCCTTCCGCACTCGTTTCTGCACGGCCCTCGCGTACTCCTCGAAGGCGGGCGAGACGGCCATCACCATCGCCTGCCGCGGCGAGAGGAAGAAGGGCCACTTGCCGGCGTAGTGCTCGATCAGAATGGCCATCATCCGCTCGACCGAGCCGAGCACTGCCCGGTGCACCTGGAGGAGCGGCGCGAGTGGCGGCTGGTGCAGCGGCGTTTGGTGCAGTGGCGGCTGGTGCAGCGGCGTGTGGTGCAGTGGCGCGGCGTGCTGTGCGCAGGTCGCGCGGCTCGGCGGTCCGGGGCTGGGGCGTGGCACCAGCACGGGCCGCTCCTCGGTGGCGACGGCGGCGGCGTCGCCCTCGGTGGTGGCGGCCGAAGTGCCGGTCGTGTACTTGAGGTCGAAGCGCATGGGCAGGACAAAGTCGAGCTGGGCGGTCGCGCACTGGTGCGGCCGCTTGAGGGCGTCGTACACCTGGACGTCGATCTTCGGCCCGTAGAAGGCGCCGTCGCCCGGGTTGAGAGTCCAGCTCTGCCCCGTCTTTGCGGAGAACTCGTTGAGGGCCTCCTCCATGAACTGTTCGGCCTTGACCCACGTCTCGGGGTCGCCGAGCGCGTTCTTGGGCTTGGTCGACAGCTTGAGGGAGAAGGTCATGCCGAGGTACTTGTAGACGGTCGCGATCATGTCGAGCACGTTGGCGACCTCCTGCTTGATCTGCGAGACCATGCAGAAGATGTGCCCGTCGTCCTGCTGGAAGCGGCGCACGCGCGTGAGGCCGGTGAGCGCGCCTGCGGGGCGCGGCGTGGACATGTCACTGGGACGCGTCCTTGGGCGAGAGCCGGTCTCGGCGGGGGAGGCTCGCCCGAGAGCTCGTTGCGGTGCAGCACGCCGAAGTCGGCCATGCGGAGGGGCAGCTCGCGGTAGGAGCGCTTGCGGTGCTTGAAGAGCATGCAGTGGGCGGGGCAGTTCATCGGCTTGAGGCCAAACTCCTGCCCCTCGACGTCGAGCAGGAACATGTTCTCCTTGTACTTGGCGGCGTGGCCCGACGTCTCCCACAGCTTGAGGTTGAAGATGTTTGGGGTGATGACCTCGTCGTAGTCGCGCTCGAAGTACTCGGCCTTGATCATGTTCATCAGCTTGTTGTAGATGCGCGTGCCGTGCGGCAAGAAGAAGCTCGAGCCGGGCGAGACCTCGTCGAAGAAGAAGAGCTCCTGCGCGAGATGGCGGGACGTGTCATGGACGTGTCACGCACGCGGCCTGGGCAGGGGCGGCAGCAGAAGGGCTCCTGCTGCAAGCCGAGCCGGCGGTGGTCGCGCTTCGCTGCCTCCTCCTGCGCGCGCGCCACAGCGGCTGGTGAGCGCTTTGGAGGGGTGGGTCGGAGGGGTAGTGCGTGCCCTCCTGGCGTGGCGAGGCGTGGGAGGCTGCGTGCGGGCGCGGGAAGCTCGCCTGAAGTCGCTCCCATGCCCTCAGCTCCTTCTTGTCTGGGAAGGAAATGCCGTACACGCGCTGCAGCTCGTCGTTGCCCGCCTGGCCGAGCCAGTGGGCGGTCGAGTTTTTGGTCAGCTTGAAGGCCTTGACGCAGCCCGTGCTGGGGAGGTGCGGCCCCTTGCAGAGGTCGATGAAGGGGCCGCAGCGGTAGACGGTCGTCGACGAGCCGTCCGGCAGCTTGGACGAGATGAGGGCCTTCTTGAAGGGGTTCGCCTGACGAGTCGAGCATGTGTGAGCGGTTGGAGGACTTGAGCTGGGCAAGAGGCTCGAGGGGCTTCGCCTCGAAGATGCGGAGGCACTCCTCCTTGCTGACCACCACGCGCTCGAAGGGCTGCTTCTGGTCGACGATCAGCTTGGCCCTCGACTCGAGCTGGCCCACCTTCTCCTTGTCCACCGCCGCCTCCCCCATGAACGAGTCGTAGAAGAAGCCGCCGTCCGTCGGAGGGCCGTGCGTCAGGTGGGCGCCTGATGGGATAGAGACAGGTTGAAAGACAGGAGGAGGAGCAGAGTGGAGGGCGGTGAGTCAGGCGGGCGCCGAAGAGCGACTCGAGCGCCTCGCCGAGGATGTGCGCCGACGAGTGCCTGCGGACGCGGCGCAGACGGGCTCAGCCTCCGCCCCTCCCACCATACGCGCCGGCCTGGGGGAGGGAGGGAGGGAGGGAGGGAGAAGGAGGGAGGAGGAGGAGCCGGCGCCAGAACGTGATTTGCCCCTCCGCGTCGCCAAACTTGTGCAGCTTAAGCTCGCACGAGCCCTCGAGCGGGCGGTTCAGGTCCCACAGCTCCCAGTCTTCGGAAACCTCGCCCTCCTCCTCGTCGGGACCGTTTGCCATCGCGACCATTCCAGCCTCCAGCGGCGACGGCAGCCGCTCGCCCTTTGCGTACGAGACGCTCGCGACGCAGCACGCCTGCGCCAGGCCCTTGGAGATGGCGGTGGCGATGTCGAGCGGAGAGGTGACGAAGGCGGTCGCGGGGCGGGTCGAGCCGTCGGGCAGCGTCACGGTGATGGGCGGTTTGGCGACCGACTCCAGGAGTGCAGCTTGCCTCGCCACGACCGCCTCGAGCACGTCGTTGCGGCTCTTCACCCACGCTGGATCGGGAGCGGGCGAGAAGCTGCCGCCGATGCGCACACCTGCGTCGGTCACTTTGCCTCTGGAGCTGGCCACTGCGCGGCCGCCCTCCTTCCGGCCGTGCGTGCTTGGCGAGGGTGCCGAGGCGCTGCCCGCGCACTCCATGCTAGGCGGAGCGGATACGTCCGACATGGGCAAATTTGAGTTGCTTTGCAGAACTGCTCGAGCGCGCGGTGGTGTGCGGTGAGCTGCGCTCCTCCCGCACGTCGCACAGCTACGAGCTCCGCGTCGATGATGTGCTGCGAGGCGCCCCAGAGAAGGGTGCTGAAAGCTGCACTCCTATCACGAGAATGTTTACCTGGCGAGCCAGGAGCCACCCAAGTGTGTGGTGGCGGCGTGCCGTCCTCCCATCCCTCCCTTGGGTTGTCTGTTTTCTTTCTTTCTTTCTTTGAGCCACCCAAGACGCACGCACAAGCAAGCACAGACAGTCAAGAAGGGAGAGACAGCAACGACAGTCAGAAGGCAGCGCTGGGACATAAAAAGGGCAGCTTGCTTAGAGTGTGCAATCGTTTGACTCCCCGGGGGACACGAAAGAATTTTACAACGAAACTCTCTCGCACGACACTGGGCACGGGACTGGCGCGCACGAAAGAACACGCGCACGCCCTCACACACATGACAAGCGATCCCACGACAGCGATTGTGGGGACTACATGATCCGTACGTGAAGGGTGGAGGGGCCCGTCCGCAGAGCTAGGCGGCGTGGGCGCCCCCCACCCACTGGGGCCAGGGGGATCTGCCGCTTGCTTGTTCTTGACGTCGTTGACGCCACCGCCGCCATCCATGGAGATCTGCTGCGTGTGGTGGACGACAAAGGAGGAGGCGCTCGCCGACGCCGCCCCATACACCGTCCGGTCCGTGTTGGTGCCCACCGCTTCCTTGGCGAACACGTGGAGGAACTGGTTGGTGGGCGGCGCAATGCCACCCAAAGTTTCCACGAGCACCAGCCGCGTTATGGCTTTCTTGACCCACTTCGCGTCGTAGTACTGCGCCCCCATCCACTTCCAGCCTCCATTCTTCTTGACCCACCGGGTCCATACGCGTGGTCTTTGACCCCTCCCTTTCCAGTCGAGTGGTCGAGCGGTCCGTCCACCTGACGGCCACGCTCCTTGCACCCCACGACCCCCGGTCAACGCCTTGTCTAGCGTGTTTCCAAACCCGTAGAGGTGGCCCACCGACGCCACATTGCCACCATTGTCCCACGAGCCCCTCCCCGCCGTCGTCGACTTGATGAGAGAGTTCCAGCACTTGACCTCGTAATGCACGTCCCGCATCGTGGCGAAGTCGCCGCCGAGCTCGCAGATGTGTTGTCAGCGGTCACGGACGTGTCGTTGAGGTGCCGCGTCACCTCGGGCTTTTCCTTGTCCCCGAGGATGCTGCTGCCAACCGAGCGTGCCCGGATGGCATTCTGGGCGGCCCTTAGCACCCCGTTGTGCTTGGAGGTGCGGTCGCCCTTGTTGGAGTTGGCGAGGGAGTCGCCCTTGCGCTCTCCCACCGTGACGTGCTTGCCCGCGGCGGCCTGCTCGTACGACGAGAGTGGGCGCAATCACCGACAAGTAGAGCCCGTGCCTGCGCTGTATCGCCGTCAGGAACATCGCCGACACCATCTTCGTGTGGTGGAGTCCATCAGGGCGCATGTCGAGCCATCCAGCGGCGCCGAACTGGGAGATCGAGATGAAGCGAGTCGCCTCCCTGAACTTGATCGCCTCCGACTGCGGCGTGTTTTCGTCGATCTCCTCGCACGCCGCCAGGGCACGCGATCCACGCTTCGTGGGCCCCGACAGCAGCGAGTGTGCCCTGTTTCGGGACTGGAGAGGTGCTCTGCTGCGTGAAGAGGTGCCAATAGGCGGGATGCGCTGCGCCGACGGCAAGCATGGACGGACAGAAGCGGCCAAGCTCGTACGTGTGGCCGAGGCCAAACTCCTTGTCTTGTGCACGCTAGATGCGCGCGACATCGCCACGCCGTTGGCTGATGTCATTGTAGTGCTGCGCAAAGTGCTGCAGCATCGGCACTGTTTCTTCCCCTGGGGAGAGCGGCATGCATGCGCGCATGCTGCCCCGCAGTGCGACGGTGTCACGTAGGGACGCTGACGGGTAGACCGAGAGGACAGCGGCCGAAATGCTCGCATCCGCCGTTTGTGCGTGCCCGCCGAGGCCGCAGCCACCGAAGCCCGAAGCGCCCGTCCTGCTGGGCCTCCAAAAGAATAAAAAAACGCGGACAGGGTGCTGAAGGGCTGCATCGTAACACGGTGAGCTCTGCCCGGATGTCGAGCCACACGGAGGGGGTGAGCGCGCTCCCGAGCGAGCTGTGGCAGATTATTGCCCAGCATCGCCCGTCGACCTCGCGATCACTTCGCAGCATTGTCGCCTTCGACCGGCGCACTGCTGCAGCGACAGCGATACAACTTGGGTGGCGGCGAGCCGCTCTCGTCTCGCGATGGGCCGAGCCAGTGGGTGGCGTGCACGGCTCGAACAGGGAGAAGTTGCTCTCTTTTCCGTTCATCGCCGACGTGTCGCCCAGCCGCCGGTCTGTTTACTTGGAGGGGGGCGGCGGTTTCCGCTTCTGGGCCGCGCATGCCTGCACGAAAAGAGAGCCTCCGCCGCAGCCCGCGCGGCCGCTGACATTCCTCCTCTTGCTCGTCTTGCGTGCCGATGCGAGAGGGAAGCTTCCCGCGTCTGACGCTGTGAGCATGCGGGTTGTTGGGTTCGAGCCCGGCGAAAAGGGGTACGAGAGGCTGCCTCTGCACCCCGCTCGGCAGCACGAGGAGGAGGAGGAGGACTCGGTCGACAGTCATTACGACGAGCGCACGACGGAGCAGCTCGACTTGGACCCGGAGCTGGACGACACGGGCCACACGCCCTCCTCGGCTTGCGTCACGACCGAGTGGGCCTGCTTCGACAAGGTCTTCAAGAGGGGAAGCTCGACCTCGATGGTGAAGACGCTGATGCGCATCGAGGTGCACGCCGGCGCAGCTGCAGGTGCCGATGGGGGCGGCGCGCCGTTCGCGCTCTTCCACCTGGAGGACGAGTTTGTGACGCGCGTCCATCTGCCCGCAGTCAGCGCTCGCGCGCAGTACCGCTTGATCGTCTCCCTCTCGTACCGCGGTTACGTGCGGCTTCTCTCCCCGGCGCAGGCGGCGGCCATCGGCGGGAGGACCCAGGAGAGGTGTTTGTGATATGATGTGGGTTTGTGATATTTTTGAGGAGCACTTGGAGCACTTGGAGTGCAGTCATCAACCGCACATGCCACATCCAGGGCCGGGGGCTAGGCCTAGGGGGCCGGGGGGGCCGGGGGGGCCTAAGAAGCACACAAATAAATAAATAAATAAAAACGGTCAAACTCTGAGACGAGATGGGATTTAGGGACATGTGTCCCCGCCCTGCACGATCTTGGTGTGAGGGATCTTCAATCCGTCCCCTCACCCCCTGGTCACTACGGTTTACCCGACACTAGAAGAGCAGCAAGAGTTGGGGCTGCGACTACGGCTGCGGCTGCGGGAGGGGCTATGGTCGCGGGAGAGCCGCTGCGCCGCGTGGGCGCGCCTACACCGCGCTTGCTCCGCTCGCCACCTCTCGCAAAGGTCCAAAGTCATAGCACACATTAGGGTTGCCTAACGTTAATTTGGGGCCTAACAGTTGCGCTATTGTTGGCTGAAATCCTTAACTTTGTTCAAGTGTTCACCCCAGCCCATGCTGTTACTGTTTGTTACTGTTGTTACTGTTGCTGATCTGTTGTTCAGCGGCCAGCGCAAGCAGAAAATGGCAAAAAAACCGGGTAAACCCCGAAAATACCTGGATTTTTCCGGGTCATTTTCGGCTATTACCCGCACTGGACACTAGAGATCGTCGTGGGTCACTGCCAGGCCTTCCTTACTGTTGTTCAGTCCGTGCAAGCCCCACCCGGGCGGCGGGTGGACCAAGGGGCGTTCCGCCCTGCTTGCTCTAGGTGAAACGTCTGAGGGCTCCAGCCGGCCGAGAAGGCCCCACTATCCGAACTGTCATCAACCGGTATGGAGACGAGTGGGAGGTCGGCGATGGACATGTCGGGGGCACTGGCGGACTGGTCGAAACGACCGTTGTGGACGCTCCCCCGCCCGCGGTCGCGCCGTCCGCCCTCGTGGACACCGTCGGCGCCGCCGCCGTGACGAGGAATGAGAGTGTAGGAGCCATCGATGTGGAAGATGACCCAATCATCGATGTACTCGTAGACAGTCTCGTAGGGGCGAGGTTCGACAGAAGAGGCTGCTATCCATCGCTGCCGGACGCAAGGCCAGACGTGGGCATCCTCGACTCCGTCGGCTCGAGCAGCAGCGTAGGCGATGTCAAGCTGACAACGCCGGTCAACAGCAGCGGCGCAGTCGACGGGAAACAGGGAGCAGGTAAGTGGGATGCGCCCATGCTCTGAAGTGAGTTCTTTGACTAATGTCACACATGTTGGGAGACTGATGGGTCAAAAGCATAGATCGTCAATCGATCGACGCGTCGCGCCTTTGCCGATCCGCATAGTGAGGTTCTTGGCTGGCGCGCCCCACAGCTCTTCACAACGAACCTGGTTCTCCCCTGGCGAGGTACTTCCAGCCTGCTGTGGGAACAGCTGACGCAGTCTCGGGTCCCCGGGCAAGGGGGGACCCATAAATAAAGAAATACAACGGACATCCCAAGCTAGGGGGGACCCCGTGAGGTTCGCCGGGTTGTTCCCTATTATTCCCAGGGCTCGCGCTCTCTCGTCCTGCCCGCCCAGAAAACGGAGACCGCGGCGCGTAGGCTAGCCTGTGCGCCCGATCGCCAGCCTCGGTGCGCCCGACGAGGCGTCTGCGCCCGATGAGGCATCTGCGCAGCCGTCTAATTCTCGTGATCGCCGCTGCGAGAGCCGCGGCGCTGCAGTGGCCCGACGCCTTGCCGGCACAACCAGCTCTGCTTGAGCGCGCACTCGCCGCCGCTACCGACAGCGTCGCCCCGGCCAGGCTCGCCGTGGCTGGCCACGTCACCTCGCGCCGTGTGCTCGGCCGCAATCTCGCCTTCGTCGACATCGAGTCGCTCGGCTCCAGCTCCGGCGGCCGTCTGCAAGCCATCCTGCGATCGACAAACGGGCCTGGCGCAGTGCCACGGCCCGAGGTCATTGCGCCGGGCGCAAGAGTCGCGCTGCTCGGCCGGCCTAAGCTCTCTCCGCGCGGCTCGGCGCTCCTTGTCACCGAGGAGGCCAAGCTGCTCACCGCAGCACCATCCGAGCACGGCTGCCGAGCCACCCTCACAGCGCTCTGCGAAGGCCGGATCAGCGTCGAGGCGTGCACGCGCGCGCTGTCGCCCGCGCGTGATGGCGATGCCAGCCGGAGCCTCGAGCGGCTGGTGCGCCTCGCAGCGTCCGGAGCTGTGCCGCATCCAGACGACATCGCCTCCCTCGTGCTTGGCATCCGCAGCACAGCTCCGGCCGCCGCGGTCGCTGCGGCGTGCGGCGTGCCACCGTCGGCAAGCGGTGACGACGCATCCGAAGCAGCCTCGATCGAGCGCGCCGTCAGCGCGGCAGCCGCGACGCTTGCGCATGCTGCAGGCGTGCCCGCCCCCAGCGCACCCGCCCTTTCTGCCGCCGCCGCCGCCGCCGCCGCCGCCTCCTCCGCCGGCGGGGCGGGGTCTGGCGACAGCGTCTCAGTGTTCGTCGAGGCCGAGGTGCGGGGCCGGCGTCGCCTGGGCGGGGCAGCTCTGGTCGACATGGAGGACCTCGAGCCACGAGCGGAGTGCGGGGGGGGCGCCGCGACCGCACCCGACGCAGCGTCGCCGCCGCCCACGCCGCTGTTGCTGAGGGCGGTCCTGCACCGCTCGCTCTTTCGCGGCGGCGGGCGAGGCAACGCCACGGCGCGCCTCGACGTGTGTCGTTCCCTCGCGGCGCCCGGGGCGAGGCTGCACGTACGGGGCCTGCTCCGCCCGCCGCCCGCCGCGGGGTCCCCGCCGCTCCTCCTCGTGCTCGACGCGCGCCTCGTCCGCTGCGCCGGCGCGCCTCGAGCCGTGCGAGCAGCCCTCTCCGCCGTCCTCGACGGCTCGCTCGACGAGGGCGAGGGCGCGGCCGCGCTCCTCGAGCCGTCGCAGGGCGAGGGCCTCCGCGCGGCGCTGCAGGCGGAGGTGCAGGCGGACGGCGCCGACGGGCTGCGGTGGCGCGCTGCCGAGGTGAGCGCGCGGCTGCAGCGATTGCGGCCCTCCCCGTCGCTCGGCCGGTCCGCGCTCTTCCCTCGAGAGGTTGCGGCGCTCGAGGCGCTCGCGCCGCTGAGGCGCCGCTACCCGCTCCAGCGCGGCGGCGCCTCGCCACAGGTGGGGCCGCCGCCTCGCGCCGCCGCCTCGCCCGCGCTGGCGCCGCTGCGCCGCGGGAGGAAGGGGTCCGCCTGGGCGGCGAAGAAGCGGCCGCAGGTCGAGTTCGTGGCGTCGCTCGTCGCCGAGTCGCTCGCGGCGCACCCGGAGTGGGGTCGGCGGCCGCTGCACGTGCTCGAGGTGGCGGGGGGCAAGGGCGCGCTCGCCCGCCACCTCGCCGCCTCGCTCGGGCCGGAAGTCTGCTCCCCGCTCGACATCGACGCCGCCCGGGCTGAGCAAGGCATGAGCTCGACGCGTTGTCTACTCAGGCGCTCCGCGTCACGCTCGTCGACATCGACGCCGCCGCCGTCGCCTCCGCCCGCCGCGGGGCGCCTCAAAACTTGCGCTGCGTCGCCGCCGACGCCTCGCTCCTCGGCGAGGAGGCGGGCGGCGAGGCGGGCGGCGAGGCGGGCGGGGAGGGAAGAGGGCTCGCGGTTGGTCGCGTGGACATGGTCGTCGGCCTGCACGCTTGTGGCGGGCTGTCCGACCTCATCATCGCGCTCGCCGTCCGCCACGCCGCCGCGTTTTGCATTTGCACTTGCTGTTTCCTCTCGCACCCGCACATGCTGCTGCCCGCGCCCCACGCCGCCGCGCCGCGTCTCCGGAGGGAGGAGTGGCTCGGCCAGAGCGGCGACCAGCTGCGGCCGCTGCTGCAGCTGGCGGAGCTGCAGGGCAACGCCGACGCGGCGCGCCTCGCCTCGCACTCGGTCAACGCGCTGCGGGCGCGCGCCGCGGAGGAGCGGTGGCGGGTATCGAGGCTCGGCGCGACGCCGCTGCGCGTGAGCCTGCGCTCGTTTGACGCCAAGTACAGCCCTCGGAACTTGTGCATGATCGGGCGGGTGGAGGAGGAGGAAGGACCGGGCCTGGGGAGCTCTCGACTAACTAAAGCACAAGAGCCGCATCCGGCGCACATACACACGATGTAGCGTGGTATCTGTGTGTAGGTGTGCATAAGAGCACAGAGTGCAGAGAATATCGTGCGAAAAAAAGAGAATAAACCCTGAGCCAGGACTTTGCGGAGATCAGCAGGAGGATGTACGTTGTACGAAGAGATTAGGAGCAAGCAGGGGGACCCCTCGACGCGAGGGACCAACTGGAAGACGGCTAGTGCTAGTCCCCCATCGGGAGGACGACCCCGGCTAGTCGCCGACCACACCCACAAAGAACCCTGCACAAAGATCGCAAGGGCGGGGACCGTTCCTGTTCCTTTTTACCCATCTCACAGTAGAGGGCGTCCTTTTATTCTAGTATGTGGGTTCATAGGACGCAGGTCTTGGCAGCCGCACGGTTGTAAGTCCCAGCGGCCTTTACCGGTAGCGCCGGGACGAGCCGGGACTTGTTGTAAGTCCCAGAGGGGGGGGAAGCGCTGCGGGCTGCTGGCGCACCGCGGCGGCCCTCATCCGAGCCGTGGTGCCCAGAGACGGAGCGCCGCGGGCCGCGTCGTCACCGTAACCATGTGTGGCCTCGCCCGACGGTCCCTCCCCTGGCCTTGCTGTGTGTGCGCCTCCCCTCGCCCTCGCCCAATCGCAACCGGTCCGCCTCCGCTTTCCCGCAGGCCAAAGTGGTCCAAGAAGTCGCGCTCGCGCAAGTTCTGCCGCGAGCGCATGCGCTTTGCCCCGCCGTACTCCAAGAGGACGCAGATTGGTCGGCATCAGTGGATGACCTACTGCCCGCGGCACGACAAATGCCAACACCGGCGGTGCATAGGACTAGCTACATGTCCAGCCCCGGCCGGCCCGGCGCCGGCGCGCTCTCGCAGCAGCCTTCTCGCCGTCTTCCCCGCACTCGCACGAGGCATGGCTGGCCCCTCGATAGGCGCCGCTGGTGCAAGCGACCTATGCCAAAGCAAGTGACGAGGCGGAGATGTACATTGTGCCTGTGATCGTGGTTCCTCGCAAGACAGCAGCATGATTCGGTTCGCGCTTCCTCCCCCCTCCCCCCTCCCTCCCGCGGCCCCTCCTCGATCCACCTTCTCGCCCGTCCCCCGCCTCGCGCCGACTGTGCTCCTCAAGCCCTCCCGCGCCGCACGGTGGCCTCGTCGCAGATGGTTGCCTATGCGGTGGTGAGCGCCGTCGCGGCGGCCGCTGCTCCTCCGCCTCCTCTCCTCCCCGAGGCACCCCTCTCCCTGAAGCTTCCCGGAAGGCGTCCTCATAGGCGACGCTGCTGCTCGGCTTCACCGGCGCGCACCGCCACACAGCCACCCGTCCTTTCCGCCGCCGAGGGCCCCCGCGCGCTTCCACCCCAGCGAGAGTGGCGCCTTACCTACGGGGGGCTGGCCCCTGCGTCTTAGCAACCGGTGGCCCTACAGGCGTCATCATGGTCAACGCCTCGCGGACCAAGGAGGTGATGGACGGCAAGCTGGCGTGGCGGCTGCTGCCGATGCGGAGGATGCACTCGCACCAGCTCCGGCTGCAGTGCCTCCTCTTCCTCTGCGCGACGCGCATGGCCCTCGACGCCGCCATCTGCCTCCTCACGGCTCGGCACGGCGGTGCGCGCCCTCGCCCGGCCCTCAACCCCCCTGGCCCTCCCCCTCGAGGAATAGAGCGCTGCACGCGAACCCCCCCCCCCCGGCACCCATCCCTGCAGGGGAGCACACCCACCTCCTCGCCCTCATGCTGCTCGTCGAGTCCGCCATCGGCAACGGGCTCGAGCCGCTTGCCCTCTTTGTCCTCTTCGGCCTCGCCGAGGGCGTCTTCGACGGCGCGCTCATCAAGTGGATCGCCTCGCTCTGCGACTCGCTGTTGCTATGCCGCCGCCGGCCGCGCAGCTTCCACGCCGAGGAGGTGATGGACGCCGTGCGAGAGGCGGCCAGCACGACGGGGTACCACGTCATCACGACGCCCGCTAGAGCAGCGCGCCACACCGCCGCCAGCCGCATCACGCAGCTCGTGGCTGCCAACCGCACGCAGCGGCGCTCCGCCTCCCTCCGCCCGCCGTTGCGTGCCGAGGCGGCGGACGCCCGGGGCGCCTCGCTGATGACGTGGCGGCACAACCCGGCTACCCCTCAGCTCTACCAGCGGCAACGTTCGCGATCCTCGGTCTAGTCGTCTAGACGGCCGTTGGGTGAACGCCTCTCTTCACGACCAGTTCGCGGTGGAATCGTATGCTCCCGAACTAGAAAGAAAACACCAGCGGCTCTCCGTGGCTTTGCAGCAGCAGGCGCTCGCTTCCCCACAGCTCTCACGGAGCCATCGCTGCAACGTTCGTCCGACTGCCCCCCTTCCACCCATCCGCACCACCTGGCCGGCCGCCAACACTGGAACCGGGCTGTGGGCTGCCAAGCCCAGCCCCCGCGCGAGCCGCCAAGAGCTCGTCCCCTGCCTCGGCGGGTTGCGGCCGCGCGGGGGCGTCGTGTACGGCCCGCTGTCGCCCCCCAGACACGTCGCACACCCCACGGCGCCCGTCGAGGAGTCCGCGGGTTACCCCCAGGGGGCGGTCGTTTGCTGCGCGGAACCGTGCGCTTTACCGCCCGCGCGCGCTCCCTCCAGGCAGCCATGGCCAAGTCCACGAACCACACGGCGCACAACCAGTCGTACAAGAACCACCGCAACGGCATCAAGAAGCCGTTCGCCCTCAAAAAGGGGCAGAGGAGGGCGCTCAAGGGGGTGAGCCGAGCCCCTCCCTCCCTAGCGAGGCCCCCCGCGTGTTGCGCGCACCCCTGCCCCTGCTGGGAGCAATGGAGTCGTCTGCTGACAGCCCGCCGCGCCCCGCAGATGGACCCAAAGTTCCTGCGCAATCTGCGGTTTGCCAAGAAGCACAACGGCAAGGGGCGCGAGTCGGAGGAGTAGAAGCAGGCACTGCTGTGTTCTGAGAACACTGCAAAAACCGGCGCGTTCATGTTTGTCGTGGTCATATATCCTAGCTGAAAACCTGCGGCCTGGCGCGGCGCCGTTTCACCATACTCACCCACCCCCCGCCACAAGTCCAGCGCCTCCGGACGCCCGCGCCCGCCCGGCCGCCATGGCCCAAGTGCCCGCCCCCGCCGCCCCGGGCCCCCGCCCCGGCCGCCCGCGCGGGCCGGCGCGCGGGTGGCCGGGGCACCGGGCGCCGCGCGCGCTGGCCCGCGCCCCAGTGCGCAGTGACCCTCTCTCTCTCTTCTCTCCGCTCTCTCTCTCTCTCTCTCTCTCTCTCTCTCTCTCTCTCTCTCTCTCTCTCTCTCTCTCTCTCTCTCTCTCTCTCTCTCTCTCTCTCTCTCTCTCTCTCTCTCTCTCTTTCCGCCGAGCCTGGAGAGGCGGCAGGCGCGCGCGCGGACGAAACGCGCCCGCTCTTGCCTCTGCATGGCGCGCGGACGAAACACGCTCGCTCGCTTGCCTCTGCATACACCATACTCCCCACAACCCACCCACATAAGGACAAGCACACTTGCTTGGAACAATGAAAGAGAGAGAAAGTGCCGCAGTCGCTTGGATGGGCGGCCCCTGGGTGGGGGCCACCTCGAACCCCAAACCTGGGTTTCGAGTGGAGGGTGCCCCGGATTCATCTACGTCAACAACAACTCCAACCCTCTCATTTGGGGCCTGGAGCCCTGTTCACGCGCGCGCGAGACGTGCAGACAGGGTTGCCAGGTGAGAGCGAATGGCGCGGTTCACGCCTCGCACAACAGAGAGAGAGATGCGCTCTGCATGGTGGGACATAAAAGATAGCGAGTACTTGGGCGAGTAGGCCGTGCGGTCAACGCTGCCGCGCGCGACTTTGCGCGCGAGGCGGCGCAGCTTGAGAACGGCGGTGGGCGAGAAGCCGCCGCCGAACGTCTCGTGGAGCAGCAGGTTGAAGTTGTTGCGCTTGACAAAGATCGCGTCGTGGTAGAAACCGCGATGCGCCTTGACGTAGCCGTGGCCGGTCTTGTGGGAGAAGGGTTGGCCGGGCTGCCCGCGCGCCTTGCAGCCCATGTTTAGGCGGCGGGCCTTCTCTTCGGTGTTGCCAAAGGCGTAGGAGTGGCCAACGGAGGCGGGCGTGCCGCCACTCGAGGCGTTGCCAACGCCCGGCGAGGAGGTCTTGAGGAGGGGCGTCCAGAGCTTGATTTCATTCACTTCATCGCACCCCCCCGGTCCCGCGTGGGGTTATGCGAGGTCAGTCTTGTACCCCTCGTTGTACTGCCGGGTGAGCTCTGCTTTCTCCTTGTCGCCGTGCACGACCGGCGCGTTGGCCGGGGCGCGCATCGCGTCCGCCCAGGGGGCGAGGACGCCGTCGTGGGGCCGCCGGTGGTGGGTCTTGTTGTAAAGGTAGTCGCCGAAGAAATCGACTGGCATGCCCCGCTCGAGCGCGACCCGAAGGGTGGGAAGCGCCGCGGAGAGCCAAAGGCCGAGCTTCCGCTGGAGCTCGTCCTGGAGGGTGTCGGAGGAGAGGGCGGTGGCGTACGTACCGTCGACACGGACATCGAAGGCCTTGCCGGCGAAAGGCGTTCGTTGAGGCGGAGACGAAGCGCGCGGCGCACACACCTCCTTCCAGTCCGAGAGGGCGGACTCGTAGGTGGCGATAGCTGCGGCGATGGCGGGGTACTTGGACGCACCTCCCTCGTCGAGGGCGAAGTCGGGGTTGTGGGCGACGAGGGTGCGCCAGTTCTTGAGGAGCGACATGGAGAAGTCGCTGTCGGCTCGCGTGAAGACGGTGTCGATGTTGCACCCGCCCATCTCGGTCGGCAGCTGCGCCTGGAGCCACGCGAGGTCGCGGAGCGCCTGGGGCGAGGCGTCGGCGCGAGCAATGCTCTCAAAGGACTTGCGGATGCGGTTGTGCGCAAACTCGAGAGCCTCGCACGCGACATTGGGCGGCGTGACGCCGGCAATGTACTTGGTCTTTGCGCAGGCAATCCGTTGGACGAGGTTGAGGCGGAGCTGCGAGGTGTTCGTGACGCAGTCAGTGTCGACGATCGTGTCGATGACGTCGAGCGGCGCGAGCTTCTTCCTGAGGTGCGCGGTGAGCTCCTTTTTGCAGGCCTCAGGGTCGCCAAAGAAGGTGCCGACGGCCTTGAAGCAGTCCACTCGCCCCGTGGGTTTGCCCTCCTTGTCGCGGTGCGCCGGCGAGCCCCGGAGCCAGCCCGGCGCGCGCGAGAGGTCGCCCTCGGGCGAGTAGATGAGCGACTTGCTGACGCGCCGTCGAAGACGCTCGCTCCCTTCTTCTGCGCCTCGAGGAGGCCCTTTGGTCCGGAGTAGGAGGCGACGGCGCGCGAGGGCTCGTCGTTCTGGCAGATGTCGTCCGCAAAACCGATGAGGCGCATGGTCGGGTTGTCTTTTGTCTCCTTCTCTGCCAGGATCTCTTCTCAAAAGGAGCTAAACAGAGCCCCCCCAGAACTTCGTGGCAGATGTCGTGGAGGAAGCAGACGCTGAGGATGGTGGAAAGCGCACGTCCCTGGATGACCCCGCAGGCGGACTTGGCGTAGTTGGGGTCGTTGTAGTCGGGGCACTCGAGGCTGAGTGGGTCCCAATCGGCGGCGGAGAAGTCCAGGTCGTCGCCGTCGGCGGAAGGCAGCCGCAAGGCGCCCTCGGCCTTGACAAGGCGGATGAAGCTGGGCGTGCCCATGATGAGGCGAGCGACGGGTAGGAGGTCAGGGCGTCGCTTGCGGATCCAGTCGAGGAGCTTGACGCGCCCACAGCCGTTGGGGTCAGGCTTGTTGTCGGCCGTGAGCGCCTGGGCGATCGTGTTGTATGGTCGCGTTCTCCGGCTTCGTGCCGTGCCACCCCGCGACGGTGAGTGCCGTACAGGTGAGTGCCGTTCTTGGAGAACGCGTAGTTCTTCGGGAAGTTGACTGGCGCACGGGCGCGCTCCTCCGCAGCCTCGGCCGCCTCGAGGTCGGCGAGAGCGGCCGTCGCCTCGGCCGAGCCGTGTCCGTGCGTGATGCACCTCGAAGTGTACGCGGCTTCTGCGGTGGCGGTGTGACGGTGGCGTCCTCGAGTGCCTCTCTCTACGTCGGGCCCCGGTACCTTCATGAGAACTACTGATCATGTTGCGCAGCAGCCGTCCCTCTGCCGTCCTTCGGCCGACGGCAGTGCGCTGCTGTCGCTCTGTCGGGCACGCTCTCGTGCTTCGTTCGTTGTGACCCACCCTGTCCCCCGTGTGTGATCAGTGTCTACAGACGGGGAGTATCTTTGGGCCACGCTAGGGCGCTCGTTGCTCCTCCGTCTTTGGCTCACGCCAGGGCGCTCGTTGCTCCTCCGTCTTTAGTATCTTTGGCTCACGCCAGGGCGCTCGTTCGTTGCTCCTCCGTCTTTTGTATCTTCCATACTGCGTCTGCGATTTTTAGAAGACTGAATTGGTTTTTTGGGGGACAGCAGTTTTCTCTTATGTGGAGGAGACGTCGATTGACGGTCTGGTCACTCCGCGCTCAACGCCCAACCAATCCGCCCAAATTGCCAATAGTGCCAACACAGACTTGCAGCTTGGACCAAATGGCCTCAAAAAACTGGCCACAGCACGTTCTTGTGCGTGAGCCCGCCACCCGCTGGGGCCTCGGGAACGGGACGCACGTGGTCGTGCAGGTCGCTCCCAGCGGCATTAGCTCAGAATCGTCCGGCTTTGTGTACGGGGGACCCTGCTGCGTGTCACAGAACGACACCGTATGCCAGCACCTCATGCCTTGCAGCAATGGCATCTCTGTGGTCGGCGATGGCCACGATGAGGCATGGGACGTCGTCGTCGCAAAATGCATTGACGAGCGAGCGGCAGCGGTCGATGCGTGTGCGACAACCATCCAGGTGCCGAAGGAACGCCGCCGGGGCGAGTTCTCCACGGCGGTTTGCGTGCCCTTCTTCTACGGCGAGATGTTCAACCCTCGCACATTCTTTTTCTTCGCGAGCTGGGTCGCCCACTACAGGTCTCTCGGCGCCAACAGGGTGTACATTTACTCCGAGGGTGCCGCGCCTGGCTGGGTTGCGAAGGCTCTGGCGATGCTTGGCACGGCAGAGGCGCTCGAGTTGGTCTGGGTCCACCTCGACTTCGACTTCGGTAGCATCTGGTACCACGGCCAGAACTGGGCGCTCAACGACTGCCACAAGCGTTCGCTGGCAGACGGCTTCTCCTGGACCCTCTCGATCGACCTCGACGAGATGCTGGCCTTTGCCGCACCCCGCACCAGCATCGCAGAGTACCTCAAGTCCCTCGGCCGGGCCGTCGACGTGGTCGACTTTGGCTCAGTGGTCACCCCCTTGACTCGGCGCTGCGGCTCGGCCCAAACTTACTACTGTGGTGCTCTCCCGCCGCCCAAGACGTCGCCGCTCAACGTACCCGGCAGCGTGACCTGCCATGACCCCGAGCTGCCGCCGAGGATGCCCTCCGCAGACCTGTGCATCCGGGCAAAGGGCCACCGCAAGCACCTCACCTCGACCTCCAGTGTGCTGAAGCTCAATATCCACTGGGTGGACACTTGCACCCCGAGGCGCGACTGCGACACCCACCACGAGAGCACTCACGTCGCCTGGCTCCGCCATATGAAGCCCTTCGAGAGTTTGATCGGAGGGGAGGCTTGCCCCGACTGCGTCGTTGCACGATGACGCCATTCCCCTTTCGAAGTCGGACGGCAGGACCCGTCTCTTGCATGCTACGTACTGTCAATAGAGCTCTACAAGACTGCACAGGGACCGCGACGCCTGCGACGCGCGCGCGAGCCTTGCTCTGCGTGTGCCGTTTACGCTATTGTGTATTGAGTGTTGTACCACAGGCGCCTCTCTCTTGTCTGTGTTCTGTTGAGGTGTTGTCTCTTTTACACCCGGTCGGGCGCGGCGCGAGCTGTCTCAAGAGATATGCCAGTCGTACAGTAAATTCATGGGAAGGACGTCTCACATGCGGTATAGAGGGGAGGCAGAGCGCCACACACAGATGCGATGTACGAGAACTCTCACACACGCGCCTGCCCTCACATCTCTCTCGTCTATATGACTCTCTGCCCCCCGCTGGAACTCCTACACCGGGCGTTCCTCCGGCCGCTTGCTCCCACAATCGGACCTCCCCTAGGCTGTACAGTACGCGTGCAATCGCGCGGTGATGGGCGTCGATGGGCAAGCCGTTTTGACCTCCACCGCTACGGCAGCCCACCACCGGCGGAGCACTTCCTCTTGCTGCGCGAAAAGAGAGGAAGACTCAGATGCCGTGGACGACACCGTCGCGGTGCATTACGCGGTTCTCGGTCTCGTAGTACTCGAGGGCTGCGCTGAAAGCGGCGACGGTGAGGTTGCGCTTGTGCTCGCGGCACTTGGCGAGCAGCTCCTCGAAAGAACACTCGTCGACACCCGCATCGCCGTTGCCAAACACGTCGGCGATGCCCTTGCCGACCGCCTCTTTTGAGCGCTCGTCCAAAACGCCGGAAGAGGCGCCGGCGCCGGAGCTGCTCGCCGCACCCGCGCCGCCCGCGCCGCCCTCCGCCCGCTCCTCCTCCTCGCCGCGGCGCACGCTGCGCTGCGCTGCGCGGTCGGCGCGCGAGGGAGGCTGCGAACCACCTGGCCCGCGGGCGTCGTCGTCGTCATCGTCGCCGTCGCCGTCGCCGCTGCCGCCGCCGCCGCCGCGCTCGCTGGCCCCCTCCTTGGCGCCCGCCAGCTCGTCCTCGTTCTCGTCCTCGTGGAAGATGGCGAAGTGGAGCATCGCGATGGCCGCCTTGGCATCTTCGGCCTGCACCAGGCCGCGCAGGTGCGCCTTGGCGTGCGCCGACGCGAGGCGAATCATCGTCTCGAGCGTGCGCGCGGTGACGGGGAACTTTTGCTTGCTCAGCGTCGACACCTTCTGCCGCAGGTCCGCGTACGCCGCCGAGATGGTCGCCGCGGCGTCGTCGCTCATCTGCGGGCTGCACTTGGCCTTGGCGTAGTGGATGTACTTTTTGATGAACTCGGCCGTCAGCCGCTGCCGCTCGTCGTCGTCGGCCTTGCGCGCGTCGGGCCGCGTGAAGACGTCCGACGTGACGCCCTCCTCCGACGCGCCCGCGTGCGAGCCGCCGCGCGCGCCCGCGTTGCCCGAGTTCGCCGACGAGAGCGAGGCGGGCGGCGGCGGCGCCGCGTGCTGCGAGAGCACGTGCGCGGCGATCCGCCGGTCGGAGGCCTCCTCCTTCTTGTCGAGGATGATGAAGAGGAGGTCGAAACGCGAGAGGAGCGAGTCGGGCATCCCGATGTTCGCCATCGCGCTCTGGTTCTTGTCGTACGAGCCCCACACCGGGTTTGCAGCCGCGACGACCGAGCAGCGCGCATTGAGCGACGCGTGCATGCCCGCCTTGGCGATGGTGACGGTCTGCTGCTCCATCACCTCGTGGATGGCGACGCGGTCGGCGTCGACCATCTTGTCGAACTCGTCCACGCAGCACACACCGCGGTCGGCGAGCACCATCGCCCCCGCCTCGAGCCGCTTGGCGCCCGTCTCCTCGTCGGACGTCACCGCGGCGGTCAGGCCGACGCCGGAAGAGCCGCGGCCGGTGGTCGAGATGGCGAGGGGCGCGGTGCGCATCACCGCGCGCAGAAGCTGCGACTTGGCGGTGGATGGGTCGCCGAGCATCAGGATGTTGATGTCGCCGCGCAAGTGCGTGCCGTTCGCCAGGTTGCGCTCGGTGCCGCCGAGCAGCATCAGCAGCAGCGCGCGCTTCTCGAAGTCGTGCCCGAACACGGAGGGCGCGACCGACTCGGCGAGGAGGGGGAGGGCGTCGGGGCGGCGCGAGACCTCCTTGATGTGGCGCACGTCCTCCTCGGTGAACTGGGCCGAGCCCAGGTGCTTCGTGAGGAGCCTGCCGCGAGGGGCGGAGCTGAGCCGCGGGAGGGGCAGCGGGCTGCAGCGGGGTTGGGGGGGCTGCAGCGGGGCAGCGGGGGCTGCAGCGGGGCGCTCGAGTCGCGCGCCGGACGTGGTTCCCGAGGACGAGCGTCTTGAAGGTGCCGCTCTGGTTGGCCTTGGACGGGAGGGCGCGGTGGATGCCCGTGATGTGCAGCCGGTCGCCCGGCTTGGTCGAGTCGACCAGGTCCGCCTCGAGGATGACCTCGACCGAGCGCGGCAGCTGGCCGGGCGGCGCCCGCTCCGGCATCTCCTTCGGGGGAGAAGGGGGAGGGGGCGGTGGAGGAAGGTGCGGGGCGGCGGAGGGGGGGGAGGGGCGGGCGGGCGCGCGCCTGCAGGTGCACCGTCTGGCAGTCCATGTACTCGCAGAGTCCGTACTCGGTCTCGAGCAGGTTGCCGTCCGAGTCCTTTGTCGGGTAGGCGGAGCCAGTCGCGGCGCCGGTGAGGGAGGTGAGGTCGCGGTACTGCTTGGTGGTGAACTGCTTGGTGGTGGGGCACCAGTGCTTCGACATGACCACCTTGGGCCGCACGAGCGAGCACTTGGTCACGATGCCCTCCACGCGCACCACCGAGTTGAGCAGCGCAGAGCCGAGCTGGCGCGGCGAGACGTGGTGCGCTCCGAATGAGCCGACGACGCCGATGCGGAACTCGTTGGCGGCGCCCTGCGGCGGGATGGGGCAGCGGGCGGTCGTGGCGGGCGGTGCGTGGGTGGGGGTGCCACCGCCACGTGATGCCGGGGAGGGAGGGGGAGGGGGGGCGCGCTACCTGCTTCGCAAAGGAGGGGTCGTGGTTGGTGACAATCTCGCGCAGCGCCTCCTCGAAGGCGGGGAGGTACTCGGCGGGAGAGCGCATCAGCGCGAGGGCGAGGTCGCGGTTGAAGGAGCGCAGATCGTCAACGTTGAGAAGCAGGCGCCGCTCCTGAGAATGGTGCGGGCGTCGTCGGCTCGCGCGAGAGCGGCCGTCGCGGGGGTGGTCGTCGAGAGAGAGGAGGAGCCGAGGGGAGCGGGCTAGGCCGGAGGCGCACCTCCTTGCTCACCATCGACCGGATGGAGGGCATGTAGCCCATCTGGCGGGAGGCACGGGGTGCAGGCGTGAGAGGCGGTCCGAGGCGCCATCGCGGCGTTGGCGCTCGCCTGGTCGACAAAGTCCATGAAGTCGCGCTTCTGCTGAGCGAGCGACATGGCGGCGGGCGGGGACCTGCGGTGAGGGCGTCGGCGCTCGCTCAGCGCCACTGCAAATACACATATATATTGGCGCGAGTGGCGCGAGTTGCCTAAGAGCGAATGGCGCGAAACCAAAAGAATTGCGAAGCGCCGTGGCGTTTTGTGCGGCTTGGTGTACCTGTGTTAGTGCCAGTGCGCGCCAGTCCCGTGCCCAGTGTCGTGCGAAGGAGCTGTGTTGTAAAATTCTGTCTTTCCGTTAAGCGTTATCCAAATCCTGCTCGTGCAGGTGGGGACCCTGTCCTCCTCCCGCTCCCCCATCCCTCGTTTGGTTTGTCTGTTTTCTTTCTTTCTGTTTTTCCGTTGTAAGGAGCAGAGAACCCTGTGCCCCTGATCGTCCTTTCAAAATCCTGCTCGTGCAGGTGGGGACCCTGTCCTCCTCCCATCGTTCGAGCGTTTGTTTTTCCTTCTTTCTTTTTCTCGCACAGGAGTCGCTTACTTGCAGAGAGAGATTTTTAGCAATACCAACAACTCTAACACTCACACGTCATTTGGGGCCTGGAGCCCTGTTCACGCGCGCGCGAGACGTGCAGACAGGGTTGCCAGGTGAGAGCGAATGGCGCGGTTCACGCCTCGCACAACAGACAACCAGAGAGAGAGATGCGCTCTGCATGGTGGGACATAAAAGAGAGCGAGTACTCCAGGGCGAGTAGGCCGTGCGGTCAACGCTGCCGCGCGCGACTTTGCGCGCGAGGCGGCGCAGCTTGAGAACGGGCTCGAAGAACGGGCGGTGGGCGAGAAGCCGCCGCCGAACGTCTCGTGTTGCAGCAGGTTGAAGTTGTTGCGCTTGACAAAGATCGCGTCGTGGTAGAAACCGCGATGCGCGCCTTGACGTAGCCGTGGCCGGTCTTGTGGGAGAAGGGTTGGCCGGACTGCCCGCGCGCCTTGCAGCCCATGTTGTTGTTACTTGCATGCACATGCACATGCAGTCAGGCGGCTCCCACGCGCCACGGGTTCTGGTGTTCCTGTGTTTTTGTTGCCCTGTTTTTGGCCTTACCTCCCCGCTATATTCTCACTCGCACCGTGTCGCGTGCGTGAGAGAGAGATTAGATTTTCTTCTTCTTCTCGTGTGCGTGTGCCTAGACCCTAGGGTGGTGTCGCCAGCTATGCCTGTGTATGGGCCTCGAGGTATGGGCGTGTCCACGTTGGAGCCTCCAGGTGTGGCGCCCTGGGGGGGGGGGGAGAGAGAAGGGCACCATGAAGTACGACTCGCTGGTCTCTCCGCAAGCAAGGGCCAAGGCCTCCCGACCGACCTCGTCGAACTAACTAACTCATCGACGCGGGCTCTCTCGGCTATTACGCCTAACGGGACCGGATCTCTCTCGGGACTGGATCTCTCGGGAGGCAGCCGATAACGCTCATTTTTTAGAGACGGCTCTCGAGCTCGACGCGAACGGAGGTTTCCGGATGAGACTCAAGAACGTCAATGAGGGCTGCGAGAGAGAGCCTCGGGTGTGGCGCTACCATCGCTGGGATAGCTTCACATGCGCGAAGATGAAAGAGGGAATAGTCGTTGGATGCCTGCTCAAGGTGAGTGCTATGGCGAGCGATGACGAGGGGTTCCTCAGCGTGACGAGCAAACTCAGGGAGTTCATGGCGCTCGGATACCCTGCACACGTGCTCAACGGGGTGATCGGGCGCGCGTTTGCTCGGACAAAGGACGAACGGCTCCTACGAGCAAGACAGTGTTCGCAGTGGTGAGGAGGTTTCTTGCAAAACCCTTACCCAGACGAACCAAAAATCCAAAAAGACAGACAAATGTATTGTGTCGGGCTACCGTCCAAAGGCGGGTGTAGTCGACCAAGGGACCACGAATCTGGTCTGTCGACAGCACGAATTTGGGATGGGACACCTTCGGGACCCGGCTGCGTGCTACTTGGATAGCACGCTTTCGGAGACACGGAGACGCTACTAGTACCGACGGCTAAGGCCGAGGCAGAAAAGGTTTCTGTTTTTCTCCGCTTTTCTTCACAGGATTTTCCTGTGAAGAGAGACGTAGAGAAACATACCTTTCAAACTCGGTGTCGAACCACCAGCTCGACGCTCACTACAAGTGAGTACAACAAAGAAAAATGCGCGGGGTTTCACATAGGGCGAGCGTGCTGCGCCCCCCACTCTGCGGATCCACACTTTACTGCCAGTGCCAACACTTCCATGGCGTCATCGGCGCCGGCGGGCTCCGTGCACACGGTCTTTTCCGCCGAGTGCAACCCGATGTTCGACTGGCACTCGGTGGCCCTCTTTCACTCGCACCGGACGTCGGGCCAGCCGGGTGGCATCACTCGCCTCCTCGCGTGCGACAAAGAGGCGCTCGCAAGCTACCGTGGCCTGGACATCGGCCCGACCTTCGTGCACCCCAACCTGCGGCACTGGGCCGGTCACAACTACGCGGCGCTCAACAAGCCCGGCTCGGTCAAGGCCTGGCTCGAGTCGGGAGAGGTGCCGGAGAGCGTCGAGTATGTCTTGTTCATCGACGCCGACATGCTCATCAACCGGCCGCTAATTCCCGCCGAGGTTGGCGCGAGGCGCGGCACCGTCGTCTCTGCGCCCTACGACTACCTCGTCGGCACCGCGCAGGGCCTCGCCGACCTCTTCAACGTCTCCAACCAGCAGATGATGGCGCGCTGCGGAGGCGCTGCGCCTCCCCGCACGAGGCGAGGCCCTGCAGCGCTGCACCTCACGCCTCGCGCCGCGGGCAGGCATGCACCTCTTCCACCTCGATGACCTGCGCCGGATCGCCCCGCTCTGGCTCGAGTACACCCAGCGGGTCCGCGTCTTCGTATGAGCAGCCAAAGCTCACCCAAACCACAACCCTATCACCCCTCGCCCTAACCCCAGGTCCGTGTCTTCGCCTGCGAGCAGCCAAAGCGCTTCTACGAGCTGGCGTCGCCGCCCGCGCAAGGCGGGCCGGCGAGGGAGGCGCGGCGCCCTTCGGCAGTGCGCCTCACCCGCAGAGGTTTGCGACAGGCGGCGAGGTCGGGAACGGGCGGCGGCGCCAGTTCATGTGGATGGTCGAGATGTACGGATATGTCTTTGGAGCCGCCGAGGCGACACACGCGCCGCAGCGGCGGGTCGAGTCTGCGAGCCTCCCGTGAAGCTGCTCGGAAGCTTCCTCTAGGCGGGCGTGCCGCACCACAAGATCTCGACCGAGATGATGGGGTACGTCGGCATGGTTGGCGTGGCGCCCGGCTCCTTCATCCTGTGCGCTGTAGTAGCGGGTGGGTGGTACGTCCCCCCGCGACTCGACGACCGCGAGCCCGTCCCGCCCTCCTGCGGTCCCGCCAGGCACTACGGACTTGACTGGAAGCTGGAGAGCAAAGACGCGGGCGGCCACCCGCTCAACGCGCCCCGCTGAGAACACCGTCTTCACGCGTGCTGCTGCCGTGAACAGGCGGGCGGCTACCAGTTCAACAAGCTCAGCTACGTCGACCTCGACCCAGCCCGCTGCCAGGGCTTCTTCTTTCCGGTGCCGCCCTTCGAGCAGGAAGACGTCCGCTACCGCGACCGGCTCTGCGTGCGGCAGATGCAGGACTTCAACGACGCGCTCTGCTCGTACTACGCGCGCCACTGCGTCCACCCGCCCCGCTGCCCCGCCCGCTCGCTCGCCGCGCTCAAGAAGCTGCTGCCGAGCCAGCAGGGCGAGAGCTGCCACGACTCGGACCAGAACTGCCTCTCGTGGGCGCGCAGCGGCGAGTGCGAGCGAAACACAGGAGAGTCGCGCCCTCCCACCCACCCCTCTCGTGGGCACGCAGCGGCGAGTGCGAAACACAGGAGAGTCGCGCCCCGGGGGGGGGAGCGCCCTCCCACCCACCCCGCCCGGCCCCACCCTACCCCACCCCACCCACCCTCCCCTCCCGCCCGCCCCTCGCCGGCAGGCTTCATGACCGCCAACTGCCGCCAGTCGTGCGGCAAGTGCGACCATGTCGTCTTACTCGGCACGCCGGCCAACTGCGCCGACGCGGCCGAGTGCGGCGGCGCGCGCGAGGCTGGCCGCTGCGAGGCGGACGCAGTTGCGCTCTTGCAGGCAAGAGTGCGGGGCACAGCCTCTCCTGACACGACTCGCTGCTAGCAGGCGGACGTGGCGCTCATGCAGGAGGAGTGCGCCGCGACTTGCGGCTTCTGCTCGAAGGCCGTGGAGGCGGACACGCCCGCAGAGAGGCGCAGCTTCGACCACCAGTGCCCCGACGGGACCGATTTGGGCGGCGGTGACAACTCGTCCCCCTCCCTGCTCCACCCGCCGCCGCCGCCGCCCTCGCCGCTGGCGTCCCCGCCCTCGCCCTCCTCCACCGCTGCCGCCCGCGTCTCGCCGGCGCCGGCGCCGGTGCTTGCCCGCTCTGCCGCTCGGCCGGTGGAGCAGCCACCCCGTGGCGTGGAGGCCCGTGGCATGGAGTGGCCGCGGCCGGTGCCGCATCCCTCGCGGAAGGAGGCTGCGCCGCCGGGCGACATGCCCGCGCAGGCGGCGCGGCGCATGCCGCCCCGACCCAGAGAGCTGTACGCGGCCGAGCCGAGTGTGGCGACGGACGGGCTCCTGCTCGCCTGGCCCTTCTTTCTCGTCGCGGCTATCGCCCTCGTGGGCTTGGGGTGGGTGTTGCGTGGCGCGTCAGACCGCAGGCGAAAGCTCAGGCTCGCAGGCGGAGTGACGAGCAGCCGGCGTGTTCCGCCTGTGTGAGCCCGCAAGCTATGTGTGAGTGCTGCGGCAGTGACGCCAGTGTTAGTACCAATTAAGCGCGTGGACGGCTTCGCTCCTCTCGGCCCTCTGAGACTGTGGTCTCCCACACTCCCTCTCGATAAGGCTCTCTCTCTATGAGACGTCACAATCCTCTCCGTCGATCTCCGCAAAAAGAGCACAACTCCGACACCCCTCAGCCCTCTGCGGACTGCGCGTGGGCCCCGTCGCCCGTGGCGTTTTGACGCGTGGCGCAATAGGACCAAGCTGGTCTAGATCTTGTCCAGGAGCTTGAGCGTGTTGCGGCCCATGAAGGTGGTGAGGGAGGCCGCCACCTTGCGTGCGACCGCGGCGTGCGGGCCCAGCAGTGGCAAATAAGACCGGACGAGCGTAAAGACGAAGTTGCCAAACTTGAGCGATGAACCCATCACGTCCGCACTCGCGTCTGCGCGGCAGAGGAGCGCCGCCAAAACCTCCGTCGAGAGGGGCGGCTTCAGGGCGAGCGCCTCCTTGAGCACCACCACGTGCAGCTCGCCCCAGCTCCCGCCCTCGCCCTCGCCGCCGCCGCTGCCGCCGCCGCCGCCACTGCCGCCGCCGCCGCCGCCGCCGTCGCTGCCGCCGCCACCGCCGTCGCTGCCGCCGCCGCCGCTGCCGACCGTGCCGCCGCCGCGTGCCAAGGCCTCGACGAGACGTGCCAGGGTCGGAGGCGGCAGCTGCTTCGCGATGCGCGTGAGGGCCTCTGCCTGCGGTCCGGCTGCAGCGTCGGTGGTGAGAGTGAGCGGAAGCACGAGAGCCTCGAGGAGGGCGCCCGCGTGGCTGGAGAGGAGAGGGCCCGTCGCTGCGGCGAGGAGTCCGCGGGTCGCTGGCCGGCCACCGAGCGCCTGGAACCGCGGCAGCAGCCCGCGCCGGATGAAGGCGGCGGCGGCGTGGCCGGCGCAGCCCGCATCGCCGAAGGCGCGCGAGAGCGCCAGCACCGCCGCCTCTGGGAGCGAGGCGAGGTCGAGCAGCAAGAGCGCGCGAGAGGCGTGGTGCGGCGAGACGCAGCACGAGTCCACGAGCAGGCGAAGGCCCGACTCGCACGCGCGCTCGAGCGCCTCGTCACTCGCATGCGGTGCAGTAAGCTGTGGCTTCAGCGCCGCGATGCCATCCGCCGCTGAGCCCAAGTCTCCCTGTTCAGCCGGCGCCTTGGGGGCGGCCAGCGTTCCGGGCGGCAAAGTCCGCAGCCGCTTGGGTATCGCGGCGCCATCGCTGCTGGACTCTCTCTCGTCAGCAGCACGCTTTGCGCAGTCACTGCCCGCCGCCGCCGCCGCTGCATCCTCCGCCGCTCTTTCGTACTCCTCCCACCCGTCGCGAAGTCGCACAGGCGGCGTGGCGGCGGCGGGTGCGGCAGGCACGTCGAACGGGTCGAGCGCGCAGCGCTCGGTCGGCAGCAGAAAGGCCATCGTTTGGCGGGAAGAATTCGCGCGCCCACAGCACACTGGGGAGATGGTTTCTTTCTTTCAGAGAGCGAATTGGGAGAGAGACAGCGGACCACTGCTGGCAATAACACGGGAGCTGTCAGCGGGCTGCTGGCTAACGGGGAAAGAAAGCCTGCCTATTTCCTACGTAAAAAGCCCGAAATCGCACGACAGGACGGTTAGTGACAATCCACACCTGATCCACACACGCGCACGTTCTTCCTTTCGCTTTTGCTGTTCCTTCTCTCGATGAGATTGCGCAGTCCTTCCTGTCCAGTTCATGTCCGTCTCGATCTTGTTGCACAGCGGTCAGCGGTCAGCGCCAAAATCTCAAGTCCATATTGATATCTCGACGCCGATGGAGAGTTGCCCCCCCCCCTTCCGTGGTCCGAGTGCGGTTCAGACCTCAAATCAACGGTGATGAAGCTGAGTGGCGGCTTTCGCGCGACAATCGAGAGCTCTCACTGGTTGATGGCGGCGCGGCCGATGGCGACGAACCCGGCGGAGAGGAGAGCGGCGAAGGGCAGCGTCAGCACCTAGCAGGCGTGTGGGGCGTGCAGGCGAGTTGTGCCGCGCACCCAAGCCGACGACAGGATCTAGCTAGGCGCGCGCCCAAGTGAGCGCAATCTTGCCAAAGAGCTTGCAGTTGGCGCCCCCCCCCTCAGCCTTTTCCTCCGGCTTCTTGCCGCAGTCCTTGACGAGGCCGATGAAGACGACGGCGCCCACCTTTAAGCGCAGAGAGAATCAGGCCCCGGTGCGGTGAAACCTACCCATCGACACCCAGTAGGCTGTGGGGGCGGGCTGAGCTCTCCCCTCGTACGTGTCTCCCCACACGCCGTCCTGTGATAGGAAGGGAGGGGGGGGGGGGGATGCAATCCCGGGCTATGACCCCACGCGCCTGGCAGTGCGTGGAGGATACGGGGAGGCCGACGATGGTCGCGATCACCACCTGTGGCAGGCTCACGACGTATCCGTGAGGCCGGGTGAGAAAGAGTGGGGGGGGACAGAGAGCGGGGGCTAGAGCGGGGCGATTGCTTGGTGTGAGCGACCAAAGGTATATAGAGCCTGATATAGAGGGGGCACGGAGGCATTGGGGGCGAGGGCGGCTCGCCGACAGGGTGGACGCCATCTCGATCGAGAAGCCCATGTGGAAGTTGAGTTCCGCGAGGTCGGAGCCGATGGTCTGGATGACGCGGTACCCGAGGGTGATGATGCCCAGCGCGACGAACGCGCCCGCGATCGACATGATCCACCACGGCGTCTCGGCGTCTCCGCACGCGTACAGGCCGTCGGAGTAGGAGAGGTAGACGGCCGAGAAGGCGCCGGTCGAGTTGGCGGTGTCGTTGGCGCCGTGAGCAAAAGACTCGAGGCATGCGACGAAGACGAGCACGTACTTGAACACGTTGAGTGCGTCTTCCTGGCCGTGCTCGAGCACGTGGCCGATGCGCATCCACTTCCAGAGCAGAGTGCGCATCGGCGAGGTGAAGTCGTCGATGGCATTCTCCATGCGCGTCTTCATGCCGGCGCGGTGCACCAGGTCTTCGTACTCCTGCTGCGACATGCGCACGACCTTCTCCTCGTCCTCGGCGGCTGCCACGCCCGGCAGCGTGCTCTCCGGCGGGCTCGGCGGCGGGCTCACCAGCGCGAGGCGGTCCTCGAGCTCTCGAACGCGAGCCGGCAGAGACGTCATCTCCTCCCGCCTCGCCGCCTCCTCCGCCTCGAGCGCCTCGCGGTCCCTCACCGAGGAGGGCAGCCTCTTGGCCACCTCAGGCGTGACGACGAAGGTCGCGAGGACGTGCATCACGACGCCGATGGCCACGGCGATGATGATCTTGCCCATGATTGGGATGCTCTTGGTGGGCTTGGACTTGAGCATGATCATGAAGGCGATGATGAAGGTGGCAATCGAGTAGAGGTACGGGAGGAGGAGGAGAGCGTTGCGCGTCGGCTTGCTGGATGCGAGCGTGAGCCTCTCGGTCAGCTTGTAGATGCAGATGCCGATGAAGCCGGAGAGGAGCGGCGACGCGACCCAGGAGACGATGATGGCGGAGAGGCCGCCGTCGAATGACCAGTTCAGGCAGGAAAAGCCGTTCATCTCGTAGGACCCGACGACTGTCATGCCGACGACCGCGCCGACAATCGCGTGCGTGGTGGAGACGGGCATCTTGGCGAACGTGGAGAGGAGCAGGAAGATCGTGGCGGCGATGAGGGAGCCGCACATGCCGACGGCGTACACGGACATGCCCGAGTCGCAGTGGCCGCACCCCCAGCACTCTGGGTCGTCGATGTCGGCCACGCCCTTCTGGATGGTGCCCGAGACGCCGTATCCGAGCAGGGTGGCGCCCAACCACTCGAAGAAGCCGCCGAGGCAGACGGCGAGGCCGAGCGGGATTGCGCCCGAGCCGACCGACGAGCCCCAAGAATTGGCCGAGTCGTTTGCGCCGATGCAGAAGCACATACCGGCGCCAATGATTGCGCTGACCACGAGGAGAGCGGTGTCTCCTTCCATGTCCGCATACTTGCCGTTGTAGTAGGCACAGGTGCTCTGATTGCCGTCAAAGGCCGGATCGTTGCAGTCGTAGGCGTGGTCGACACACTCGGCCAGCGGCATGGCGGCGACGGACCTTGGAGCGGCGAAACCAGGCGGGACACAGACCGACGGTGGAGAGTGCAGGACTGTCTTTTGGCGTTAGCAATAACGCCGAAAAGACAAAGGAGACCAAAAGATAACGCACGGCCCCCCAGCGGAGCTGGGAAGAGGACCGCCGCAAGCGGCGTGGCGTGGAGCGGTTGTGCATCCCTCCGGGGGCCCCTCTGCGCCGGGGAGGCGTTGTTGGAGGCTAGGACGCAAGCGTCCGTCGCCCTTTTCAAACTCGGGGCCCACTCCGCTACGCTCCGACCCGAATTTGGAGGGCCTGAAAAGTTTAAGGTGTTGCTGCGCAAAAGGGTGGGGAGCCGCGGCGGCGCCGCAGGCGCGGGCGCGCAGTGGAAGCACGCTAGCCATACACATTCGGGTCGTGACGGCTCGAGGGTGCGCACACTAGCGGCCGGACGCCTCACCCGCGGACGCCACGCGCACCCTCCAACATCGCCGCCGAGCCCAACGCCCTGCCGTCAATCTCGACGAGCGCCGCACACCTGCGCGGACAGTGGGCAGACGTTGCCGCCTTGTGTCCTCGTGTGCCCGGAAAGCCTCGAGCCGGCGCGCACCGGTGGCAGCGCAGGATGAGGCGGCAGCAGTGGAGGGTTGGGGCGCATTTGAAGGCGCTGGCCCCGACGCGCCATTAACTGGGTCGGAGTGGTTCCTCACCCCTCTGGTTTCAGTCAAGCGGGAAGAGTCTGTGCAAGGGGGGCGGATGGGGCTGGCTGCGTCACCTTGGAGCATGAAAGGTTCCTACAGTAAGGCTACTCGAGTACGCAGCACCTTGGCTTGGCCCCCGAGCGGGGAGGCGGTCGACGACGCGCAGCATGGCGGTGAGCGCAGCCTGACGACGCGTCTTGATGGACGGATCCTTCTGCCGGCTGACCAATTCCGCCCACCTCTTGACCGGCGGCTTCGTCACCAACATGCGCTCGAGAGGCGGAGCAGCCTCGATGCGATCCAGTTCGGTAGCTATCTTGTCGCGCAGCGCATCGTCAAAAGGCAGGTTGTTACAGGCGTCGCGAGCGTCCCCGAGGTCACGCAGGAGGCCCTCCATATGTGTTGCAATAGCCCCCGGCTGTGGTTGCTGCAGTGCTCCCGTAAAACGAGCGATGTCTTGGCACCAGCTGATAGCTTGCGTCCGTCCACGGCCCAGATCACATGAGTGGTGCAGAGATTGGGTGTTTCCACAATCAAACCGTCCGTGAAGAGGCGTTTGTTCACGGACAGCGAGGCTGGCCGCACAGAGGCTGGCCGCAAGCGGAGCTCCCCACCGGCGGCGGGTTTGAGCGCGCCGGCGGCGGACCGCCGCCGGCGCGCTCGCTTCGGCGGATGGCTGAGCGGCACAGTTTCTGGCCGCCCGGCCTGCGAGCAGTCGCCGCGAGACGATCGAAGGCGCTCAGTTCAAGCGCGCCGCCATGCCAGATCTCGCCCCACGCCCCGACCAGACCGGGCAGTACGTGCAGGAATGATGCAGGCATGATGGATGGGTGTGGTGAGCACGCCAGCGGCACCGCTGCGCACTCTCAGGGTCGCAGCCGCCTATCTTGTGAGGGGCGTGGCTCGGGGCGGGCGCGAGAAGTCGAGGAGCGCGGCGCGCGCGTGCGCGCGCGTGCTAAAGTCGGTTTACATTTCATCACTGGTATGAAAGAGAGCCAAAACGGCACGCGCGCCGCGCGCACGCGCGCTCGCATCACCTCAACACTCACACAGCAAATCAAAGATGCGGCCAGCCGTGCACCGACAAGTTTCTTCGACGAGTTGTCAGATGTCACGATGCATCCGAAGGGGACCCCAGCGCCGGCATCATCCGTAGAGGCACGAGTGTTCGAAGAGAGAGTGGACCTGAGCAACAACATGACCTGGAGGCAAATGCTCGGAGTGGGAGTTAGAAATGTGGTCCTTGCGCGAGGGGAGCTCGATAGACTCGAGGGGCCAGGATATGCAGCAAGGAGGGCGGAGCTGCGCCGAAAGGCGAAAGAAGCCGAGAGAACAAGGGAACGGCAGGCGGCGGCGGCGCAGGACGAGGCAGAAGAGAATGACGCGACAGAGGAGGAAGTGACAAGGGAGAGAACGACGAGAGTGGGACGGCCGCGAGGTGGCATGAAGGTTGCAGCGAGAATCGGCGAGAGACTGCGAAAAGAGATAGGAAGAGGCAGACTCCCTAGGGTGGGCGACGGCTAGCGCATCACACTCCTCTCCTTAAAATCCCTGTGTGGTGGCGGCGTGCCGTCCTCCCATCCCTCCCTTGGGTTGTCTGTTTTCTTTCTTTCTTTTTCTTCGATCAAAAGAGCGAGAGAATCCAACACGCCAGGCCGCTGCCGCCCAGGCTCGGGCCGAGAGGGAAAAGGCCCTCGACTTTGCTCAGGGCGCAGGGCAGGTTGACGGCGTCTGGTACCTCGACTCCAAGGAACTGAAGCTTGCACTCGACAGGTGGGAGCGGAGGAACGACTCCGACGCAAGCTCTCTCCCACAATCTCTCGCACAATCTCTCGAACCCAGTGAGCGCGGCAGTGATGACTGCCCCATCCTCTCCGAAGATTCGTTCACCGGCTTCTCCGACTGCGCTGATTGGTAGGGCCCCCAAGGGCCTAGAAATCGCGCCTCCCTCTCCCTTGTCTCCCAGTAGCTAAAAGAAAGAGGGACGGCAGCAAATCTCTGCACGGCTCATGGTTTCTGCACGGTATTCGGATTTTGCTACCGGTATTTGTTCGTGTGGGGGTATATTGCAGATTTGTCAATGGTACCGCGTCTGCGACGCGGGCGCCTTGCGGGCAGAGCCCTTAGCCACCCTTTATATCTTGCGCGGTCAAAACCCGACACGAAGTTCCTTATTAGTTATTTTAAGAAGACAGCTTTGGTTGTCTGTTTATGCGCAAACTTTTCTTGCGGATTTTACAAGACCAAACTGAAGGAGCGAGAAGAGAAGAAAAAATACCTCTCTCAAGGAGCGACCCACGGTGAGCGGTGTCGTCGTGTCGAGCCCGGCACGCGCGTGGCCGCGTGCGTGGGGACCAACCAACCCGTGCGACCCGTGCGTCGACGCGCTGCCCGTGTGCGTCTGGGTCCTGCTTCTGGCGGTACAACTGGGCGTGGAACACCTTCGATTTGATCGTCGTTGCCATCGGGACCCTCACGATGGCGGAGGCCATTGGGGGCAACTTCATGCCGCCCTCGATGGCGTTGATTCGCAACCTTCGGGCCTTTCGCATCTTCCGGCTCTTCAAGCGGATCAAGTCGCTCAACAAGATCATCGTCTCGCTCGGCAAGGCGATTCCCGGCGTCGCCAACGCGTTTGTCATCATGGTGATAATCATGTGCATCTATGCCATCCTCGGCGTCGAATTCTACCACATGACGGGCTCCGACGGCACCTATGTCACGTACAACGACAACGTCAAGCGAGGGCTCTGCACAGGGGACGAGGTAGAGTTGGGCCAATGCTCGCTCAACCAGACGGTCTCGTCCGAGACGGCGAGAGGGTACACGTATGGCGAGGAGTATTATGGCACCTTCTTCCGCGCGTTGTACACGCTCTTCCAGGTGCTGACGGGCGAATCGTGGTCCGAGGCTGTCGCTCGCCCCGCCGTCTTTGAGTCGCACTATGACTCGTTCGGGCCCGTCCTCTTTTACGTCTCGTTTATCATCATCTGCCAGATCGTACTGATCAATGTCGTGGTTGCAGTGCTGCTCGACAAGATGGTGGAGGAGGACGACTCGGAGGACCCGGAGAAGCAGACGGTCGCCGAGAAGCTTAGCGAGATGCTCTCACAGGAGCACGCGCAGCTTCGGGAGATCTTCCGCACGTGGGACGAGGACAACTCGGGCACGATCAGCATCAAGGAGTGGCGCAAGGCCGTCAAGAGCATGGGGTATCGCGGGCCGATCGACGTGCTCGACCAGATCTTCGCGTCGATGGACAAGGACCACTCGGGGGAGCTCGACTACGCCGAGATCGACCGCATGCTTTCCCCCACTGCTGCGCGGGAGCGCCGCTCGTCCACGCACGCCAACCCGAAGCGCTCGGTCAAGGAGGAAGTGGTGGCAATGCGGGCCGAGTTCACGGACCACGTCGCGAGACTGGAGACTCAAATCGCTGCGCTCGTGCTTGAGCTGCAGTTGCAAAGAAAACCTTGCGGCGCGGAGGCGCCGGCTCCTGCGCACTCGCGACTCGCGCACGACTCGGACGGCGCTCCCACAGAGCCGCCACCTCCTGCTGCTCCGGATCACCACCACCTCGAGGACGACGAGGACACGACGCAGCGTGTGTGACGCGGCGTCCTGTTCGGTTTTTATTTGGGGGCAGGCGCTCGTCCGCGAGTTCGAACGGGAACGCACCCTGCTGGTTCATTCACGCTCCCCGTGCGTAGGTATTTTGAGACTCGTGAAGTCTCCTTGCTACGGCTCTGAGTAGGTCCTTGCAACTTGCATGTCTCGCATGTGGTGGTCGCCTATGTACAGAGGAGGGTGGACAGTACGTCTCTGCGGCTTTGTTTCTACTCTCTTCAAAAAAACGAGACGCAAGAAACGGCCGGTACCCACGTACGCCCGCCCGTCGTCTCTTTCCGCACTCGGCGCGGTCCCCCCTCACGCGGTCTCGCCCACATATACCCCGCCCACGCGCCGCACCACGCGCTCCGCGACCACCGCCATCCTCCTTGGACTGGACCACCCGCACTGCACGCCCTCACCGGCTCACACCGCACCCGCACTGCCCGCGCGGGGCTTGGAGAGGAGGAAGATGGCCGTCGTCTCCTCCACGTGCGCCCCGTGCTCTCCGATCGTGGCCAGCCGCCAGAGCGACTGCAGCAGCCGCAGCATCTTCGGCTCGCACAGCCGGCGCAGGTCCGCGTCGAGGCAGTGCGAGAGGATGGCGACGCCGGTCGGCGAGCGGGCGAGGCACTCGGTGCAGTCGAGACGCGACTCGAGCATCTCGAGCTCGCAGCGGAGGCGGTGGAGCGAGGCGAGCCTCCGCAGCTCGTCCCACGCGCAGCTGTGCGTCTCCGACCCTTTGACGAGCCGCGCCTGCGAGGGGAAGGGCGTGGTGCAAAACAGGAGGGAGGAGGCAGCCACGGCCGCTGCAGCGGCGCAGCGGCGCCTGCTCCGCGGCGAGCTCCGCCACTCCGCGCGCCGCTGGGTGGACGAGCACGAGATGGCCTCCCGGCCGCGTGTGGCCAGCCAGCCGCCCGAAGGCCGCCTGCGGGTCGCTGAAGGCGCCTACAGCCCGCAGGCCTGTCCGGTGGGGGGCGAGAGGGGACGAGGGGCGCGCCTCTCTCTCACGGGAGGACCGACGACGTGCACGCCGACCACGAGGTCGAACTGCGTCAGCGACCGAAAGAGGGGAGGGCCACCGCCGCCCTCGCCGCCCTCGCCGCCCTCGCCGCCCTCGCCGCCGCCCCCGTCCCCCCCCCCGCCGCTCTCGGCGCTGCTGGCGCCGCCGAGCGAGCCTCGCAGCGGACGCTCGTCGAACCGCTCTTCTAGGATGAGGGCGGATGTCTCCTCGGGGCCGCCCAGCGCGCCCGTCGATCGGGCGAGCTCGAGCCGCGCGCGAAAGAGCTCGGCCGCGGCGCCGTTCGGCTCCAGCGCCACATAGCGCAGCCGCGCAGCGCCGGGCCGCGCCCGAGTCAGCGCCGAGCGGAGGGCCAGCATCAGGCGCAGGTCAACCTCGCCGTCGCCGCAGCCCACTCCGAGCACGGAGAGCGGCGGCCGCGCGGCGGCCGCCGCGGCACCGCGCGCCGACGCCGCCAGAGCCACGTCGACCGCCGAGGCGGCGAGTCCTCCGAACGGCGACGCGGGCTCGGCGGCGGTGCTGCCGCCTGCACGCCCCGTGAGCCCCGCCAGCCTCTCCGCGTTCTTCTCGAACCACGAGATTACGAGCTGCGCGCTGCCCGACGCGGCCCGGCGGGCGGCGTGGCACTCGGTGGCGTAGGTCCCGCGCAGCAGCGGTGCGAGCTCCAGGTCACCGCGCAGCCTCCGCCGCCTCGCGCGCCGCGACGCCCGCCTCACCCGCGACCTCGCCTTGGCCGTGCGGCCGGTGATGACAATCAGGCCGCCGATCCCGAGCGTCAGCAGGGCCGCAGCCAGGCGCAGCATTTGTTGCGCGGCCAGGCCAGCCAACAGTCGCCCAAGCGCACCCAGAGTAAAGGGAAAAACAAATTTATCTTTGGGGCAGTCATTTCCCATCCCTCCCTTGGGGGTTGTCTGTTTTCTTTCTTTCTTTCTTTTCATTTCCCTGCGCGCGGGCTGGCCAGTCTACTTGTAGCCCGGCGGACAATCTCGGTGTCCTCGCGGATTGCCGCCGTAATTTGCTCGTCCGACACTATTGCAAGGATGTCCGTCTCGCTCAACAACCTCGCCCGCCTGGCTCGCATCGCCGGCGTTAGCACGCCCGAGACACAATGCGACTCGCCAGTCGTCGTATCTGCGCCGTCAGCCGACTCTCCGCTCTACACGAATCTCATTGATCTGGGACTCGAGGCGCTTCTTGTCGACGCCAACCTCCAAGCGCACGGCGAGGTGACCACCGACCTGCTGGCGGACGAGCAAATTGACCTCCCCGAGCTGAGCGTCGATGACCTGCAGCTTTGGCCTGCCGTCGAGGCCATCCTCGCGTCGGAGCACCGCCGCGCCAACTCGAAGCCGGCGTTCACTGCCGCGGTGGAAGCCGCCAGCAGCTCCCAGGCCTCCTCGCCTTCGGGAATCTCGCCTTCGGGCAGGAAGGGCCGTGAGCTGCAGCAGTGGAGGCCCGCCGAAGATCAACTCATCATGGAGGGCGTCGCACGGCACGGCACCCGCTGGGCTGCGGTAGCAAAGGACATGCCCGGCCGCTCGGAGAATGCGATCCGAAACCGCTACCACCGGCTCAAGGGAGCGGAGAGGGCGCGCCAGGCGGCGCAGAGCGCTGGCGTCACCGTCGGCGGCTACCGCTGCCGCAAGTGCGGTGTGTTCAAAAGGGGGCATGTCTGCCTCGAAACTCCGAGCAGCCCGGGCGGAGGCTCGCCGAGGAAGCGGCTTTCTGGGGACATCTCGGCCGACGCGCCGCAAGTCAAGGTGGTCCGCATCTCCCACGGAGGCGAGTCGACCCTCGAGTGGGCGAGTCCGCGGCGACGCGCCCTGCCAGTGGGCTCGCTGGCGGCGCCCGCTCTGGAGGTGCCCCGCCGCTCATCCTTCGAGTCGCGGTCCTCGTCGCCGCTGTCCATCGCATCGATGTGGCCTAACGCGGCGGAGAGAAGTGGAGGCCCCGCGTGTCCGTTGGCCTGTTGAATGCATACTGTGAAGGCTGAAGCAATACTCACTGTCAGCGGCGCGCGCACCGCGCTTCTCAGTACGTGCTGTGCTGCTGGGATCACCTGTCCCTAGATTATCTCGTTTTTGAGTTCAGTTTGTCACATATGTTGGGTCTTGGGACGGAGAAACTAACACGTGCCCAAGCCACGGCCCCTCAGTGCTTCTCTCTGCTCTGAGAGGCTCTATCGGGTCGAGTCTCTGCTCTGAGAGGCTATCGGGTCTCGGCTCGCGCCCGCGCGACGATCCTCCTGGCACTAGCCAGACGCCTAGCCAGACGCAGCTGCAGCGGCAATGGCTGCCGCAGCAGGGGACAGCATCGGGCGCAGCGCAGCGTCCCACTCCGCCCAAGCCGTGCCGGATCCCGGGTCGAGCACCCAGTCGCGCCCAGGGACCCTCATCACGAACGAGAAGTCCTTCTTGTCGCGAGGCTTGCTCCGCTCCATCTCCACCGCCGCGTCGACCCGGATCTGGCCGCGGCGCGACGCGTCGCTTGGCGTGGCGCTGTCAAAGTAGTGCAGCTCCTTGTTCGAGTAGAGCACGAAGAAGCGCTGCTTGAGCTTGCCGCCCAGCAGGCTGCTCCCTTGGCCGCGCTTCCGCATCCATCCCGAGAACACCTCCTCAAGCTCCGCCTCGGTCTCGCCGAGCTTCGCGGGCGCGTCGGAGATGCGGCCAGACGCGACAGACAACACCGATCGCGGGCTGCCTTCCACGTCGCCTCCGAGCGCAGTCACCCACTCGCCCGCCTCGGTGGCCGAGGGCGCGGCCAGCACGTAGCTCCGCTTCTTTGGTACCGTCACCTCGAAGCTGTGTGGCCGATCTGCGTCGAGCGCCGACCCCATCGAGACCTCGACCGATCCGTCGATGGGCACGTGCCCCGCATTCTGCATTGCGTCGAAGGCGCTCTTGCTCCTATAGTAGCGCAGCACCTTTGGGAGCTGGCGCTCCGAGTCGGCGGCGAACAGGACAAAGTAGCGATTCTTCCACGCAGTGTTCACCTCGCCGCGCTTCGCCAGCCAGCCGCTCTTGAGCACACCGTCGCGCGGCAGCCCGACCGTGACCCAGTCGGAGGCCGGCTCAGTGCGTCCGCTCTCCGCGTCGACCTCGTGCGTGCGCGCACCCACCATCGAAGCGGAGCGCCGGCGCGTGGCGTAGCCTCGCGTCTGCGGGGCCTCGCCGTCCGACGCGCCCAGGTGGGGATGCAAGTCAGCCATCCACTGCCGCATCGTCTGTGCGTCGTCGGGGCAAAAAAGCCACGTGCGCTTGGGCGAGAGCACCTCGAAGGCGTGCTCGTAGTTGTAGTCGGCGTTGGCCGCCGCACGGCACGCGGTCGCGTCGCGCAGGTCGATCACACCCTTCGGCTTTGCGGCGGTGTCCGAGTCGTAGTAGAGGAGCTCGTGCGTCGAGAGGAGGACAAAGAAGCGCTGCTTCCAGCTGCCGCCCACGGCGCCCTTCTTCTCCATCCAGCCGCTGCGCAGCTCGGAGACGGGCCGCTCGGGCGCAACGCTGGCGAGGAGGTCCGTCCACCGAGCGAGCAGCGCGTCGTCCGCCGCCAGCGTCCAGCGACGCTCAGGCAGCACAATGTCGAGCCGGCGCAAGCCGGGCGAGCCGAGCAGCCACACGCCGATGCTGCGTCCAACGTCGGCAAAGCCCTCGCCGATGCGCCCCGGCTGGCTACCGGCGCTCCACTGGAGGATGCCGTCAGAGCGGAGCACAAACAGGGCCGTCACCCACCCCTTCTGGCCGCCGAAGCCGGAATCCTGCAACTGCAGCTCCGCCTCCGCGAGGGTCGTCACGTCAGGCGCGGCGGGCGGCGCGATCTGCTGGCTTCCCCCACTGTCGGCGCAGCCGACGGCGGGGCGCAGGTGGCCCAGCCACGCCTCTTGTGAGCTCGCCGACTCGGCGCGGAGCTGCCAAGCGCGAGACTCCGTGACCACGGTGATCTCCCGCTTTTCGCCGCCTCGCACTTCGTTGGCGCCGTCGAGGTCGATGAGGCCGCCCGAGGCGAGGTCCACGGCCTGCTCCTCGCTCTTGAAGTAGCGCAGGACAAACTGGACGCGCACTGCGTCGCCGCGCTGCTCCTGCTTGCTGCACAGGACGAAGAACCTCCGCTTCCAGTCGGAGGTGAGGGAGGCGACTGCGCCCTTCTTCTCGAGGTAGCCTTGGTGCAGGACGGTGAGCACGGCCCCGCTCTCACGCCGCGGGGCGTGCGAGCGCATCTGAGCCTGGAGCACGCCCATCCACGCCATCATGTCGCCGCGGTCGATTGCCCTCATGCGCACGACGGCGCGGGCGGGCGCCTTCGCCGTCTCCCCCTCCTCCGCCGCGGCGGCTGCGCCCTTATGCACCGCGGAGGGGTCGGCGAGCACGAGGTCGAGGCAGTGGTCGTAGTAGTCCACGCCCTTGGAGCGCTCCGCTGAAGAGAGCGCACGGAGGTCAACGCTCAGGGTCATCTCCGACTCGGCCGCGTCTGCATGCGGGAAGACGCGGAGGCGGCCGTCCGAGGCGAGCGCGAACCAGCGCGCCTCCCAGACGGCGTCCGAGTCGTGCAGGCTGCTCTCGTCCTTGAGGTCGGCCCAGCCCTGCTTGAGAAGCTCGGCGCCGCTCTCCGCCGCCAGCCGCTTCTTGCGCACGCCGACGTCCTCCAGCATGACCTCGAGCGCACTCGTCCACGCCCGCTGCTCCTCGGGCGACTCGGCCGCAAAGACCCAGTGCCGCCCCGGCGTGGCGATCTCGAAGCCGTGTCCCTTTGGCGTCGGTGCGATGGTGACCGTCTCGGCGACCGAAACGTCTACCGCGCCCTTGCGTCGTGTGCAGGTGTCCGAGTCGAAGTAGAGCAGGCGCTGCGACGAGAACAGGACGCAGAAGCGCCGCTTGAAGCCCGCCGACGCGGTCTCGCCCTTCTTGTGCAGCCAGCCACTCTTGATCTCCGTCACCTGCAGGTACGGAAGCAGCTCGTGCAGCTCGCGCCGCCACGCGTGCAGCAGCTTGACGTCCGAGGAGCGCAGCGCGTGCGTGCGCCCGGCGGTCTCGATCTCGAGGCGGCCGCCGCCGTCCGGCGTGTCGACAAGCCGCACCTCGTGCGCGAGGCGGACCTGCACGGCCGAGACGCCGGCCGGCGGCTCGAGCCTTTCGAGTGTCATCTCGCGGTTGGAGTAGAGGCGGAAGAGCGCATCCTCCCACTCCTCCCCGGCCTGCATCTCCATGCGCGACTCGAGGAGGAGGGCGATTGGCTTGCGCCGCAGCGTCAGCTCCACCGTGCTCTCGGACGCGCGGATCGCCTCGATGACCTTTTCGTACGACGCGATGTGTTGCCCGTTGACGCCGAGGATGATGTCGCCCACCAAGATGCGACCGTCCTGACCGGCGACGCCGTCGGCCCAAACTGCGCCAATCGTCGCCGCCTTGCGGTAGTGGTCGACCTCGAGCCCGAGCCCGTGGTCTCCTGGGGTCAGCTCCACGGTGAACTGCGTGTCGTCCCGGGAGGCGAGCGCCGAGAGCTGATGCTGCGCCACAACCTCGTTGGCTGCGGCTTGCATCTCTCCAGCCACCTGCGCCGCAATCTGCTCCGCCGTTGGCGCCTCGGCGTTTGCCTGCGCTTCCGCAGCCGCTTCGGCCGCGGCTGCGGCAGACGCCGCGGCGGCGGCGGCTTCTGCAGCGGCCTCCGCGGCCGCCTTTGCCGCCTCCGCCTCTGCCTTCTCGGCGGTGCCCTTGGCGGAGGCCGCCACCGCCGCCGCCGCCGCGGCGGCCTCCTCCTGCCGCTGCCGCTCCTTCTCCTCGCGCAGACGGCGCTCCTCGGCCTGCCGGCGCCGCGTCTCGGCAACTTCGCGCTCGCGCCTGCAGACACACAATGCGCAACCCCTCAAAAGATGCAGTGTGGCGGAGCAGGCTGCAGCCGCACGCAGCGCACCGGGCGAGGAAGAGAAGCTGGCGCTTTCGGTGCTCGACGTAGATGATGTGGCTGGCGCGGAAGTGCTGGATCTGCCGGGCGGCGGCGCGCATCTTCTTCAAGCGGAGGCGGCAGAGCGACATCCTCGCGTAGCCTTGGAGCCTCGCCGACGCCTTGCGGCGGCGCTCCCACTGCTGCACCTGCGAAGCGGAGTGGACGCGGAGGGCGTTGCTGGTGGGGTACCGACCTGGGGTGGTGCGGGGTGCGGGGTGTGGCCTTTTCGAGCAGCTGCGGCAGCATCTCGGAGATGTCGCGCTCCGCCAGCTCCTCGAGCACCTGCCCCGCGCCGGCGCGAAAGAAGAGCCGGGTTCGACCGATGCGGAACGCCTCTGCGGGGATGTCGAGCGCGAGCGCGAGTGCCTCGCAAAAGTGCGGCGGCTCGAGGTCGCGCAGGAAGGGCGGCATTTGCTCGGCGTAGCGCTCGTGGATCGCCTTGAAGGGAATGCGCGTCGGAAAGCCGTGCGCCATCAGGCTCACGGCGTCGACGGTGCCCGAGCAGCGGAGCTGTGGCAGCACCAGCGATGGCACAAACTCGGACGCCGCCAGCCTGGTGTTGGGCTTGACGCAGCGGATGAAGTGGGCGGTGGTCGCGTTCAGGTCCGCAACCAGCTCGTTCAGATCGTTGATGAAGCGCCTTGAGACCGAGTTGAAGCTCTGCCCCTTGCGGCCCGAGGCTGCGCCCACATCAAAGAGGTCCTTGACGAGCCCGACCCCCGACGCGGCGAGCAGCTCGGTAAAGTCGGCATGCAGCGTGTCGTTGTTCTTCTCGACGAAGCCGCGGCCCGTGTAGACGACGTCGCCCGCAAAGTGGCGCACGCAGAAGCCCTCGTCGGAGCGGAGGTCGCGCCTGCCCGCGAGCCGAGGCTCGACGAAGAAGTCGTTGCTCGCGTGCGTCGCCGCCGCCGCCTCGCAGAAGCTCTTGTCGGTTGCGTTCGGCCGCTTGCACGTCTCGTCGAGCAGCCGCAGCAGGCCCGAGGGCGACTGCTCGATGAGCGCGATGCACCGCGAGTTGTCTTGGTACTCGACGTCCGGCCGACGCACGCCCTCGGCCGCGTACAGCTCCTCCTCCGCCTTGAAGACAAACCTGAGAAAGAACTGCTGCAGCTTCTCGTTTGCAAAGTTGATGCAGAGCTGCTCGAACGCGTTTGTCTCGAAGGCCTCGAAGCCGTAGACGTCCAGCAGTCCGATGAAGGCCGGCGGCGCCGCCTCGCCCCCCTCGGCGCGCGTCGCGCGATTGATCCAGCCGATGGTGCGCTCGAAGAGGCGCGCGTAGGTGGCCTTGGCGAGGGCGTCGCGCGCGAGCGCCGCCCGCTCGGGCGTCAGCTCGACGCGGGTCGTCTCGCCTCGCGTCACCAGCGTGCGCGCCAGCAGCAAGGAGCCGAGGCGCGGCAGGCCGAGCAGCTCCGCCGCCTTGTCTAGGGAGGCCGAGGTGGCGGGCTCGACGGAGGCGGCCTCGTCGCCCTCGAAGCGGACGTTGCCGAGGTGGAGCAGCCCGGCGATGACGCGGAAGACCTCGCGGACGGTCTGGGGCTCGGCTCCGACGGAGGCGAGGGCCGCCCGCACCACCTCGAAGGCGGCGCCGTCGTCCCAGCCGGGCGCCTCGAGGGTGCCCGACTGGTTGAGGTAGTGGAAGCCGGATGGCCCGGCGTCGAGCCCGAGGCAGGCGAGGTCGGGGTGAGCCGCCGCCGCGACGGCGGCGTAGAAGATGTGGTAGTTGCGCTCACCAGGCGCCTGGTAGGGCACGCGGCTCTTCTCGAGCAGGTACTGCTTCGTCGTCGCGCCCAGCACTGATCCGCGCTCCGAGAGGCCAACCTTGACAAACTTGCCGAAGCGCGACGAGTTGTTGTTGCGGCTCGTCTTTGCGTTGCCGAAAGCCTCCAGCAGCGGGTTCGCCATCAGGATCCGCTCGGCGAGGTCCCCGCCGACCGACTCGGACTTGGACCGCCACGCCAGGTACGCCATCAGATGCTTGTTGGTCTCGGTCTTGCCGGACCCGGACTCGCCCGACACCACCAGCGACTGCGAGCCCTTGGTCCGGACAAAGCTGCGGTACGCCTCCTCGGCCAGGGCGTAGACGTGCGGCTCGGCCGCCCCGAGGGGCTTGCCAGCGTACTCCTCCATGAGCGGGGCGCCGTAAATGGGCAGCGACTGGAAGGGGTTGACGGCGATGAGGATGGCTCCGACATAGGAGTAGATGGACTGGTCTTCGTAGCGAGCGCGAAGGTTGTGCAGGATGGTCGCCTCATTGATGTGGATCAGCGCGCAGCTATCCGCCGCCGAGGCCACATCGTTTGCGAGGCTGACGTCGGCGGGCCGCACCAGCCTCTCGCCAGACTGGCTCCGCACCGTGTAGCCCTTGCCGCGCTCGTAGGACTGGACGACGGCGGGCGAAAAGACCTCCTCCTTTGGGCCGCCGCGCACCCATACGGACGAGCCAGCGGCGATGCCGGCCATGAGCTGCACCAAAAGCGGCGGCCGACTTTGGCCGGGCGCACCGCGGAGTGTGTCACGTACGTTTTCTTTCCAACCGGCGGAGTGCGACCGGCCAACCACTCAGCGAGCCGTCTTTTTACCAGGTTGCAACCCTAGTTTCGCACTGTGCTGTGAACGCTGCTGGTTGGCGTCGGTTGCGCAGCACCCCGTCCCCATCCATCCAGGTTGTTGGTTGGTTGCTGCCCCAGGTCCCGCACCATGTAGGTGCAACGCCCCGTTCTCTGGAACTGGATCATGCTTGTTCGGGTACGTGGTTCGCCCGTCCCTGTGTCCCGTGCACGTCGCCCGTCGGCAAAGCCGACGATAGGTGCAATGCACGCCGCTGGTTGTGGGGAGGACGTGCCGCTCGATGCTGAGAGAGAGATTTTTAAAGACCAACAAGAAATTCTCGATGCTGCGGGCGGCGTTGACGTTCACAGCCAGTTCACGTATTTGGCCCCAGCTCTTCGGCTCGCTCCGCTCGCCGGTGAGTTGGTTGGTTGCTGGCAGCGTCTGAACCACAGCGTGTCCCGGTCCATAGTTTCTCTTCTTATCCGTTACCATGTAGAGCAAGGTCGAGGGCGGGCCCTTTCGGGCTCGGGCCGCCCTCTTGCCCGCACCTCTGCGGGGCTTGCACGTGGCAGCGGCGGCTCAAGATCCCAGCGATCTCGAGTTCTTCACGCTATCCACTGCGCCGCGGCTTCGCCGCGCCCATCCAAGCCCAGGGCTTGGTTTGCTGATACCCGCATCTCGCTCTGCGCATCTCTGAGGCTACCCGCGCGCCGACTGCTACGCGCGCGGCGAGAGGCGCACCCCATCGGGGACAGGATTGAGGCCCCTGTACAAGCTCGGCAACGCTGCCGTCGTTGCCCTCCCGAGCCCTCAACACGATGCCGCACATTGCGCAACCCGTTCTGCGCACATGCCGCAGAGAGGAGTTTTCACTCTTCCGTCGGAGTTTCTCCTTCCTGCAGGCGAGAGCCATCAGCCTCTCTACTTCCAGGGGAACATCTATGCCACACGCTATCCCTGGGACGGTCCACAACCCACACTCTCGCTGCAGTCGATCCAGCCCTCGCACTCCCCACTGGAGATCTAGCCGGGCCCCCAGGCTGGGACAGGATTGGAGCCCCTGTGCTGCGTCTGTCTGTGGTGATATGTGGGGGACACTTTCTCCTCCCTATTCATGTGAGTCACTCGACTGCGTCGAGGGGGGGGACGTCTGAACCACAGCGTGTCCCGGTCCATAGTTTCTCTTCTTATCCGTTACCATGTAGAGCAAGGTCGAGGGCGGGCCCTTTCGGGCTCGCTCGGGCCGCCCTCTCGCCCGCACCTCTGCGGGGCTTGCACGGGCAGCACCCCAGCACCGGGGGGTCCTGAGAGCTGTTGGTTGCCGCTCGATTCACAGCACAGTGCAAAACTAGGGTTGCAACCACGTAAAAAGACGGCTCGCAGGCCTTCCCAAACTAGTGACGGCGGCGAAAAGAAATGCATGCAGGGCTGCGTTGTTCCGCCTCCTCGCTTCTCATCGCCATGCACATGAGACCGGCACGCGTCGCGTGCACACCGCTCGCTCGCGCCGCCGCCTCGAGGGCATTCCCGCGGGCCGCAGCGAAGAGGCTTCCGCCGCTGCTGCGAGGCACGCGGCGCCCTCTGAGCAGCGGGACAGACGACACTTTGGTCGGCGGGCGCGGCGGCGCCTCCTCCTCCGCCGCCCCGCCGACCGGGGGGCAGGACGCAGGGCCGCGGCGCGTGCTCCTGCACTCGTGCTGCGCGCCTTGCTCGGGTGCGATGATCGAGGAGATGGTGTCGGGGGGTCACTCGGTGACCATCTTCTTCTACAACCCGAACATCCACCCGCGCGCCGAGTACGAGATCCGCAAGGCGGAGAACAAGCGGTACGCGGCGGAGCTCGGCATCGCCTTCGTCGACGCGGACTACGACGTGGACGAGTTCCACCGGAGGGCGCGCGGCCTCGAGTTTGAGCCCGAGCGCGGCCGGCGCTGCAGCATGTGCTTCGACATGCGGATGGACGTGACGGCGGAGTACGCGTCGCAGCACGGCTTCGACTGCTTCACCACGACCAACGCGACCTCGCGCTGGAAGGACATGAAGCAGGTCAACGCGTCGGGGCTGCAGGCGGCCGCCAAGCACGGCTTCCGGCCGTACTACTGGGTGTACGACTGGCAGACCGACGGGATGACCGCGCGCAAGTACCGGATCAACGCGGAGCAGCGCTTCTACAAGCAGGAGTACTGCGGCTGCTCCTACTCGCTGCGCGACTCGAACGCGTACCGCAAGGCGCAGGGCATCCCGCCCGTCGCCATCGGCGGCGAGGCGGCGGGGAGCGGCTCCCGCTACTACGACGACCCCGAGCGCGACGCCGCCGAGGAGTCGCAGGAGGTCGTCGACTCCTTCTTCGAGTCGGACGCCTCCTGCTTCGGAGGGAACCGCCTCTACCACGACCGGCGGCGTGGCCCGGACGCAGAGTCGGTCTACGGCGGGCGGCGCAGGCAGGGCGCGGAGGAGTCGGCCGCAGCGGCGGGCGACGACGAGATTGTGGAGCGGAACAATTGGTGAGCCGGTGGGAGAGTGCCGCGCGGTAGCCCAGCGCGCGCTCGCTAAGGCCCGCTTAGAGCCGCCGAGTGATGAGAGTCAGAAGATCACATGTACATGAGTAATTCTCCGTGTGTAGTATAATACACACACGCGCCATCGGCATCGCGTCAGCCGTCAGCGTCACGCATAAATATATAAACGTATGTACGGCTTTTGCTCATCGATTTACGCGTGTACACGGGGTAGTGGTACGGGGGCCGCGGCTCTATTTCCTCCGGGGATGCACGAAAATACATTGGTGCGGGGTCCCCCGTCGGGAGGAGCAGGAGGACGACCCCGCGGCTAGCGCGCCCGTAGGCCGTAGCCGCCCGACCACCCCCCACAAAGTGCCCTGCACACTGCAAAGATCGCACGGGCGTCGGGCGGGGACCTGTTCCTTGTGCCAGCTTTATGCGCACGGCCCATCCTCGGAGCGGATCCTGGCATCCTGGGCACCCCATCGCCCACAACCCACAGAGGAGAGCGACCCGTTCTCGATCACCTCCGCTTGTCCGCTGCGCGTCGAATGGCCGGAACAGTTGGCGCCGGCGAGCGTAGAACGCCTGCTGGCCCCCTCCACAGCAGCGCGGAGAGCGCCCCGCCCACCATCAGCGCAAAGGTGAGCGGCGGCAGAGCCACTGCGAGCAGCGCGCAGCGCAAAGCGGTGCGGAGGCGACCGGGCGGCGCGCCGCCGCCGCAATCGACCTCCTTGAAGTTTTGCGCCGTTGCGGGAGGGTGGCCGACTGTGTTTGTGAGCGTGCCCAGCCCCTCTGCGGAGAGCGCCACCTCGTCGCCGGGCTGCAGCCACCTACGGAACGGTTCAGGGAAAGCTCGGGCAAAGCTCGACGCCTCCTCCTTCACCTCGTGGGCTGCGGGCCGCCTGCCGATCTCGAGGCCGCAGCAGTTCGGGACGGTGCCCATCCCGATGAGCTCACCTGAGGGGCGAGGCCGGGCGGCGGGTGCGCGGCGGGCCCGATCGTCCTCCCCACGCAACAGCAAGGGGCGCCCGGCTGCAGGCCCTCGTCGAGCGCCATGTACCGCACGAGCGCCTACAAGGACGGAGGAGAGCCGCCTGAGCAGTGTGAGCCGCCCTCCTCCCCGCGGGGCGCAGCCGCCGCCTCGAGGCTGCACGCGCGCGCCATGCCCGTGCTCGACTGCTCGCCGCCCGCGCCGCGCCATGCCTCGCCGTTCACCTTGACCTCCACGCGCAGGCCACGCCCCTCGAAGAGCGAGCCTACGGGCGAGGCGAGACGCGTCCGGAGAGGCCGGCGCGGCGCGCAGCCCCGCGGTGTCAGAGCGAGCCGCGGTCGCCCGGCGCCCAGAGCTCGTCGGAGGAGACGACATCGAGCCCCATCGCCGTCGCCGCCGCCTTGCACTTGACAAAGCCAAAGCCGACCGAGACCAGCTCGTCGGCCTGCACGTCTCTCGCCGAAAAGTCGTTGATGAGCACGAATCCGCCGAGCGCGGCGGCCACCTCTGCGGCGGTGGCCTCGCGCGAGACGGGCCGCGTGATCAGCACGGCGACCTCGAGTTCGTAGTCCAGCCAGCCGCAGGTCGACGGCCACGGGGCCTCGTCGCCGTCGGCGATGAAGGTGCACGGGTTCCCGTGGTAGTAGCCGGGACGCGCAGCCGGGTTGACGCCAAAGGGCAGCCGCAGCGACTTGCCGATCTGCGAGAGCGCCATCTGCAGGAGGTGGCCCTCCTTCCCGGCCACCGCAACGAATCCGCGCACGGCCTGCGACATGTGCTGCACGTAGGAGCCGGCGTCGCGAAAGCTCCTCGGCTGAAAGGGCAAGACGAAGCCGCTCTCCACGACGCACGATGCCGATGCGGCGGCCGCAAGCTCCGTGGCCGCCTCGAGCACGGCTGGGGAGCACGCGAGGAGGGCGACCACCGATCCGGCGCTCGTCTTGATCTCCTCCTCCGCCGCCGAGAGAGCAGCGGCCTTGGCGGCAAGCGCCTGCTCCAGAGACACCCACCGCTGCTCCTGGTCGCGAAGGCACACGCCGAAGCTGGGGTGGAGTCGGAGGCGCACCATAGGCCGCGCGACGCCGAGGGTCGTCGGCGTGAGCCGTGTGTGTGCCAGTCTGCGGCTCTGCGCCCTTCTTGTGCCGAGGAAGATGAACCTGTTCGACTTTGCCTCCTCATTCCGCAGCTCTGAGGACGGGGAAGATGACTCAGAGGAGGACGAACCAGTGGAAATTCAGTTGTCAGATGTCACGATGCATCCGAAGGGGACCCCAGCGCCGGCATCATCCGTAGAGGCACGAGTGTTCGAAGAGAGAGTGGACCTGAGCAACAACATGACTTGGAGGCAAATGATCGGAGTGGGAGTCAGAAATGTGGTCCTTGCGCGAGGGGAGCTCGATAGACTCGAGGGGCCAGGATACGCCGCAAGGAGGACGGAGTTGCGCCGAGAGGCGAAAGAAGCCGCGAGAACAAGGGACCGGCAGGCGGCGGCGTCGCAGGACGAGGCAGAAGAGAACGACGCGACAGAGGGGGAAGTGACAAGGGAGAGAACGACGAGAGTGGGACAGCCGCGAGGTGGCATGAAGGTTGCAGCGAGAAGCGGCGAGAGACTGCGAAAAGAGATACGAGGAGGCAGACCCCCCAGGGTGGGCGACGGCTAGCGCATCACACCCTCCTCTCCTTAAAATCCCTGTGTGGTGGCGGCGTGCCGTTCTCCCATCCCTCCCTTGGGTTGTGTGTTTTCTTTCTTTCTTTCTTTCCGCAGCTCTCGATGCGCTGCGATAACTTGCGAATTTTTTTCGGGCTCCTAGCTCGCCGCGCACTGGCCCCTGCTGCGTCCCCGCGCCCCGCGCCTGCACGGTGGCGTGGCGCCCGCCCTCCACCCGCCTCCCCGCGCGGGCCCGCTCCCCCGCCCGGGGCCCCTCCACCACAACTGTACTAGGATTCCTATTACTATCAACAGCATGGGCTTACGTTCCAGGGTAGGGTTGGGTGGGCAAGGCTATTCACATGCACCATTCGTCTATTTCTGGAGTTTCTCCTTTGGCAGCGTTGGGTAGCGTCCATCTCCCTCCCTCGTGAGATGACAAAAAGTGTTAGAGTTGTTTGGTATTGCTAAAAATCTCTCTCTCGTGAGATGCAGCGAGCGAGGAGCGAGCGAGCGAGCGTCGAGCGAGAGAGCGAGAGAGAGAGAGAGAGAACAGAGAGAGAGAGAGAGAGAGAGAGAGAGAGAGAGAGAGAGAGAGAGAGAGAGAGAGAGAGAGAGGAGGAGGAGGAGGAGGAGGGGGGGGGAAGGGATCCAGGGAATAACGCCACGACGGGCACTTGTCCGCTTTCCGTCCACGTGGCGCCAACTTTGAAGCGAGCGAGCGACCGATGTGGACACGCCATGCAGCTCCGCAGGAGCCGTTGGCGGGTGCCGAGCGAGAGGGCGCCCCGCCGTGTCGCGGCAACGCGTCGGACCTCGCATTCCCGACGACCGACGCGGCGCTGCACGCAGCCATGAGGCGATGCGGCGCGGTCGGCGAGCTGTCGTGTGGCGGCGATTCAGAAGGCAGGCAGGCACGTGAAGAGGTCCGCCGCCTGCCGCGGCTGCTCCGCCGACTCAACTGCGCCGTGTTGCCTCGTGGCGCGCTCAGCGCTCAAGTCAATTTCTTGGCGCACGCGGCGGGCGTCCACGAGGACCTGCTGCCCCTGTATGCATTCAACGCCCTCAGCTCCAACCCAAACTCGACGGCGGAATTGGTGGTGGAGGACGCGGAGGACTTTGTGCTGAAGCACCACCAGGCGGCGGAGTTCCTCCTCGCCCGCTTTGGGCCCAGTGCTGTCTGCGTGCGGAAGAGCATCGTCGTGAGCGGCGACGCGGCACGCAGATACCCCCTCCTTCCCACCTAGCACACCCTCTCCATCAGCGCTCGTAGCTGGCAGAGCTGGAGCCGGCCACCAGACAGCCTGGCACCGCCCCCTGCGGACGACGCGCGCACACACACCGGGCTCGGCGCTCCGCTGCAGGAGCAGAACACCGTCCGCTTCATGATTGCTCCTCAACGGCACGCAGAGTACACGTGCGCCGTGGGCCCGGCTCCGAGCGCGACGCGACCATACTGCGGAGCTTAAAGAGGCATTCCGTGTTAGGTACATTGGCGATGTTGACATCCTGCTGTCGGCGCCGCGCTGCCGCCGCCGCCACGTCGAAACTGCTACCGTCTCACACTTTGCGCTGATCGCAGGAGCCCGTCATCAACGCCAAGCGGCTGCAGCAGATGCGGCACTATGGCCTCCCGTATAGCAACGTGCTGCGCGCCAGCGACAACTGCAGCCGCCTCACCGGAGTCATGCTGATGCGGACGCGCGACTACTACACGCCACGGCTCCTCTCTAACCAAGTGCACGGCTGCTTTGGGTGCCACCGTGACGAGGCGCGCGGGCCGAGAGAGGATCGCGCGGGTCGAGAGAAAGGCACTCTGCTCGCAGCCCCGCCTTGACGCCCCACAGGTCTACCTGCAGCGGCTGGTGCGTGCTTCAGGGCATGGCCTGCCGCCTTGTGGCGTCCGCGGCAGCCCGAAACTCGCGCGGTGAAACGCACCCACGAGTTGCGTGAGGCACCATCTTCCAGCCTCGAAACCGGCTCGCCTTCTGTTGCAGGTACCGCCCGATACACGGCGCGCACCTCAGCCTGAACCGCGGGCCGGAGCGGCGCATATGCCTCGCCGTCCCATCCGATGTGCGTCTGCGGCCACTTTTGCTCACTCGCGCAAGCGACCCCGGCCAACATGTGATCGGGGCAGCGTCGCCATCGCAGGCGGAGAGTTCGTGGTGTCAAGTGCTGCGGCAGCCCGCCCTCTCCGAGTTCCTCTGCCACAGCGCTGCCGGGCGCTCGATGCTGAGGGTGCGCCCCGATGCGAGCGCGCGCGCAAGCCGCTCCACACTCGCCGATGGCGGCGGTACGGGAGAACGCTCCCGCCTCAGCTGAGCTGTCTCCACCGACACCGCGTCAGGCCTTTGCGAGCAACATCGCCGCCGAGAGGGAGGGCAACTACCGCACTGCGGACGATGCCGGGTCCCCGAACGGGAAATGCTGCCTGCCTAGTCGGCGATGACTACTGTTGTCGAATGCTCAAGCATGCTGCATACGCTTGACGGAGGGTGTGAACGCGGGCTTAGAGTGAGGGTCAGAGAGCGGTGTTCGCACGGCCAAGGCCTGTTTCGCGGAAGAAGAGCTTTGGTATCATTCCATCTCTGACCCAGTGCGTGCGGTCCTCTGGGCCCACATAGGGTGGGGGGAAGACGGGGAAAAGAGAAAGAAAGCGGGAGTGTAAGGTGTGCCTATATGGGCTTCCAGTATCGGACCTTCAAGACATGCGCTTTTGGCCGGTGGCCTCCTCGGACATGGTACCTCCGGTGAGATAGTTCGAGACTGGGGCCGATCGAACTTGACTTGTTCGGAGGAGGAATCCGGCCAGCACGGGTACAAAGAGGGGTACCCGGAGAATCCCCAGCTGCGGAAACGTAGTGTCGCTCAAGAGGTGCGATACTGTATCGGACCTTCAAGACATGCGCTTTTGGTCGATGGACTGAGCCGCGCACTTTTTCTTCTCAAAGACGCCGTGCACGGCGTGTCGACACAGCTCTCGAATATGTCGTCGACTCCCCTGTGGACGGGCTCGTACATCGAAGGCCACGGCGCCTGCCGCGTCGGGAGCCTCGCCAACTCGCTGCCCGGCCACTTCGACGAGAAGTGGCGCGTCGAGATTGCGGAGTGCAAACGGCTGTGCGACAGCCACCGCTGGTGCGAGGCTTTTGAGTACGGCTCCGCCACAGGCTATATGCGATGCGAGCTCCACCGAATCCTCCCGACGCACGCGCTGCCGATGCCGTCCTACACCTGCTTCGTCAAGGACACGCCGCCGGCTCGCGTGCACTGGGGAGGCAGCAGCAGCCAGGGAGGAGGCAGCACGGCCGCCGCCACCAGCAGCGCTCTCGTGCCGCCTCCGCTCTCGGCGCCGTCGCCGCTGGTAGCGCCACCGCCGCCGCCTGCCCCGCCGCCGCCGCCGCCGCCTCCGGCCCCCGGCATGCCTGGCAACGCGCCCCGGCCACCTCAAGTTCTGCCTCAAGTTCTGCCGGTGGCTTGGTCGCACCAAGGAGTCCAGACTGGCGGAGGGGCGGCGGGATGGCAGGGCGCGTCGGGCGGCGGCGTCGGGTCGGGCAGCGTCGCTGCGCCGAGCGGCGGCATCGCTGCGCCCGGCGGGACGCTGGGCGCCTTAGCCTCGCCCGCCTCTGCCTCGCCCGCCTCTGCCTCGCCCGCCTCTGCGAGTCGCTTCCCGACCGCGCGTCGCTACGGCACCGCGATCGGCAGCACGGGCACGGGCGCGGGCTCGCACAGCGCCGATTGCACCGTCAGCCCGTACAAGGACCTGCGCCGCTGCGACTTTACCGGGCAGAGCCTCTACCTCGCCAACTTCGAGCACGGCGTCGCGGACCAGCTGGCGCTGGTGCGAGCGGACCTGACGTACGCGAAGCTGGACTACGCGCAGATGCGCGACGCCGACCTGACCAACGCAACCTGCCGGCACGCGACGACCTCGCGGACCCTCGGGGGGGAGGGGGGGGGGGTGCACGGGCTCCTCACCCAGTCGAGTCGGTGACACAGGAGCGAGCTCCACTAACCCTAACCCTAACCCTAACCCTAATCCTCACCCAGTCGGGTCGGTGACACAGGAGCATGCTCCATGCCCATGGCTCCATGCCCACATGGCTCCATGCACAGGTACGCGAGCCTCAAGTCGACGAACCTGAAGGGCGCGACCTTCGACGGCGCGGACCTGACGCAGGCGCTGATGGAGGGGGCCACACTCACGGACGCCTCCTTCGTCAACGCGACCGCCGGCGCCGTGCGGCCTCGACGGGCGCGACATCTCCCACACAGACACGTCCCTGACGCGTCCCAGTGACGTGGCCGCACAGGCTCCGCCGTTCTCAAGGGCGCGCTCGCCGCGAACGCCAACTTCGCCCGCGCCATGCTCAACAATGCCGAGATGGAGACGCTGCAGGCGCCGGGGGCGCGCTTCGAGTATGCGAGCCTGATGTACGCCGACTTCTCGAAGAGCAACTTGCGCGGTGCAACCTTCGTCGGCACCGTCTTCTCCTTCACCTCCTTCAAGGAGGCGGACCTCACGGGCACAAACTGGATCCGCGCTTCGGGCCTCGAGACGTGCGACTTCACAGGCGCAATCTCCGCACCGTACGTCCTCGCCACGGTCGTGCTGCCGCCGCCGCCCCCGCCGCCCGAGGAGCCGGAGCTGCCGCCCGGCCTCTTTTTCCAGTACGCCCCGCCAGCGCCCGCGGCCGCAGCGCAGACTCGTCCCGGCTACGGCCCCGGAGGCGTGCGCGTGGTCACGCGCCCGCCACCCCCGCCGTACGCCTACGTCTACGGCGGCGCACCCACCACGACCGCGCCCGCAGCCACACCTGCAGCAACGCCCGCAGCAGCGCCCGCAGCCACGCCCGCGGCAGCGCCCGCAGCGAGCCCGGCCGCTTACAATTACCTGTACAGCGCGGGCTCGTACCCCCAATTCACGGGCCGCTGAGTAAGAGAGAGCAACTCGTGGGACCAGCACGTGCACATGCTAGCAACATGTGTGCGCGTGTGTGCTACGGCCCCACAGTCCCCACAGAGTCAGTGTGCGAGATGTTTCTCTCTCACCTCTCCGTGTCTGTGTCCGCTGATGTCTCGCTGCCTGGTGCCTCGCGCAGGCACCTTGCACCATAATCCAATTTCCGTATGTACGGCTTAAGCGCGCCCCCGCGCGTAAAGCCGTACTGCGTAAGCCGTAACACACACGACGACATCGACAAACAAAAATGGACAAATATTGCGGGAAGCAAAGTGTACACGCACGGCACGGCTTTACACTGTCACTGATCGCACGGGGCACGGCAGGCCACAAGCGGCCAACGGCCTCACTTGACGCGTCTCACTCACAGGTTCTCACACAACCGATTACGTCATGTCTCATGATCCACGCCGCACTGTCACCGGCACCGATCGGTCCGCCCAACTTGCTCCTCGAGAAACGACGGCGGGTCATCGCGACTCCTCGCCCGGGCTTTGCGAGAGACGAGTCTCTCAGAGAGGAGAGGGCTCACACGGCGGCTCCAGCGCACAGGTCGGACTCGATCTCCTGCCAGCTGAGGTCGTGTGAGCAGGGGCTCGGCAGCAGCTGCGGGCTGGCCAGCTGCCGCGGGCTCGCGCCCAGGCTCGCGCCATCGCCTTTTGCGCCCGCCGTCGGCGTCGCGGAAGGGTCGAGGTAGTGGTGGTTGGGGTAGGGGTGCGGGTAGAAGCCGCCGGCGTAGACGGGTGCGCCCACGTGCTGTGGCATGGCGGCGTGGGCCATGGCGGGGTGGGCACCGCGCGCAAGGCCGGCGGCGTGCGCGGCGTGAGGGTGCAGCGGCGCGGCGGTCGGCCGGTCGTTCGCCTGCGGGACGCGTGTCACGGACGTGTCACGGACGTGTCACGGGCGTGTCACGGACGTGTCCACACGGACACCGGGAGTGGAGGGTGTCGCTGCTGCGGGGTGAGGGCCAGGCCGGCGCGCGCCTGCTGCAGCTCGCGGAACTCAAAGTCGAACTGGTCGGTGGGCGGGCCGGCGTCGGGCGCTGCCGCGGCCGGCGGCGCGGCCGGCGCGAAGGCAGGGTCCATGCAGTCTTGGCCGAGGCCGATGCTGCTGAGGGTGGCGGAGAGGCCGGTCTTGAGCTGCGGCCGCGGAGGCGGCGGGAGCGTGAAGTAGGCTGGAGCAGAGCCTGGCGGGAGAGCGGCGGCGGGAGGGTAGCCGCTCTCGCCGCCGCCTGCCTGGCCCTGGCCGGCTCCGCTCCAGCCCTCGCCGCCGTTCGCGGGAGGCATGGCCGCAGGGCACGGCGCCTGCGGCGGGTACCCTTGCGAGGGGGGGTACCCTTGCGAGGGGGGGTACCCTTGCGAGGGGTGGCCGTCGTACGCGGCGCCGTAGTACCCTGCGGTGTACCCTGCGCCTGCGTAGTAGTAGCCGCCCGCCCCTGCATACGCCACCAGCGGAGGCGGCCCTGCTCCTGTCCCGACGCCTGCCCCTGCCATCCCGGCCCCTGCCATCCCGACTCCTGCCACAGGCGGGTAGGCGCCGCCCTGTTCCTGCGGCCTCGGGAGCCTCGGGAAGGCGCTGACGCCCGGCGGCTCTCGGCCGAACGCAGAGAGAGACAGGGCGCCGTCCCCGGCGGGAAGGTGCTGCGCCCAGAAGGGCTGGTCCCCCGCGACCGCAGCTGCCCTCTGCGCGCCCCAGGACGGCCCCGTAGTAGCCGGAGGAGGGCCTTGCCACAGCTGGTCCCCTTGCGGGCGGCCCTGCTGAGGCGTCTGCTGCGGGCGCGCCCGCTGCTTGGGCCGGCTCTGCGGCGGTGCCACGGGCCGCGCCGCCGCCTCCTTGATGCGCTGCGTCGCGTACGCGCCGAGTTCGGCGCCCTTTCGGACGAGCGCCTCCTCGCCCTCGACCGCCTCGCTCGAGAGGGCGGGGCAGACGTGGCCGCGCTTGGGCTGGCCGCACCGGCGGCAGCGGTAGCCGAGGATGCCTGGAGGGGGGGGGGGGGGGGGGGGAAGCGCGGCGCTGCGGAGAGCCAGCGGAAGGCGCGGGGCACGCACACCCTTCGACTGGTTCTCCTCTCGCATCTCCAGTGCTCGCTCCATGCGAGTCCAGCGGTTGCGCACGCCGTTGTCCGTCCGGCCGGGGAGGCACCTGCGCGTCGTCGCGGGGAGCGGTGCGGCTCTCTCTACCGCCTGTGGCGACACACAGTCTTGTCCCGCACGGCGACAACACGCCCCCCTCGCCCTCTTCTACCTATAGCCCTCTACAGCGGAGGCGCGCTTGGCGATCGCCGACCAGCGCTTGCCGGACTGCTGAACCATCTGAAGGATGACGAGGTCCTCCTCGACCGTCCAAGAGGGCACGCGGCTGCTGTCGCTGCGTAAGCTGCGCCCTCCGCCCCAGCCCCGCCCGCCGCCTCGCCCCGCCCGCCGAGGCCTCGGCGCCGACCCGTTGTCGTCTTGGTCGTCGCTGAAGGGCAGCGCCGCCCCCTCTTGGCCGAGGCCCGCTTGCTGCGGGAGGCGGAGGGCCTCGAGGTCGCCGTCGAGGTCCTTGTCCGGGCTCTCGAGCGGGAGGATGGCCGGCGAGGGCAGCAGGGAGGGCAGGCCGCTCGAGCCCGCAGGGTCGGCCGTCGCCTCCTCGCCGCTGCTGCTGCCCCCGAAGACTGCCTGCCGCTCGTTTGCCGTCGCGGCCACCTGCGCCTGTGGGGACGGCGCGGCGATGGGGGCGAGGGGAGGAGGCGAGGGGGAGGAGGCGGGAGCGGCGAGAGGGCGGCACCTTGAAGGCCTCGAGTTGGCGGAGCACGTTCGTCTCCTGCTGCGGCTCCGCCGACGCCTCGGGGTGCTCGCCGACCGAGGCCGCAAGAAAGCCCACGCCGCGGTGGGCGTCCGGCGCCTGCGGCAACGTACGCACACGGGCACTCGCGCCGGGGTGGCCGCGGTGGCGGCAGGGAGGCAGCAGGGACCCCCGGAGCGCGCGAGACTCTGCTTGGAGCTTGCCGTCTGTCGTCGTGTGGGACAAACACCCTCTCGCCGATAGCTGACTAGATGCGCACCTCCCCGGCGTTGCCTTTGGCTGCTGCCGGCGCGGCGACACCGTCCCCTGCGGCCACCTTTTTGTGGACCGGGCTAGGCAAAGGCGAGCAGAAGTTGCCCGCGGCTCCCGCCTGCGGCTCACACACTGGCCGTGTGCGTGTTTGCTTAACGGCGTAGCCCGAGACGGCGTCCCCACTGCCGATGAGGGAGGCCGCAGCACCGCGGTCGGCGCCGACCTCGATCGAGAGTTCCCGCATCAAAGGCGTTCGCTTCCGATCACTGAATCAAGGACACTGTCTGATGAAGAAAAAAGGAAGAGACGGATGTTCTCATTGGTGTCCAGTCCGAGCCTGGATGTTCTTCACCTTTCTACCTACCTACCTAGGTGGATATCCTTTGGCCGCGTTGGGTAGCGAGGTTCTACATCTACAGCTCTACAGCGATAAACTCGAGGGACCAAAATATCGCTGCGCTATAGGCTCACAGTGTCACAGATGGCCAAAATACGCGGAGAGGAGAGCGGAGTCACGCAGAAAGGCGAGAGAAGCAGCGAGAGCAAGAGATCGGCAGACGACAGCGGCTCAGAACGAGGCCGAGGAGAGCGATGAGTCAGGGGAAGAGACAGCAGGAGAGAGAACGACGAGAGTGGGAAGAACGCGAGGTGGCATGAAGGTCGCTGCGAGAATCGCGTCCTCCCATCCCTCCCTTGGGTTGTCTGTTTTCTTTCTTTCTTTTTCAGCTCTACAGCGCTCACAGCTCAGTGCTCTAGGTACACTCTACATACATGCTCTTCATGCACCCTCCCTTCAGGCGAAAGCCTGCCTGCCTGTCTCCTGCCTGTCTGTGTGTCGCGTTTTTGTGTCGCGAACGAACGAACGCGATATACTCGGGGCTCCCCCCTCCGTGTGAGGGACCGTGAACATCTTTAGCTTGTGAGCCAGGAAAAGGGTTGTAGATATGAAGTCAGTTGTAGAGGAGAGAGAGAGAGAGATTTTTAGCAATACCAAACAACTCTAACACTCACACATCATTTGGGGCCTGGAGCCCTGTTTGTTTTGTTTGTATATGTATAGAGAGAGAGGGCACACAACACACACACACACAGTCACACACACACACACACACGCACTCCCGGGGTCTCTTGGAGCAGAGCCGCGGGGCGAGCCCTCGAGGGTCCTCGAGAGGGATATCCCGGGGTGGGAGGGCCTCTACCGGCCAGGGCGAATGCAACCTGGAAAGAAGTGGAGCTGCGACGGGAAGAAGCTCCTGGAAACCGCAGGTCCGTCAACTTCACAAGATTCACGTCACGCGCTAACCAAAGAAGGTGTGCTTCGCCCTCCTTACGCCGCAGACGTTCCACAGTGCGCGCCGCCGCCGCTGTGGGGAGAGGCGGTCGATGGGGCTAGGGTTGACCCTCACCGTCCGTCGCAAGAAGCCGGCGGTGGTCGTCAACTCGCAGGGCAAAGGGCAGACCGGTCCGGCCGACCCGCTTGCAGGGGTCGAGAGCGTGCAGCCTGGGCGGCTCAGAGACAAGGAGCTTGAGCGGCTCGACAAGATTCAGGCGATTCGCAACAGCTCGAGCGTCGCCGACACCATCATCCACACCTCCCTCGATCTCTCCGACGCCTCCTCCGAGCCCTCGACGAGCTCGCGGAGCAATGCGCACATCACTCTCGGCAGCGGCGCAGCCAGCCCCGACGAGGCTGTGGCAGCCTCCGAAGCGCCGAGCCGAGGCCAAGCGCCACCCGAGACCGCGGCGTCGATTGAGCCAGCCGTCGCCGTGTCCAAGACGACCCAGGCTCCGGCCTCGTCCCCGTGCGCGGCGCGCGGCGCCGGCGCCGCCGGCTCGAGGGCCGCACCTCCCAAGACAAACCCGCCGCGAGAGGGGCAGCGTCGCGATCCGGCCGCGCCGCTGTTGAAGACGTACGCGACGCCACCGCCGAAGCGCGCCGTGCCGGCTGGGAAGAGCGCGTCTGAGCGCGGGCGAGGCGACTCGCTCCCGACGCCTTCGGCCTGGGCCGGCGGTGGCGCTGCGGTGGGCGGGGCCAGCGGTGGCGCTGCGGTGGGCGGGGCCAGCGGTGGCGATACGGCTGCGGCGGGCGATGACCGATACGGCACGGAGCAGCTGGAAGCCGAGGGGGGGCTGCTCGCCACGCTCGCGAAGGCCGCCAAGGCGATCGGCATGGAAGAGCACCTCGACGCGCTGCTGCAACACGCGAGCCGGGCCAAGCAGACGGCCAGCGGCTTCACGCGGCTGCAAGAGCCGGGCGCTGGCGGGGCGGTGTCCGACAAGTCGGCGGCGGCCAAGCCCTTCCAGGCGCAACTCAGCGAGCTCCTCTCCCACTACGGCGTGCCCAGCTCGAAGCAGTCCCTGGCGAAGTGGGTGCAGGGAACGGTTCGGAAGTGCGTGGATCGCACGCCGTGCGGCAGCGCCCTGCGCTCGGCCTCGAATGCGCGTCCTCGATGGCTGTCAAAGTGCCTACCCAAGCCGGGCGCGGGCTCCGCCTCGAAGGCACCCGAGCCGCAGTTCCGCGACGCTCTCGACCACGTGGGGAGGCAGCAGCGCGAGGGGATCGAGATCCTCCGGAGAGCGCGCCGCGCTGTGGCTGGCGTGGGAGCCGCTGCCTGAGCGCCGCTGCGCGGCGCCGACGCCGCCCTGTCCGCGCAGGCGCCGGAGGAGGGGGCGGTGCGGACGGGAGGGAGGAGGACTGCCACTGCTCTGCTGGGAGGCTGACTGCTCGAGCAGCACGCCACTCGCGGACCCCCCCCCCTGGCGAGGATAATCTAGGATACCGCACGCGTCTCGAGCGAGCCCTGAGCCTCGCCCGGCTGCCCGCCTCTTCTGCCCTCTCGGGGAGCGAGATGTTGCATTGTTGTGGTTATTGTGGTTGCATGTGTTCTTCCATTCCTCTCTGTCAGATGCCGCCGTGCGCGAGCATTGTTATGTTATTCAGGCTGCATTTTTTCTTTTCAGCGATCTTCGGTCTGGCGCGGCCACAACACGACCACCGGAGCCATGGCCTCATTACGTCTCCTGAGGCGCGGCTGCTGCACGGCGCCCGCAGGCTTCGCTCAGCCGAGCCGCGTGTGGGGGAAGAGCAGCCTGCGGTGCGCGTGACGCCTCCGCGCTTTGCCCGCTGGAAGCGCACACGCTCCCTCCTCACGTTGCGAGTGGCGCCGGCTGCGCAGGTGTGGTGCGCTGGGCATGAAGTGTGGGATGACGCAGGCGTGGCAGCCCGACGGCAAGGTGGTGCCGCTCACCATCATCGAGGTGCAGGACGTGCAGGTGGTGCAGGCAAAGCGCGTGCCGACCTCAGAGGGAGAGGGGCTCAACCTGCAGCTGGGCAGCGGCTGGCAGAAGCGGAAGCGGCTCAACCGGCCCGACGCCGGCCAGTTCGAGTCGCGCGGCCTGCCCCTCAAGCGCTACTTGCGCGAGTTCCGCGTCTCTGAGGATGCGCAGCTGCCAGTCGGCATGCGGCCAGCCCACGCGCCACAGTGCCTGAGGAAGCTTGCGTGGGATCTCCTCGGAGCCTTCCTCTAGGCACGACCATCTGCGCGCGCCACTTTGTGCCCGGCCAGTTCGTGGACGTGCAGGGGACGAGCAAGGGGAAGGGGTTCGAAGGCGTGATGCGCCGGTACGGCTTTGCAGGGCAGCCGCGCTCGCACGGCCACTCCCTCTCTCACCGCAGCGGAGGCTCGCTCGGCGGCGCCGCGGGCTCGCTGTACGCCACGCGCGTCATGCCCGGCAAAAAGGCGCCCCGCCCCGCCCCGCCCGCCGCGCTCGTGCTTGCGCCGACTCGCCGCCGCCGCCGGCTCGCAGATGCCCGGCCGGATGGGGGGCAAGGTGCGGACGGCGCACTCGCTGCTGGTCTACCGCGTGGACGCGGAGCACGGGCGAGCAGCGCCAGGGGAGGGGAGGGGCCGAGGGTCGCGGCTCGAGCAGCCCGCCCCCGTGTCCGCAGGCTGGTCTACCTGAAGGGCACGATCCCAGGCGGCAAGGGGTCGCTGGTCCGGCTCAAGGAGCGCCTCTATAGAAGAGAGGGGGGTGGGGGCGGGGGGAGCGTAGGAGCTGAGTCACGAGGGCTCGCTCGTCCTCCAGGACGCGACGCGCAAGCGGATGGACACCTCCGGCAGAGGGCACCACCGCCTCCCTCCCTTCCCCACCTGGCTGCCGGGCGACGACGAGACAGGCGCAGAGACGAGCCGCGTCACGAGCCACACGCGCGCACGCCTCCCAACGCCCGCGCCGTTGGTTGCAGGTGGCGATGTGACCGAGGCGCCGCTCGCGCGTCCTTTGTGATACAACACTGCGTCTCGGAGCATGCAGGGAGGAGACGAGAGATGCCGTATCCTGGCCTCGTCGTGTGGAATCCTCGTGTGGAATCCCACTCTCTCTTGACGCGTTGCGGCCGCCAGCCGCGCCGCGCGCGCGGGTGGCAAGCTGGTGGCGAGCTCGAGCGAGCCGGCGGCGCAACTGTGTGTACTGTACAGTGCGCGGCTGCAAAACAGTAGGAAACTAGGGTCTTGCCTCTTGCTCTCGTTTGTTCTCGCGGGTCCTCGCTCTCTATAATATATGTAGCTCTTGTGAGTTGCGCTGTCCCCCCGGAGCGGTCGCCCGGGTGAACCGTGTCGGCGTGTGGAGGGCGCGCACAGGCTGTGGCCACAGGGGTCTCCCGGTGTCCGGCTCTCTGTCAGTGAGAGAGTCAGAGTCCCGTCACTGACGCACTGAGACACTGTGAGGGGCGCGGGGCGGAAGGATATTTAAGCGTTCACATTATAACAATCAGATGTACCCACCGCCACGCTCGGTTGCGCCCTGCAAGAACTCTCCGACACACGAGAATAAACACATGGTTCACGGACCGCAGGAGCTCGCGCGAGGGCGAGATATAGGCTAGCCGAACTGCCCTTCCGGCATGCGCTCAACCTGGTACTTCCGCTCCTTGATCGAGATGAGGGGCACCCCCGGGATCTTTCGTAGTCGTCGCTTCAGGTCCCGGTCGCACCTGAGAGTGGCAAGGCGCAAGCGGTCGCGGGCTGGACGCGGGGCCGGCCGTCGCGGGCGAGGGCGGGCGAGGGCGGGCGAGGGCAGGCGAGGGGGCGCGAGCGCACGTGGCGACAATGTAGATGCGGTGCGCGGTGACCCGCTCGACGAGGTCGTCGTCAGCGTATTCGTTGCCTTGCCTCATCGCAGGCAGCCTGCCCGATGCCGGAAGTCCTCAGCCAGCCAGGGGAGCGGCTCGTGCGGAGCGAAAGGTGAGGCGGAGCAGCGAACGGTGAGGCGGAGCAGCGTGCGGAGGTGAGGCGTGCAGAGGGCCTCTATGGGGCGGGCCTCCCACTCCCCCTCTCTAGCGGGCGCACACCGCTCGAAGCGAGGGTCCTTCGCGAGTCGCAGCGCCACCCGGTACTTCGGCCCCAGCTTCTCGAGCTCCGCCATCACCGCCTCGGTGACGCACGGGACGACCTGCGGCCGGCCAAGAGAGCGGCAGACGAGGAGGGTGCGAGAAGGCGGTCCAGCGGGAGAGGAGAGCGCCGCGTGCGGCGGCGGGGAGAGGCGCGCGGGGATGGCAGCCGCGAGAAGGCGCCTTTGCGTATAGGCAGTCCATCAAGCTCTTCATGATGTCGAGTTTGTTCTGGATCGAAAAGTTGATGAAGTTGGTGTCGATCAGCACGTGGTATGGCGGACCCAGCGACATGTTGTGCGAGAAGAAGAGGGACGCCGGCGTCTGCGCCACGTTGCGAACCTCGGCATCCTTCCGCTGCCGCTCAAGCTTCGGCAACTGGTTCGGGTTCGGTGCTGGCTTCTTGATGCGCGCATCCTTCGGCGAAATCATCCGCTTGACCGCAGCGAAGGCCTTTGTCTTGCCCTTCTTCTGCTTGCCCATCGCGGCCCGTGAGGCGGGAGGCTTGTGCAGACTGCGCGAGAGGGGCAGGGCGCGAGCTGTGTGCAACGTGCTACCGTTCAAGAAGAATTTAGCCGCGCAACGATAGCGGAGCAGCCGGCGAACTGGAGGGCCGTGGCCGGAGGGCCCCGGGGGGGGCTTGGGGTCAGCTGTCGGAGGAGGCGAGAGATGAGCTAACGCGGCCTTTGAGAGGGGAGTCGGGACGTACGGGCTCACCGGGGGAAGACCAGTTGCAGGGGCAACCGGACCACCGCGACCTTCGACAGGGAGGGCCACGCCTCCCCGAGCCTGGAGAGGAGCCGGCGGAGGGGGAGGGCGAGCCGAGAACGATGGAGAGGCCGCGGATGCGGGCGCGATTCGCCGACCAGGGAGAGCCGGCCCGACCTCCCGGGGAGGGGTGGCGACGAGACACAATGCCGCCACTCCCGCCCGGGGAGGCCCCACCCGGGCTGTCGGCTCCCTCGGGGCCAATGGGGCTAGCCGACGGAGGTGGGGCGGAGGGGCCGCCTCCGAAGAAGAGACATCAAAAACGACTGCAGAGGCAGTGGGGCGACGCCCGAAAGGCGAGCAAGAGACCGAACCAGACTGAAGATCCACCCTGAAAGGTGGGGGGTGAGGCCGGGCAGTGTACACGTTAGACAGTCGTGTGTGTACGTGACGGGTGGTGTCGTAGTGTCCGTGTCCACTAGCTCCGAGTAGAGGGGGCGTTCTGCAGTTAAGGGGAAACCCGGTACACGGAGCCCTCTCCTCGGAGACGTGACTGCCTCCGAGTCGCCGGCGGACAATCGAACGCCACAGCAGCTGAGCTGCTGTTCGGCGCGCTTGTGAGGGGCTCAAGCGATCGATCCGAACCTGCGGCAGGCGACCGCGCGGCAAGCGATCGGCGCCAAAATCCGCAACGACTCCCCTTGTCCGTTTTCTTTCTTTCTGTCCCGTGCCCAGTGTCGTGCGAGGGAGTTTTGTTGTAAAATTCTTTACCGGCAAGGAGCACGGTGGGGACGCTGTCCTCCTCCCACCCCTGGTTTGGCCTCTTTAATTATTTTTGTTTGTGCGCGCGCCAGTCCCGTGCCCGGTGTTGTGCGACCGGCTTAGAATTCTTTTTGTTTCGCGCCAGTTTTGTTTCGCGCCAGTTCGCACCTGTGTCGAGCCTGTGTGCTGTGAGAGAGAGTTGTCTTGTTTAAATTCTTTTTGTTTCCGCTTGAAACGTTCTCGAACGTGCGTTCGTTGTTCGCAGTAGCCTTCCCATGGCCCGCTCCTCCATCGTAGTCGGGCTGGAGGGCGCTCGAGATGTCGAGAACGACGCGCCCTTATGCTGCCGGGCCAATCTCATGGAGGCCTGCAGGATGCAGTTCAGGAAGTCTCGAGACGTGCACACCACGCACGGCACCGCTTCATTTGCAGGCGAGTCTCTAACATTCGGTTGGTCTGAGGGCGACGCCCGACTAGTGGTGGACGTGTGGTCCGGCGACGGCCTCGTCGGTAAGCTCTCCATCCGGCTCGAGAGTTGCAGTGCCGTGGCCTCGACGACGGCCAGCATCCCCCTCCTCATCGGCGGTGAGGTGAAGGTGACTGTCTACCAGACGCTCACTCGGAAAGAGGCAGAAGACCAAGGGGAGGAGGGGGAACAGGAGGAGTTAACGATGCCGGCAGAGGCTGCTGGGGAGACAGAGCGGCTGGCGCAGGCGGTGGAGGAGGCGGCGAGGGTAGAGGCGGAGCGGCTGGCGGCGGAGGAGGCGGCGAGGGTAGAGGCGGCGGCAAAAGTGGCAGAGGAGGCGGCGAGGGCGGAGGGGGAGCGGCTGGCGGCGGAGGAGGCGGCAAGAGTAGAGGCGGCGGCAAAAGCGGCAGGGGCGGCGAGGGCGGAGGCGGAGCGGCTGGCGGCGGAGGAGGCGGCGAGGGTAGAGGCGGAGCGGCTGGCGGCGGAGGAGGCGGCGAGGGTAGAGGCGGAGCGGCTGGCGGCGGAGGAGGCGGCGAGGGTAGAGGCGGAGCGGCTGGCGGCGGAGGTGGCGGCGAGGGTAGAGGCGGAGCGGCTGGCGGCGGAGGTGGCGGCGAGGGTAGAGGCGGAGCGGCTGGCGGCGGAGGTGGCGGCGAGGGTAGAGGCGGAGCGGCTGGCGGCGGAGGAGGCGGCGAGGGTAGAGGCGGAGCGGCTGGCGGCGGAGGAGGCGGCGAGGGTAGAGGCGGAGCGGCTGGCGGCGGAGGAGGCGGCGAGGGTAGAGGTGGAGCGGCTGGCGGCGGAGGAGGCGGCGAGGGTAGAGGCGGAGCGGCTGGCGGCGGAGGTGGCGGCGAGGGTAGAGGCGGAGCGGCTGGCGGCGGAGGTGGCGGCGAGGGTAGAGGCGGAGCGGCTGGCGGCGGAGGAGGCGGCGAGGGTAGAGGCGGAGCGGCTGGCGGCGGAGGAGGCGGCGAGGGTAGAGGCGGAGCGGCTGGCGGCGGAGGCGGCGGCGGTGGAGGAGGCGGAGCGGCTGGCGGCAGAGGCGGCGAGGGCGGAGGCCGAGCGGCTGGCGGCGGAGGCGGCGGCGGTGGAGGAGGCTGAGCGGCTGGCGGTGGAGGAGGCTGAGCGGCTGGCGGCAGAGGCGGCGGTGGAGGAGGCGGAGCGGCTGGCGGCGGAGGCGGCGGCGGTGGAGGAGGCGGAGCGGCTGGCGGCAGAGGCGGCGAGGGCGGAGGCCGAGCGGCTGGCGGCGGAGGCGGCGGCGGTGGAGGAGGCTGAGCGGCTGGCGGTGGAGGAGGCCGAGCGGCTGGCGGCGGAGGCGGCGGTGGAGGAGGCGGAGCGGCTGGCGGCGGAGGCGGCGGCGGTGGAGGAGGCGGAGCGGCTGGCGGCAGAGGCGGCGGTGGAGGAGGCCGAGCGGCTGGCGGCGGAGGCGGCGGTGGAGGAGGCGGAGCGGCTGGCGGCGGAGGCGGCGGCGGTGGAGGAGGCTGAGCGGCTGGCGGCGGAGGCGGCGGCGGTGGAGGAGGCGGAGCGGCTGGCGGCGGAGGCGGCGGCGGTGGAGGAGGCTGAGCGGCTGGCGGCGGAGGCGGCGGCGGTGGAGGCGGCGGAGCGACTGGCGGCGGAGGCGGCAGTGGCTGAGGCGGAGCGTCTAGAGGCAGAGGCCACAGCGCGAGAGGGGGTGGAGGACGCCCAGTTGGCGGTCGAAAGGGCTGCTGCCGCAGCCGATGGGCGATCTGCGAGCGGCCCGGTCTCGGCGACACCCACTCGCATCGCTGCAGAGCCCAGCGAGGAAGAGGTGGCCTCCTTCCGCTTCGCTGGTGTCCGTGCCAGGCCCCGCAAAGGAATCGTCGCTGCCTGGAAGTCGGACGAGACGTACCTGAAGCCACCCGGCTCCTGTGGCACTCGCTGGCCACACCTCTCCCTCTCCGTCAGCGTCGAGTGCTGCGAGCGCTGCCACATCTACATCCTCGACACCTGCGCGCAAGTGCAGGTAGACGACTGTGTGGATTGTACCATCGTCATTGCCCCTTGCTCTGGGCCAGTCTACCTTCGAGACTGCACCCGCTGCGTCGTCCATGTCGCGGCACGGCAGATCCGCCTCCGCGACGTGACCGATTCGACCATTCGACATTGCGTGCCGCAGTGCGAGGCCCTCATCCTCGAGACTAGTACGGCGCTGCGCATTGGTCGGTGGGCAGTCGACTTTGAGGGCCTCGAGCCGCTTTGGGAGACTGCTGGCTTTGGCCCGGCTGCTGCCGCCACCAACCCACACTGGGCGCAAGTGTACGACTTTTCCCCGAGCGAGATCGGCCGTAATTGGGAACTACTGCCGAACTCAGAGAACAAGCTCGGGGAGCAGCTCACGGTAACACCGGCTGGCCTCTGCGGCGGCAGCGTAACACATGAGCAGCAATTGCTGGCCTGGCCTTGCTTGGAGGAGGAGGGGCGCACGGCCAGTCTGGACGATGAACACGGGGACGGAGGCGGCGGCGAGAAGCTAAATCGCGATGGCTCATGGCGGCTTCAGCCAACCTCAACAGTTGCTGCAGGCAGCGTGGTGGAGAAGGAGGAGGTGGCAGGGGTGGCAGGGGCGTCGAAAGCGGCGGGAGCTGCAGAGGCGGAGGAGTCGTCAGTGAGCCAGCGCCAGACCAAGGCAGCATTGGCCATTCAACGGTGCTTTCTCCGAGGAACTGCTCGGGTGGTGGCAGCTGTCCGCACCGCATTGCAAGCAGCGCCGCCAGGAGCGGCGTCTAAAGCGTGCGAGGGCAATCTCGAGGGTATGGCTGCCTTTGTCGGCGAGGTGCTGGGCCCTAACGCGTGGGTCCGCGCCATCCTGAATGCGCCGGACGAGTGGGACGAGGATGAAATGCACAGAGCGATGCGTAGGCAAACCTCACAAAAGAATTAAAGAACCCTTCGGCACTCTCGTCGGGGGCTCGGGGGGCGGGAGTGTTTGATGAAACGCGGTGCCATAGAGGGGGCCTAGAAAAGGGGAGCAGCACACAAAGCTAGGCGGCCGGCCGGTGCTCCTCAAAGAGCGAAGTCGAACCAAACACGTTGCCTACAAACACGTGCCGGCCTCCCGGAGAGCGCTCCTGCGGGCGCGGTGTCCGGGCTCCGGCGAGACCCCCCCCCCCGCGGAGCGCGCCGGTGGGCGACCCCGATGCGTCTAGCGATGCGTTAGACTAGCGTAACCTTTAGAGCCGTAAGCGTAACCGCCATTTTCCCAGCATTTTCCATATTTGGGTGTGTGCGCTGCCAGACCTAGTCCTATAGACGCCAGAGACGCCAGAGTAGAGCCGTTTCGCGTTTGGCTAGTTCCATATTTCACAGTGGCAGTGTGGCACAGCTCGCGTTACACAATCTTGATTTTGGTCATTTGCGCCATTATTTCGTACCTCTCGGTGCCTTCCAGAGGCAGCTGCGACCCCGCCGAGTAGACGGCTGCACACAGCAGGTGGCGCGGTGTGCAACCGTCCACTCGGCGGGGTCGCAGAGCTGCCTCTGCGCGTCCTGGGGAGGTACAAAAGTGTCGCAGGTCGAGCACGTTTCTATACGCTCGCCCAGCCTTCCTTTCCATCCCATTAGGCAGCCTGGGGACGGTGGCGAGCAGAGGCAAAGCCTACGCGAGGGGTGGTGGAACCACATGTCACGGCTACTGCCGGCTCGACCCCACGATAGCCTCCGGAGGCTGATTGCGGCACCATCATCGGATCGAATCGGACGATGTCGACGAGTTGGGTCGCTCTCGGTCGCGGTAGCCAGATGAGCTCTCGTTGTACTAACTAGGGATAATCGGTCATGGCCCGGCAGGGTCCAGGGAGCGCGGGGGAGGGCGCTGGGAGCAACACCGAGCTCCGTGTTGGACGTTTTCTCTCAAGATTAGCGTGTCAGAGTGAAATGGAACTAGCGTACTAGCCTTTTTACGAACTCGCAAGTTGAATCGATGTGGGACTTCTTTACGATATAAACGTGGGGTCTGTGGTGCTGGTGGACCTGGACGGGCCGCGGCGGGCCGCGCTCGCTCTATATGTGGAGGGGCCGTTTTCGTTATCGATATTAATACGAGTTCGAGGTACTCAAAATTAGAATTACGGACCGTTTAGAGAGACGCGAACGCGACTGTACCGGCCGATGAGGATGCGAGAGCGACTCATATCTCAGGACGGCCTCAATACAAGGTGCGTCTCTATGACCCGTCTACTACTGCGCGTACACTGGATATAGTGGTGGTTGCTCTCGAGGGGAGAAAGGCAGAGGGAGGGTTCGGAGGATTGACCCCAAATAGGGAGATGAGCAAGCTGCCCTTGTGGTGCAAGCACAACGCTATTGATCCTGAGCGAGGCGACGAGGCAGCGCAACGCTGCCCAGACTCGGCCGCTGCCCGCAGCGTCAACGATAACCCTCGAGGGCCCGTGCGCCGCGAGGGGCTCGACTCGCCTCAGAGAGGCTCCATCTTTCTCGCCTCTAGCTTTGGATTTGCAGCGGCAATCTGCTGCCGCTGCCGTGCCCGGTGGTCAAAGCTGCACTCGTGCGCGCAGAGGTGAGCCGCGCAGAATAAGCCGCCACAGTCGCAGGCATTCTGCACGAACGCCGTGAGCGTAGGCAGCCGCCGCCCGCACTCCAGGCATGCGGGCGGCTTGCGCATGGGCGCCGTCATTGCGGCCGGCGCAGCCGAAGGAGGACGCATGTCCGAGCTGCAGCCGTCCGGATCCACCCGGCCACGCCGCCTCGCGGAGGAGCGACGCTTGGTCGGCTTGGCCTCAGCGGCGGGAGTGTGCTCGACCGCGGGAGGAGCGGCGGAGCCCGCTGCCGCCTTGCCGGCCACGGAGGGGAGAGCCAGCGCGAGCTGCTCGACCAACGCAGCGCAGCGCTCCTCAAATAGGTCGTCGTGTGCAGCGGCGCCGGAAGCGAGAGGGAGTGAGCGCCGGCCCGACGGCCGTTGCAGCGTGCGAAGGCCGGTGCGTAGCGTTGCCGGGACCCCAGGCGGCGGCGGCGGGGTGGGAGGCGGCGGCGGCGGGCACATCGGCGCGTCGACTGCTCGCCTGGGTGGGTCCGGCCCGCCGACCGAGGCTGCAGCGGCTATGGGGTCTGCAGCCCGGTCGCCGTTGGCCTCCGCCTCCACCGCAGACCGCGAGATGAGGAAGACCTCGGACTCGTTGGGCAAGGCGTAGTCGGAGAGGAGCAGCTCCGGCCTCAGCAGCTGCCCGACGTGCCTCGAGAAGAGCGCCCCGTTGGCGTTGGGCTCGACTCCCAGCGACTGCTCTGCGACCCTGCACATCTCAGAGACGGTGCAACCGTCTTCAGGCTCCACCCCGTGCACGCAGCCGCCACACAGGTCGCGGAGGGTGAGCCGGCGGCGCATCGGTGGCGGCTGTGCGATTGCAAGCAGGCGCTCTCTCCCATCAGGCAGCGCATCTGCGACTGCAGTGTCGTCCACCAGCCTCTGCCCTCGACAGAGAAGCGTGAGCTCGCTGGCGGGCTCGCCCGTGGCGAGCGCGGCAGCTGCGCGAAGCTCGCGCACGGAGGCGGACCGGTCGACGGTCACCGAGTGCGTGACGCCGCCGAGGCGGACCTCGAAGCAGCGACCCCCTTTCCGCATTTTTCAACCCCGCAAGAAGGGTTTTGGATTTTGACGAACGCGCGAAAGAGAGAAATAGTCGCTATTTCTTTCTTCCCGTAACTACCTACCCACCTAACCTTCCCTATTGCCCACTCTTGTCCTTTCAGGATCCCCTTGCTCTGCAAGATGATGAACTGTGAGTGACCCCTCTCCTGGCATTCTCCCCATTTACTTCCCAGCTCTCTCTTCTGCTTCCACCTTCCTGCTGAGCACCTGAGCACTGGATAGGGCCGATTCCGCGTGGTACGGGACCCCTCGATCGTCTCGCCCTCCCTCACTGGTGTGTTCATCGGGGGGGGTCATAACAAACACGGTACAGGATCGAGGTGCACGCTGCCGAAGCAGTGTCGTCCCCCCTCTCCCCGACGGCGATGGCGGTGTGACCGATCGAGCTACAAGAGGAGCTTGGTCAGCAGGATCCGGGATAGTCAGATGCACTACCTCACTGGGCCTGAGACCATCGTACGACAGCATCCCGTCACCGTCTCGGATTTATGTGGGGTCGAACCACTCCGTGGTCGCCGTCTCGAAGCTGCCGCTGCTGGTCGGCGGCGACCTTCCCCCAGCCACCGCCGCCCATCTTGAGGTAGGAGATGTCGTCTCCCTTCCGGACGTGGAGGTCATAGGTGCCCGCCCCGTTGGAGGAGACGAAGCTCGCCGAGCCGAGGTAGGTGCGGTTGTTTGGCGGGCGGCCAGAGGGTTTGAGCATGATTACCTTCGCTCCCCCCTCAAGCCGAGCGCCGACCCCCGCCGGCTCCGATGATGCAGAAGGCCGCACGCCGCCGTCTGCCGCCGCAGCGGGGTCAGTGGCGGCGGTGGCGGCCGGCAAGGCGGCGAGCAAGGCGGCACCGCTCTCGCCGCCGACCTCGCGACTCCCCTCACCGCCGCCCTCGCCGCCGCCTTCGCCGCCGCCCTCGCCGCCGCCCTCGCCGCCGCCCTCACCGCCGCCGCTCGTGGACGAAACCTCTCCAGGCGGCGGAGGCGGCGGCGGCGGAGGCAGCGGCGGAGGCGGCGGCGGCGGCGGCGGCTGAGGCGGCGGAGGCGAAGGCAGTGGCGGCGGCGCCGCGTGCGGAGGCGGCAGTGCTGCGCGTGGAGGCGGCGGCGCCATCGCCCCCGCCTCCGCCTCCGCCCGCTGCTTCGCGCGCCGCCGCTCCTCCGCCTCGGCGCGCTTGGCGGCCATCCGCGCGCGCTGCTCCTCGCTCAGCGCAGGCGTCGGCGCCGCCGCCTTGCCGGACCCCGCCGCCGCCTTGCCGGGCCTCGCCGACGCGTTGCAGGGCGGCGCCCCCGAAGACGCCTGTGCGTACTGAGCACAGGCCCGCGCCGTCTCGTCCAGCCAGCGCTGCCAGCGATCGGTGTGGTGCGGGCGCCCACCCCACCGCTCCAGGAATGGAGCCGGGTCGAGTGGCACCGGCACGAAGCAGGATCTATAAAAGGGATCCCACTTCCCGCCCCAGGCCTCGCAGGCCTCTCTCTCCTCGCAGGGCGTCCCGAGGTAGACGCGGGAGTCGCCCGCATCACCGCCGCTTGGCGAGGGTGGAGGCGAGGGAGGGGTTGGCAATGAAGAGATGGGAGCCACCACCTCGTTGGGAGTCAGCGCTGCAGCAGCGCCCGCCTCGTTGAGCATGTTGAAAGCAGAGTTATTGGCGTCAATATGGCGCAGCGCAGAGATGCCAGCACCGCGAGGAAGTGCAGGACCCGCGTTTGCGGTGCGAGCCGTCGAGGCAGGATCAAGCTGAAGGACTCGAGTGGTTTCCACATTGACATCCTCGCCCAGAGCATTGCCAGACAGGTTTGCGCCCAGTTTGCAGTCGCTTGGCGTGGTTTGTGCAGGCGCACCAGCCGCAGAGGCAGCGCTGCCGACTCTCATTGGTTGAGCAGCCGCCGCAGTGCTCGACGGATCGGCAGTGTCGGCGCCACCAGCACCGCGCTCGGTCTCGCTCAGCGAGGCGGCCGAGAGCACAGGCAAGCCGCAAACGCGCATTTGGGACGGACGTAAAATCGCCTCTAGCCGACGAAGCTCGAAGCCCGTCTCGACGGTCGAGCACGAAGCGAAGCCGGCTGAGAAATTCGCGTGATCTCGCGGGAGGGGCGTCTCTCTGCCCCTTGACTAAGGTGGCGCTTGCGCTTACAAGGTCTACGGTCCGTTAAACATGCGAAGATCTCTCACAGAACACGGCTCTCAAGCGACTCAACACCGACGGTTTCCCGGTTGCGATTGTAGAGCGGCAGCAGCGCGCAGAGCGCATACGCCGGAGCCCCCACAGACAAAAAGCGACTGACACTCCCGTCCAGACTTCAGACGGGACTCGTCCCCGGCTGTGCTCTCTACGAGTTAGCGAGCGGGGGCGAACAGAGTTCCCGGGTAGCTCACCAGGCAAGGACTAGGGCGCGCTCTGCGCCGGAGCGAGGGCGGGCCCTCTATCCTCGCGAGGGCGCCGGCCCTGTCTCAGCGAGCCATGGTGAGGCGCACTTGCGACAGGGCGGCCACGCGAGGGCTCGCGCGCGGCGAGGCGGTGGAGCGCCGTCCCGCTGCGAGCGGGCTGCTAACGCCGAGCGGGCTGCGCGCGGCGCCGGCCGTGCCAAAGCCGGCCGAGGCGCCGCTGAGGGAGAGGCGGCCGGCGGAGGCGGGGCTGAGGCGGGAGGCGGGGCGGCGGCGGAGGGAGGGCGTGAGGAGCGGCGAGAGGGAGACGTCGAGCTCCGTCTCGAACCAGTTTGCGATGGCGGATGAGACGCGGGACGAGTTGATGCGAGGGTGCTGCGACGGCGAGCACGCGCTAGCCGGCGGCGGGCTGCGCAGCGCCGCGGGCGGCAGCGGGCTCGAGTCGAGCGAGGCTCCGCCCCTCGCGCTAGGCGCCGCAGCCTCCGCCTGCCGCCCGAGCGGCGCGGCGGGCGAGGCGAGCGACGCGTCCGAGCCGGACGAGTCGGGCGCGCCTCCCGAGCGGTGCGACGGCGCGGCGCCGCCCGCAGGGAGGTCTGGCGGCGGAGGCTCGCTCGCCGACGGCTCTTCCCGTGGGAGCTCGGTGTCGGGCGCGTGCCGGGAGGGCGGCGCAGGCGGCGTGCCGGGCGAGCCGAAGAGCTTGCGCAGCGGCATCGGCGACTCCTGCTCAAGGATGTCGAGCGGGAAGAGCCCGTCGCCCACGTCAAAGTCTCCTCCAAAGTCCTCCTCCGCGCCCGAGTCCTCGCCCTCGAACTCGTCGGGGCTGCCCGCGCCCTTGCCCTCCACCCGCCACGTGCGCTGGCGCTTCCGCCGCTGCTGGGGCGGCTCGAGCCGCCGCTGCTGCGTCACCCGCGCCGAGGAGAGCACCTGCCGAGGCGCAGCCGCCGCGCGTGAGCACACGGCGAGCGAGCGGGGCGGAGGGGGCCGGCGGGGCGGCGGGGGCGGCGGGGCGGCGGCGCCTCCTCGCGCAGCGTGATCTCGTTCGGCTTCCACGCGCGGCCGCTGGGGTGGGAGCTCTTGCGGATGATCGAGTTCCACCGGTTCTTGATGTCGTTGTCGGTCCGCAGCGGCATGTACAGCTCCGAGATCTGCGCCCACTTGGTGCCGAGCTGCTGCACGCGGCTCCAGATCGTAACATCCTCATCCTGCGTCCAGTCGCCCTTGTTGAGCTCCGGCCTCAGGTGGTTGCGCCATCGCTCGCGGCACTGCTTGCCGTTGCGCATGTGGAGCTCCGTCGCGATCTGCGCCCAGTTCTTCACGCCGTGAGCGGCCACGAGGCGCTTGAGCTGCGCGGCGAGGGGTAGCGAGGCGGATCGGGGTGAGCGGCCATGCGCACCCGCCCCCTCCGGGCAGCCCACACTGGGCTCGGGCACGGGCGGCGCGCCTCCTCGTCCTCGCTCGACGTCCACGGCCGCCGCTTGGCGCCGACGTCGGTGAGCTCCTCGTGGACCTCCGACGGCGACCGCTTCACCGGGCCGCTGCCCGTCGCCGAGGCGGGCGCCTTGCGCTTGCTGGCGCTGCGACACGACATCGAGGAGAGCAAAAAACCAGTGCACCGGAGTGGGTGGGCGCGAAAGAGGCGGCCGCGTTTGGCGGGACGGCAGATTTACGCGAGATTGCTTCCCTTCCGCACACCCCGGGCCCGATATCTTCACACAACCCGCACAACCCCACGCTTCGCCCACCACCCCCCCCCCCCCCCCACACCCCACACCCCACCCCCACCCCTCTACACCCCTAGTCGGTAAAACACAGTCTGACCAGCGACTGGACACCAGGAGGGATGGGTGGGACGCCAGCGAGAAGGTCACATTGAAGCACACAGACGCAAGAGGATAATCTCCTGGGTAGCGCTCACGCACGCCGGGCGGAGGACGTACGACGGCCTGAAGACGTACGCGCTGTGTCGCCCACTAACCCGCCGGCAGGCATGGGCGTGTGCACGTTTCCGACGGTGCTTGTCACAGCGCTGTCGCTTGCTCCCGGGCCACGGCCACGCTTCGCGTCCCTGGCGACACCGGCGGGCCCGTCAATCCCCGCCTGTAGGACGGGCGCCGTGCTCTGCAGCGGCAGCGAGGGCGGGCCTGCCGAGCCACCGGCCGCCGCCCCGCCGCCAGTGGCCGCGGACGTCCTGCCTGCACTGGCGCTCTCCTTCCTCACCCTCGAGGCTGCGCAGCTCGGGGCGGTGACACTCGCCGCCTGGTGTCTCGGCAGCCCGTTCTCGGTGGGCAGCGCCGGTGCATTTTCCATCGCCGCCATCGGCGCCTCCGGAGGAGCGGCCGCGGAGCAGGCGCCCGATGCACTAGCTCGACTGCTCGGCGCCGCGAAAGTTGCGTTCCTCTCGCGTTCGCCGACGCGTCTCTTTCGTCTCGCCACCGGCATCTGGAGGGTTCCACCCGTGCTGCGCATGCTTCGAAAGGCACCGACCGAGCGACGGCTGGCCTTCGTGCGGCGTCGCGCGGTGCGGCTGTCCGCGTGCCTCTGCGGACTAGCGCTCGTGCTCCTGGCTGCGGGCGGCCTGCTTCCAAAAGCGCCCACAGGCACCCCTCCCGTCGCCGCATTTGTCGGCCTCATCGCCCGTCGGCTGGACGGCGATGCGGACGGCCGGGAGGCAGTCAAAGACATGAGCCTCCTGTGCACACTGCTGCGAATGCAGGCGGCGACCGCTGCGGCGCGGGTCGACTTCCTCGTCGCGGTTGCGAGGCGCGTGCGCCCTCTCGCCGCGCTCCTCGACTTGGCCGAGCTCGATGGGGCGTGCCTGCGTGCCGCCCGAGCCGCCTGGTCGCGCGCCAGCGGCATGGCAAGCGTGCGCCCACTCGCCGACGCCGAGTGGCTCGGGCGCGGGGGAGAGTGGGTCCGATGGCTCTGGCGCGAGGCCGCGGCGTGCTTTGCAGCTGTTTTTGGCGCTGAGGGCCTCGGTTGCGCGGTGGATTGATTTTGTGAAATCGGGGCGGCACAGTGTCGTCGTGATGTGGACGGCACTGAGCGAGAGCCCACGGCTCTTGGTGCGGGCGCGCCTCTCATGAGGCCTGCCGACTTCAACACACGCGCGGCTCTACATGTAAAATAACAAAATTCGAAGAGGTGTGTGTATACGGCTTGTGTGACCGGCGTACGGACACGCCACGGCTGCGCGGCGGAAAGCAAAGATAGTAGCAGAAGCAGAGAAGGTTTTACCCGAGAACGGTGAGCTTCAGCCCCTCACGTCACAGCGTCCCCGACACGGCCTTGCCTCACTGGGCTCTCTCGAGCTCTCCGCGTGCAGCTCGCCCGCCGGTGCAACCTCAGCCGGCTGAGAGTCCCTCGCCGCCGCAGCGCGGGCAGGGTCGAGCAGCCGCTCTGCTCCAGGAACGGCGCTGTCCCCGGCGCGCCTTTGGCGCGCCACGCAGTCGAAGTAGACGCAGCAGAGGGCGACGACTAGCTGCATGCTCGTCGAGCATAGAAAGGGCAGCCACACCGGCCACGGGTCGGCCGCCGCGAAGACCTGCTCGGCGGCGACGATCAGGCCGCCCGCCGCCTGCAGCAGGTAGAAGGAGACCGAGAGCGAGCCGGACGAGCGCTCGAGCAGCGTGGTGCGGAGCTGCGGAATGTATTGCACGACGGCGCAGCCGGCGGCCGCCACTCCGTAGGCCTGCGCAAGGCTGAGTGCACCGCGGCTGCAAGGGGCAGCGAGCGAGACGCCCGCGCTCACCGCCCATGCGACCGCGGTGGCGAACAGTGTGATCGCAGCCACCGAGCGCGCTGCGGCGCCGTCGTGCGGCGGATAGCAGACCACCATCACGAGCACGGCCGCGGAGGTGGCGGTGAGGACGACGGTCTGCACGAGGTCCAGCAGCTCGGGCACGCACGCCGCGCCGTGCGCGCAGTCCTGCAGCTGCCTCCACTTGGTGATGATTGCGGCCGCCACGTCGCACAGATTGAGGCCGGCGGTGAGGACCACCGTGGGCAGGCTCAGCCCCGCCGACGAGCGCGAGCGCAAGAGCTTGATGTACTGCGGGACCGTCACCGCCACCGTCGCGACGGTGAGCGCCACGGTGAGCGCGTCGACGCTGGTCGGGATGGTGCGATGCGGAGGAGCGCAGGCAGCCTGCATGCGAACTGTTGCGCGGCTGTGTATACGTCACAGTGATCGTGGGAAGAGCGCGGCAAAAAGGAGAAATCGCGGGGACCACCGACGACGACGACGACCTTTTCCTTAAATTCCGCTGCTGTGCTTGTGTTAGTACCAGCAGGAGCACGTTGCCAGTCCGCGCCCGTGTCCCTCACCCTCAGCCACAGCCTGTCTCCTGTGCTGTGAGCGAGAAGTCTCAAAATCTTACGAGAGAAGAACAGAAGTGCTCTCGAGCCAAAGAATGTACAGGCGTTTGACTCTGTTCCCCCGGGTAGCTAAATGGCCAAGTCCGGCCAACTGGAACTGCGCGCGCAACAGACGAGGCGCGTCGAGAGAGGAAACCCCGCCCCCTCGACTGACTGGGTGACCCGCGCGCCGGCAGAGATAAGACACTCGCACACGAGAGGCACCGGTCCACAACGCATGCGGGGTGGGAGGGCGGGAAGGGGCGGTGGTGGTCACGAAAGGGCACGCGCCGTCCGAAAGGGACGGGCAACTCTAAGCCATCAGCTTCTTGATCTCGTCGTAGCCGACGAGCACGAGCGCACCGCCAAGGGTGCGCAGCACGTTGGCGCCAAAGCCCTTGAACATGGCGCCGACGCCCTCCTCCTTCACGACCTTGATCGCGCAGTCCGCGGTGCCCTTGTACAGCCATTGCTCCGGGGGCTTCTCCGACTGCATCTGCAGGCGGCGGCGGACCGTGTCGAAGGGGTACGAGATGAAGCCGGCGATGATGGCGGTGGTCTGCGCGATCGCAAACTTGGACGCGAAGCCGACGAGACCCGGGTCGTTCTTGAACGGGTTGATCGCCTTGAGCGTGTCGAAGATGCCGAAATACGGGCCGCGGTAGAAGACGATGCCGACGACAGAGACGCTGAAGCCGCCGTACATGGACAAGATGCCGCCGGACTTGATGGTCTTCGCCAGGCAGTCGACGAGGCCCTCAAACTGCGGCTGGCCCGAGCCCACGTCCGACGCGAGCCGGGTGCGCGCGTAGTCGAGCGGGTAGACGATCGCGAGCGAGCCGGCGCCGGCCAGGCCGCCGGACGCAATGTTGGTCGCGAAAAACTTACCGAAGTCGGTCTTTGAGTTGTACTTGGGGAAGAAGCCCTTGATGGTGTCCTTAAAGGCGAAGTTGAAGGCCTGGGTCGGGAAGTAGCGGATCACGTTCACCGTGTTGCCCCGCCTGACGCACCAGAGGCGCGGGTGAGCTACGAGAGGCGCGGGTGAGAGGGGGGGGAGGGGAGGGGAGGGGGGAGAGGGTTCGTTGTGTCGGGGGGGAGAGCGGCGGGGGCGTGCTCGGCGGTGCGCGCCAGAAGGCCGAGAAGCCCTGCTCGGAAGAGACGCGCGTGAAGCAGTTGATGATGCCCGTATAGCGCGGGACCTCGCCAGAGATGATCTTCGGGTTGGCATCCTGCGTCTGGATCAGCAGCTTGACGCGCTCGATCGGCGCAGTGCAGGTCTTCGCGACCGCGCCCGCGATGCCGCCCGCGAGGAAGTCCATGATGAACTGCATCGCACCCGACTTCTCCGCAGGCGCCGCCGCAAAGGAGCCGCTGGCGCCCGTGAATCGCGCCCCATTCAGCGGATGGTGCTGGCTGCGGGCGGCGGAGGAAAGGCGTGACCGGAGGGGAGGCAGGCTCTGAGGAGGGAGAGGCCTCGAGCCGGGTGGGCGCGGTGCGGGGTTGTCGCGCACGCGGGGGAGCGAGAGGGCTGCAGTCGGCCGACGCTCTCTTGCGCAGACACCCTCCTCCGCGTGCCTCCCTCTGGCTGGGGCGCGCATCGGAGGCGACAAGCGGGACGGGAGCGTGGAGCAGTTCCCGCGACGGCCCGCTGACGAAGGATCCGCGCGGGCCGCCTCGCCACCACCCACCCTCTCGCGACGGCTGACACAGCGTTGATGAACACAGAGGCCTCTGGAGGCCGCGGGAGCGCCGCAGGCGGATCCGGGCGCGCGCGCGCGCCTGGCGAAGAAGACCATTGCTCTGCCGCGCTCGTCTGCTGCGTGCCTACAGGAGAGGAGGGGCCGGCTCACGGAGGCCGAGGCGCGAAGCGAGGATCGTATCGCGCCGCTTGTTGCGGAGTCGGCGAATACGATGCGAGTTTGAGCATTGTTTCTTTTTTTGAAGAGGGCGATTTTATTAAAGCCCTCCTCCTCCGGAAGAGATCTACGCCAGGTAGAATTCTCTTTTTGGGCGGCTCCCGTGGCTCCCACCCGGCGAATCGATGCGAGTTTGTCGTGGTTGCTGTGAATGCCGCGCCCCGCTGCGGGCGGGCCTTCTAGGCCCGTGGGTAGTCTCCCCCCATCCCCAGGGCCTCCAGGGCTCGCACCTCAACCTCTCACAGACCAGCGCATAGCGCCATGGGAACGTATTTTCTTCTCATAACAAGGCTGTGAACAGCTCTCTGTGCGATTTCGGGCGGCCCGGGCGGGGTTGTGCGTTTATGTGAACAGCGCCATCGTACTTGTGTGAACTCGCATCGTATTCGCGGGCTGGATACTCGCATCGTATTCGCGGAGTCTCCGCTATGTAATAGGGTACTCGCATCGTAACAAGTAGGGAGGGTGGTAGGATTCCTACATACATACAACTCAGGAGGCATTGATCCCTACTCGAGTACCGCACCAGGGTGTCTTTTTACCCCTTTGAACAAAAGATAAAAAACCCCACACAACCAAGCTATCTCCAAAAACAGACAGTCGACACACGGGTCCACTGTCCATGCCGTGTGCTCATGCCGTGCGCCGCCGAAGCAGCCTGGCGACGTCTCCCCTCTCGATCAAGTGCTTGTACTCGTTCGCCCCCGAACAGCACAAGACGCGGATGGCGCCGTCGCAGCGGATCCCAGTCACCGTAATCTCCCACCATGCTTCGTCCTTCCAAAAGAACTCGAGCTCACTCCCCACCCCCAGATCTTTCTCCGCGAGTGGCGGCGCCACCTCAGGCGCCGGGCGCAAGCGACGCTTCGCAACGGTGTCGAGGTCCGTGCCGTTGTAGGAGTAGACGACCGTGGCCGACTGCTTGGGTGGAGGGGCGATCTCCCGAATCTTCGCCGGCCACCACGAGCCCTTGTAGCCGCAGTCGCCCTGAACCTCCACAAGCTGGCCCACCGCCCACTGCGGCTTGGCGCGCTTGCCGCCGCCCGACGCGCCTCCGGCGGCCTTGCGCTTGCCGGCGCCACCGCCGCCCTCGGCGGCCTCGGACTGGCGGTGCATCGAGAGGTAGTTGGAAGAGACGAGGCCCCACTGCTTGACGGTCTCGCGCTTTTTCGACCTCTCACCCGCGAGCCCTCGCAGGCACTCTCTACACTCTTCGTCGTTGCCAAGCCCCTCGAGGCGTTCGCGAATCGACGACATGTAGTCAAAAAAGGGCGAATCTCGGTGTACGAGCCGCATCAGCGTGTACGACGCGTCGATGTCTGTCCGCTTGCGCTTGCGAGACGCGCCCGCCGAGGCGCTGTCGAGGCGCTCAGCAATGTCGAGGATGGCATGGAGGTCGTCGGTAAAGTCAGTGTTGCTGAGGCGAGCAGCCAGGCCGCCGCACATCATGCCCGGCAGCTGGTCGACCCCGCCCGCCCTCTCCGCGAGATCGAGCGCCGCGTCGGCGAAGCCGGGCTTGAGGAGGTTGGCGGCGAGGCCGTCGCACATCATCTGCGGCAACGTGTCGATCCCGCCCGCCCTCTCCGCGAGATCGAGCGCCGCGTCGGCGAAGCCGGGCTTGAGAAGATTGGAGGCCAGGCCCGAGCACATGAGCTTCGGCAGCGTGTCGATCCCGCCCGCCTCCTCGGCGAGCTCGATCACCGCGTCGAGGAAGCGGGGCTCGAGGAGATGAGCAGGCAGCGTGTTGCACATCACTTCCGGCAGCATGTCCGGCCCGCCGAGCAGGTTGCCGAGGCCGAGCAGCGCGTCCCGGAAGTCGGCATCCAGCAGCCACTGCTCTAGCGTAGACCCTCCCTTTCCGTCCTTCGACCTCTCCACCATGCGCGCGTACTGGTCATCGCTGAGGCCGAGACTGCCCGCGGACGCCTCCGTCCGCTGCTTCTCCAGCGCCGCGTTCACGTCATCCACACTCGCCAAGCGCTCGACCATCACTTCGACGCGCAGCCTTGGCGCGCCTCCGTCGCCCCTCCCGGCCGCGCGGGTAACCTCAAAGACGAGCAGGCCCGAGCTCCCAAGCCGCAGCGGCGACCTCGAGGTGCGGAAGCGGCCGTTCCCTCCCCACGCCGATTTGGACTTGAAGAAGTCGGGATGCGTCGGGTCGATCGCGACGACGGTCCACGCCTCGGGCGGCGGGCCGGAGCGCATCACGTGCAGCAGGACCCCTCGCAGCGCCTTGCCGACCCACAGCAGCCGCTGCACGTTGCCATGTGGCGCCTTGCCCTCGAACAGCATCGCCTCAATCTCGGGCGAGCGCAGCGAGCGCGCCTCGAGCCTGTCCGAAGGGTTGAGGTCCGCCCAGCGCTTGGGGACGACGTGGAAGAGCAGCGGGTGCGTGGTGGTGGCCGCCTCGATGCTCGGCTCGAGAGCTGCGACGGACTCCGGCGCCAGCGTCGCCCTGAGGCCGTCGAGCAGCCCGCCCGGCCCGCCAAACCACGCGTCAAAGGAGCCAAAGCCCCGCCGCCACGCGACGCCGACGCAAGGGCGCGAGCGGCGCACCGTCGCCGTCGACGTTGGCTCGACGTCGCTCGGCAGCGTCACTTCCAGGACGATGAGGCCGTCGATCGCCCCCTTTGGCGCGTCAATCAGGACGGGGTGGATTGTGACGATGCCCTCGAAGCCGAGGTTGGCGTAGATGGCCGAGTAGAAGTTGTCAAACGTCTCGTGCATCACGTGCGCCGGGAAGATGATGGCGACCGTGTACTTTGAGACATTGGCGTTGCGCTCCCGAGACACGACGTGCTTGAGCGCGCGAGAGAGCGAGGTCGACCACCAGCCAAAGGTGGGGTCGTGGTTGAGCGAGCTGCTGCCGAGCGCGCGTGCGGCCGCGTCGACGTGCGACAGCGTGTCCGCTTCGATGTACGTCTCGCCGTTTGGTCTCTTGTTGAAGGCACGGCTCCGCCCCCAGTGCCACCACCGCTCGCGCACTCCGTCGAGCGTGTGGGGAGAGACGTGGAAGTAGCAGCCGGTGAGCCCGGTCGCGCCCACGGCGTCCTCGACGGCGTCCGTCATCGCGTCGACCATCCACGGCTTCACCGAGTCGTTCACCGGCTCGCTCTTGACGGGGGGAGGCCGCGGCGGCGGCGCCGCTCCGAGAGTGTGTGGCAGCACTCGCGCCGTCGCCCCGCCGGCCATCGAGAGCTCCACCAGGCCGATGCCGAGGACAGGCTGGCCGGCGCCGAGGTCGTCGATTAGGATCGGGTGCAGCGACGACCCGCCCTCGCCGAGGTTTGCGCAAGCGGTGGTGAGGGCGTTGTCGAACGTGCGGTACAGCGGGTGCGACGGGAAGATCATCACGATGGTGTACGCTGGCGATGCCCTCGACAAGTCATGCTTCTTGCCCTCTCGCCGCCGCACCTTGAGCAGCGCATCCTCGAGCGAGCCGGCCACCCAGACTCGCTTGTCCTCGTGGTCCAAGTTGCTGCCGAGTCGGCTGCGGTCGACGCCGGCCTTCGACGGGGACAGCGGCTCGAGGAAAGTCCGTCGACCGCGACGCTCGAAGAGCGGGATCTCGTCACGGGAGAAGGCGGGCAGCGTCCAGCCCGGGCGGTCAACGGCCGTCGGGGTGATGTGGTAGAGAGGGAGGCCTTGCTTCATCGCCTCGGGCACCGTCGTCCCCTTCTTCCCCGCCTTGATGGCGTTCACCACGTCGTCTTGGCTCGCGCACGCGGCGAGGACCTTTGCTGCCTCGGCCGCGGCCCATCGCTCTCGCCGCTTGGCAACATGGCGCGCCGCACCGCCACGCACGGAGCCGCCGCTCGATGCGGACGCGCCGCTGCTGCTCGATGCGGACGCGCCGCTGCTGCTGGATGCGGACGCGCCGCTGCTCCCCGAGGCGAGCACGCTGTGCAACGAGCCGAGGACCCAACCCGCCGTTGCCAGCGCCGATGCTCCCGCTGCTGCGCTCGCCTCGCCATCCTCGGCTGCGACGCCACCGAGCACGCCGAGGACCTGCACCAGCAGCGGCATCGCAAGCTTCGGGATGCGGCGGTGCAGAAGCCAGCCCGCAAAGTAGGCGAAGGCGAAGCTGGCAGCGACGTCGAGGGAGGCGGGGACTGCCCAAGCCGGTAGACGCGGGAGGAAAGACGCCGTGCAGTAGGACGACGCGAGCAGCAGAGGCAGGAAGCGGACGGCGATGATGATGCCGACTGTCGTGCGAAGGAGAAGCATCCCCAGCCAGAGGACGAGGTGCGCCAGATCGATGCCGAGGCGCGCCAACCAGAGGACGAGGCGCGCCAGATCGATGACGAGGGCGTACGTCGGAACCACGATCGCAAGAAGCGGGGGCGCGTAGATGGCGCACACGAAGGCGAGAGGCGTGAGCCACTTGTGCTTCAGAAGACTCCTTATCAGCTGGCGGCCGCCATGTGGGCCTCCGGGCCTGCTGCGGCGGCGCGGCCGGTTGAGGCCGGGCTCGGCCCGGCCCGCGACGGCTGGCCGCCGACGAGCGCGGCGGTGGCGATTGCCTCTTTTCTCTGGAGACTTCGAATTGGGCGAGCGCCGCGACCATGGCCGGAAGGTGTCGCGGTACTCGCGCCGGCTCGCGAGGCCACAGTGGGCGATGCCCAGGTAGGACGAGTCGTCAGCCGCTTTGCCGGAGAAGGCGACGGCGGCAGCGCGGAACAAATCGACGAGGCAGGGGACCAGCGTGCACGTGATGTCGAAGGCGAGTGAGACCAGCGTGCACGCGATGTCGAAGGCGAGTGAGACCAGCGTGCACGCGATGTCGAAGGCGAGTGAGAAGAGGGTGAAGACGAGGGCCCGGAGCATGTCCACGAGGCAGGCGACCAGCGTGTACATGATTGAGAGTAAGGCGAACGCGGCGGCCCGACACAGTTTCACGACGAAGACGATGAGCGTGTAAATGACGGAGAAGATGCTCACCCGCGAGTCCTCGTCGGCGGGCGGCGGCGAGGCGTCGCAAGAGAAGAGGCTGGCGATGGTCTCGTTGACGGGCGTGCCGCCAACGAAGATGTCCATGTCGGAGTTGTCGGGGACGGGAGACGCGAGAACGGCGCCTCCTCGTCCTGGTGCTCGAACGCCATCGGTACTGGTCGACCCAGATCCCGGCGGGAGCGAGTCGTCGTTGGCAGCGTAGATGCCACACGGGATGGTTCTCTCGAGCTTGACCGCCTCGGAGGGCAAGGTGCCGCACGTAGGCCGTTGACACTCGAGTTGACTCTGCTGACGTTGCGCTGCCCTGTCGAAGTGCGCTGTTAAGCAACACCCGTGGTGTGACGGTGCCCCCAGACAGGGTCGCGGGGCGGCAGCAGATGCTGGCGGCCACTGTGCGACCCCGTAAGGTTGTTGCGTTGTCGACACCCCCCGATTGTCCCCCCCGGTCTGCTCAGAAGCGCTTATGACCGGGAGGGTGGCGCCCGGGGTGGACCCCGCATCACACTCTCGGAGTGTGCTGCCCACGACACGCGGGGTCACGACAGGGCAAGTGGGCCCACGAGCCTCGGAGTCCTCGAGCCTGCGGCAAGGCGAGCACGAGCGACACCCACTCCCGACACGCCCGACGCCCTCACACAAGACTGACGACAGGAGCGCACCGTCCGCGGTCTCGGCTCCGTCCGCCGCCATGGCAGGTCCCACGCCCGCCTCCGGTCCGAGGGAGCCGGCATCCGACGCGCAGTACAGGGAGGCGACAGCGGAGTTGGCGGGGAAGCCAACACACGCGGCAGCCAAGCACCAAGTCGGCTGCCCGGGCAGCGGCGGTCGCAGCGCGTGCACGGAGGAGAGCGAGTCCGGCACGACAGCGCGAGACGGGCACGACAGCGCGCCGGCTGCCTCAGCGCCGTCCGCGGCCTCGGTGCCGTCCGCCGCCTCGCCAGATCCCACGCCCGCAACTGGTCCGAGGGAGCTGGCAGGCGCGGCGCAGTGCAGGGAGGCCCGGTGCTGCCAAGCCGAGGCGACGCCAGGGTTGGAGGTGAAGCCGGTCGCGGTTGAGCGCCACACAGGCTGCCCGGGCAGAGGCGGACGCAGCGCGTTCATGGACGAGTTGGAGACGAGCAATAGATGCACAGTCTTGTCGACCGCCGAAGATTCGGCGCTGATTCTCGGGCCAGCGACAGCGCGCTGGCCGCTGCGGCCAGAGCGATGAGCGCGAGGGAGCGGTAGGCGCGAGCGGGGGTGCGCGGCATGGTGGCGCGGAGAAGTGGAGCCGATCGCTCGAGCCGCGCGTAGCAGCGCCGACGCTCGCTGAGTGTGCGAGAGCGGAGGCCGTCCGCCCGGCAGATGCAAGGCGCCGCCTTTCGCTTCTCGAATGATTTTACCTCGCTATGAATGACACGCAATCCACGCTCTTGCACCCCTTCCCTGTGACACGTGCCAGAACAAAAAAACTGCGGAGAATACACTACCGACACACACACCCGCTACGATTCTATTGTGCCCCCCACACGCGATTCTCGTGCCGATTCTCGCGCAGCAGCAGCCTCTGTGCTTTGCTCGCCCCAGCCTCCTCCGCCCCCCGCATTCGCTCCCGACGCGCCGTAGCTTTGCGAGCCGGCGCGGACTCGCCATCTCCGCCACAGCCGGAGCGGCCGGCAGGCGCCCGCCTCGGCGTCGATCTCGTGACGATTTGGCGGCCACCGCGTCGTCCTGCGGCTGCCTGCCCTCCACCGCCGCCTCCGCCTCCGCCAAAGCGTTGGACGCTGCTCGGCACGCCGTCGGCGGTGCGCCCACCGGCATCGGACAGCCGCCGACGGTGCATCCGCAGGGATACGCCCGCCAGGGCTGCGCACGTGCTCTGGCCGCTAAGAGATCGCATCTGTCTCTCGGCTGTCTTCGGAGGGCATCCTGCCGAACGCGTCCGGGACGGTGCCATGTTTTGCCCGCGCGACTGGGTCGTGCCGAAGCTCCCTCCTGCGCACGCTCCCACGCGAGGGTGGGCGTCTGACGCAGCGCGGCGAGTCAGCACAGGCACCGTCGCAATTTTGAGCAGTCACGCAGCTGGTGCCGGGAGCGTCGCCAGTCCGCAATCGAGTATACTGGCGGACCAGGATTGGCGTCCGCCGATCAAACCGTCGCAATTCATCCACCGCGGCGCAGAGATGATCCGAGCGTTTGTCAGTCCGTCTGAATAATTCCCAGCCGGCTGTGGATGCCTCGCCGCCGGCCTTGGCACCCACTTCAAACCCTCAGACACGCCCACCCTCACCCGCGCCTCGCTCAGGCCGCCGCCCAGCACGAGCGGCGGCCAGAAGAAGACGCGCCGCAGCGACGCGCCTCCGCCTTCGCCGCCGGAGCGGGCGACGCACACCGCGCGAGCCATCTCGAGGTAGGCGGCGCCGGGGAAGACGACGCGATCAGCAGCATGCTGCTACCTGCCGCCAGCTCTTGCCGCCGCGCCGGACGAGACCGAGGCGAGCGAACGCGCCTCGATCGGGTCGCCGAGCGATGTGCCCGTGTGGAGCGCCCACAGGCGATGGGCTGTCGCCGATAACAGCGGCGTGGCTCGGCGGCCTCCGCAGCTGCCCGAAGAAAAAGTCTCGTCCCGCTTCGCCTGTTGCGTGAATCGTGCGTCCCATCCCTCCCTTGGTTGTCTGTTTTCTTTCTTTCTTTCTTTGAATCGTGCGTGTGCGAGAATGGTGCTTTTAGCTGGGAGGAAAAAAAAGAACAGCCGAGCTATACGCCAGCCTCTCGTCGGCGAATCGATGCGAGTTTGTCGGCTGCTGTGAACATACACAGTGCGCACCCCGCCCCGCTCACAGGGCGTGCATCACACAGGCGTGGACTGTGTGACTCCTCGGGTTTCTGGGACTCGACAGAGGTTGTGCTAGTCGCTACAGTCGGACGGCTCCGGCACGTCTGATACGCAGTTCGGGCTGTGCGTAGTGTCGTGCGCGGCTAAATTCTTTCGCCGCGCAGAATCCAGAGCCAGGAACGCGCCGCTTGCGGAGTCGGCGAATACGATGCGAGTTTTGCTGCATTGTTTCTTTTGGTGTACCTGTGTGCATACGTGTCGTCATCATCTGTCCCGCGTCCACCCATAACGCGCTGGTGTCCAGTCCGAGCCTGACTGTTCTTCACCTTTCTACCTATGTATGTTGGTAGGGAGGTGATGAGGAGTCAGTTAGCGCGGCGGGCGGTTAGACGTTACGGGAGGCTTCGGAGGTTGCAGCGGAGCGTGTCTCATTGCGTCCTACCGGAGCAATATGGAAGATACAAAGAGAGGGAGGAGCAACGAGCGCCCTGGCGGGTGAGCCAAACATACCGCGGGTGAGCCAAACATATCGCGGTGAGCCAAACATCGTATCGCGCGCTTGCCTCCGCGTCGGCGAGGATGCGAGTTTGTCGCGGTTGCTGTGAACATAAACATTCTTCCGTGTCGTATTCAGCGCTGACTTGTGTGAACTCGCATCGTATTCGCGGGCTGGATACTCGCATCGTATTCGCGGAGTCTCCGCTATGTAATAGGGTACTCGCATCGTAACAAGTAGGGAGGGTGGTAGGATTCCTACATACATACAACTCAGGAGGCATTGATCCCTACTCGAGTACCGCACCAGGGTGTCTTTTTACCCCTTTGAACAAAAGATTAAACCCCCACAGACACAACCAAGCTATCTCCAAAAACAGACAGTCGACACACGGGTCCACTGTCCATGCCGTGTGCTCATGCCGTGCGCCGCCGCAGCAGCCTGGGTGAGAAGAGGGTGAAGACGATGGCCCGGAATGTCCACGAGGCAGGCGACCAGCGTGTACATGATTGAGAGTAAGGCGAACGCGGCGGCCCGTTCGACGAAGACGATGAGCGTGTAAATGACGGAGAAGATGCTCACCCGCGAGTCCTCGTCGGCGGGCGGCGGAGAGGCGTCGCGAGAGAAGAGGCTGGCGATGGTCTCGTTGACGGGCGTGCCGCCAACGAAGATGTCCATATCGGAGTTGTCGGGGACGGGAGACGCGAGAACGGCGCCTCCTCGTCCTGGTGCTCGAACGCCATCGGTACTGGTCGACCCAGATCCCGGCGGGAGCGAGTCGTCGTTGGCAGCGTAGATGCCACACGGGATGGTTCTCTCGAGCTTGACCGCCTCGGAGGGCAAGGTGCCGCACGTAGGCCGTTGACACTCGAGTTGACTCTGCTGACGTTGCGCTGCCCTGTCGAAGTGCGCTGTTAAGCAACACCCGTGGTGTGACGGCCCCCAGACAGGCCTGCTCAGTCAGGAGTTGGCGAGTGTGTGGGAGATTCACGCCCGTCGCTCAACGTCTGTTTAAAGACTGTTCGCGGAGCAAGCTCACGGTCGAGCGGGCTTGACGCGCGCTTCAGGATAGCAAGAAGCGTGCCCACTCCCCTGGGGAGCGTGCGGACACGCCTGGGAATCGTTGTGGAGCGACCATGGACTGGGATGACAGCCGGCGAAGCGCTGCGCCAAATCCATGGCTCCGAAAGACGTCCGCCCTCGACGTGCTGGAAGCTTCACGGCGGAGGCTGTGAAGTCGCATCGAGCTCAACCTGAGCGCACGCACGCACCGTGCTGGGGAGGAGTTGGCCTGCGAGCGGCGAGCGCTCCCGAGCGCGCGGCGCCCCGTTCTGGCCATCTTGCGCTTTACCACCACAAAATCGCCTCCATTTTGCGCGCCTCCGGGGGCAGGTCTAGCCGGGCCCGATTGATGATACTTTTGATGGTTGCGCGCCGGATCTCGACTCCACCGTGCTACGGTGCGTCCCAAAGCAAAACTTGTAAAAGGGGCCAGATTGGCCGATTTATAACGACGAGACAGCGTCTGAACGCTATTTTGCGGCGACACCGATACAAAGAGAGAGAGCGCTTGGCTCTATCAAAGCGGCGACTGGTACACCTTCTACTGGGATGGCAGCACGGCCGAGAAGGTCGCACGGCGCGCTGTCTTCCCGACGCTCGAGCACGACGACCACGACCCCGGCCCCCTCGCAGAGCGCATCAGGCGCGACAAGCGCGAGCGGTCCGTCCGCTCCTCCGACGACTCCTCCTCCGACCAAGACTCATGCGGCACCGGCTCTACTAGCGAGGCGAATGACATATTCGACACCCTCGACGACCATCTCGGCTACGGTTCCGACTCCGGCTCCGGCTGGTAGTCGACAAGCTGCCGAGCCCAAATCACTGTGTGTGACACATTTCTTGTTGGCTTCTAAATCTCTCTCTCTCTCTCTCTCTCTCTCTCTCCGATACGCGGTTGAGGGCCCACGGTTGTGGCTAGTGGAGGGTGCTGTACAATCCGAGGGCGTTCCCATGGCCTCACGGGCCCGGGCGACGATCGTGGCCAGAAAAATCAAAAAGATCCGTGGGGGCGAGATTTTTACTTGTGTAGCTCGATTTTGACCCAGAACAAACACAGAACGGCCCCAAATCGGCCTGGAACCGACCCGTGGGCCCGTCTGCCGCACCCAGCTCCGCCGGGAGGGCGCGCGCCGTTCCCCGCGGGTCGGGCGGGCCACGCAGACACAGCGGGAGAGCTTCCCGTGCCCTGTGAGTGCCGTCACACCGCCTCAAATAGGTCCCAAAGTGGGGGGTGTTTGCCTCAAGTGATATGGCATATGGAATGGCTCTATGATGAGAGCTCGAGGGCTCGAGCTACAAGAGGGAAGATAGGCTAGAGCGGGAAGCTTCGTCCTTCGACCGCGGGAGTCCTTTTTTTGAGTCCTGAGAGGATGGTTGAAAATTTTTGCTGAAAAGACCCCCAGGCCACACCAGCTCCGTTTCACAGCAACAACTCGCATCGGCTCGCCGACTCAGACTCGCAAGCGCGGTGATGCGAAACACGTGCTTCGCGCCTCGCGGCCTCCGAGCCGGCCCCTCCTCTCCTGTAGGCACGCAGCAGGCGAGCGCGGCAGAGCAATATGGCGGTCTTCTACGTCGTGCGGCCCCCCGGCCCCGCCGAGAGTCAGTGTAGCGTCATGTCCGTGGGCGTCCTTGGGCCTTCAAGCCGAAGCAACAGGTGTTCCGCTCGCGGGTTTGGCTGGCGCCGCTGGCTTGGACAGGTCGTGCACGCCAAAGACCGAGTTGAGCTGCTGCGTGACGCGGATGAAGGTGGTTCGCCGCGGCATCTCCTTGATGGTGGCGGCCCCTAGGGCGGGAGGGCGGGGGGACGGGGGGGGGGGGGCTGCGGGCTCGGGAGGCTGGGCGGTGCCGTGGGGACGGGCGGGGGCCACTCGCCGATGTACGTGCACGCGGATCGGAGGCCGCCGAACAGGTCGAGGATGACAGCGTCGACCGGCCCGCGGTAGGCGACCTCGACCGTCTTGCCCTCGCTCGAGCGGTACTCGGCGACGCCGCCGGAGTGCTTCGCCATCGCCGTCGAGCTGGACATGCCGTAGAACTGCTTGTACTGCTTGCCCCCCCGCTCGACCAGCGTGCCGTGCGACTCGTCCGTGCCCGCGAACATGCCCCCCATCATGACAAAGTCGGCGCCGCCGCCAAACGCCTTGGCCGCGTCGCCCGGGTTCGTGATCCCTCCGTCGGCGACGATGTGCCCGCCGAGGCCGTGAGCGGCGTCCGCGCACTCCACGACCGCCGAGAGCTGCGGGTAGCCCACGCCGGTCTGCCTAGGGTTAGGGTTAGGGTTAGGGTTAGGGTTAGGGTTAGGAGAGCTGCGGGTAGCCCACGCCGGTCTGCCGGCGCGTCGTGCAGACGGAGCCCGGCCCGATGCCGACCTTGACGACGTCCGCCCCGTGCATGATGAGCTCCTCCGTCATCTCATTGGTGACGACGTTGCCCGCGATGATCGTGCGCGACGGGTGCGCGGCTCGCACGCGCTGCACGCAGCTCACAAACCCCTCGCTGTACCCGTTGGCCACGTCCAGGCAGATGGTCTGCACCGCCTGGAGGGAGGTGTGTCGTGGACGCGTCTGGGGCGTGGCGCTCGGGCGTGCCTTGTGGGCTGCGCTCTGGCCCGCCGGACACCGCTCGAGAATCTGGTCCAGCTTCTGCAGGTCCGCCGTCGAGACGCCAGAGGAGACCGCCACGTGCGCCGCCGCCTCGGGGTGGGCGGCCACAAAAGCGGCCCACTCCTCGACGCTGTAGTGCTTGTGCACCGCGACCATCGCGCCGTGCCGCGCCAGCGCCAGCGCCATGTCGAACGTGCCGACCGTGTCCATGTTGGCGACGATGAGCGGCACGCCCTCCCAGCTCCGCTTCGTGCTTGAAGGTGAAGCGGCGGCGCAGGTCGACCTGAGACCGCGAGACCAGCGTCGAGCGCTTTGGGCGGAGCAGCACGTCCTGAGGCGAGGGTGGTTGGTGGTCAGCGTCGAGCACCTTGGGCGGAGCAGCAGGGTGGTTGGGAGAGGCGAGGTGCGAGGTGCCTTGTAGTCCAGCTTGACGTCCTCCTCTATCCGCATCGCGTGCGCAGCGACGCCGCCCAGCGAACTCGCCCCTGCCGCGCAAAGCAGCGGGCGGCGGAGACGGAGCACGGTCCGCATCGGTGATGAACCGTCGGCGGGGCGGAGATGATGTCGCTGTGCGAGAGAGTGAAATCCGGCGCTTCTCCGCGTTTTCTTTTTGGAACGTTAGCAGCTGGTCGGACGTTGTTATAGACGCCGTCGCCAACTGTCATGTCGGTAGACGCTCTGCACCGCTCGCTGCTGGAGCGCGGTTGATCGCGGCGCCGACGCCGCGGCGGCGCCATCTCGCTCGCGCGGCGAGAGACGGCGCTGCATCGGCGCCAAAACAAACGGGAGGTCGCGGCGCGGCCGCGGCAGCAAAAACATCGACGTTCGCTTCTGCTTCTGCTTTTCGTCTTGTCGCAGTCGCACACGCGCGCGATCCGCGTCGCTCCGCGAGGACACGAAGGCCGGGGTTCGAACCGGACGTAACCGGCAGCACAAGAGCGCCGGTTGGAACGCCGGCCGATCGTGCCATGGAGTGATGCAGGTCTTGTACGCTCTGGAAAACCAGCTCATCATATATGACTGGTTTTGTCCGCGGGCGCGAGGGCACTGCGGAGGCGGGCGGCGGCGGCGGAGGCGGCTGCAGCAGCAAACCGGGCTGGCGGCGGCGCGCGGACGGTGGCGGCGGCGCGAGGACGGCGGCGGCGGCGCGGTGGCGCTGCTCCTCTGCTGCTGATGATGACAATGATGCTGCTCCTGCTGCCCCTCCCGCCCGCCAGCTGCCCGCACGCTCGGTGTCATCTCTTCACCTTCACACTGGTCGAGTCATAGGTGCGAGGGGCGTGGACGGCGGAGCTGGATCACACACACACACACACCGGGGAGAGGTATTCAGTCGGGGGCAGTGAGGGTCCAGCTGGGTGGTGTGATTAATTATTTATTAGTAATTAGGATAATAACTATTAATTATTAATCATCGGGGGGCGGCGCGGCGCGGCGACGGGCGGCGCGAGGCGGCGGAGAGCGAGGCAGCGGGCGGCGCAGGGCGGGGCGGCGCGGCTGCGGGTGGGGTAATTACTTATTTGTTAATTAATTATTGATTAATATCATCGGGCGGTGGCGCGGCGCGGCGGCGGCGGGCGACGCGGAGCGGGGCGGCGCGAACATCTGCTCTGATCAGGCCTCCGGGCTTTGAGGCGGGGCAATGGTCGCGCCGCCCTCGACTCAAGGGGCTGCCTTCCACCCGTCTGCTCAGGCCGGGGGAGGGGGGGAGACCTCCTGTTCCTCGCGGAACGGGAACAGGCCCCTCCTTGCCCGGTCTGCGATGCAGGGCGGTGGTCGTGCCATCTTCGCTTCGTACGGACAACGACCCCGCCGCAACCGTCGCCGGCGCGCGACACGTTCCCGTAGGCCGGACTGTCCTCGTCGAGAGTGTGTGCCGTCAAGGCGGGATGCACTCAGGGACAGTGCCGACGGGACGCGGCTCGAGAGACGACTCCCGCGAAGGCACGGCTGGCATCCGTGGCGTGGGGCTCGTCTTCGATAAGTCGGGCATGGCTCTCCCCGCAACTTTCTCGCTAACACGCGCGCACCGCCGAGCCTTCGGCGGGCGCACTGCGGCCGCACGTCTACCTCCGTCATAGTGCCACGACGTGCGGCCTAGAATTAGCACACGCGCTTCTGCTCGCATACACTCATACAATGAATTGACATCTCCCATGAGTGCGAGTTAGGGCTAGCAGTAGGCAGCTAGCCTGTGAGGAGAGCGTCCATAGACACCTCACATGACCCCACACACGGTCTCGTCCATGCCTTGCGGCTGGCGGCGAGATTGCTAGAGGTGGAGCAAGCCTGCTCTAGCCTCGCATGTTACTTCCTGTCGTCTGTTGTGTCGTTGTGCCCTTGTTTGTACTCTTGGCACTGTGCGTGCTGGGGGGGGCGACAGGGAGGATGTGGCCTTGAGTTATGTGTACGCCAACTCAGGGTGTGTGGCAGCCAGCTGGCTGTGTGTCTTGTGAGCCTTTTGTGTCTGTGTGTCGCTCGTGCGTGCCGTCATCATCTGTCCAGCGTCCACCCATACCGCGTACCGTTGGTGTCCAGTCCGAGCCTGGCTGTTCTTCACCTTCCTACATACATACATCGGACGTGCTGCAGAACAAGCTGACGCGGGCCGCCCAGTGGTACCTCGACGAGGTGACTTCGACCACCAAGAATTGGCTGGGGCTGCAGAAGCAGCGTATCTCGGTCGTCTTCACACGGCAATCGCAACCCCGCTCCCGACTCCCTGGGCGAGGACGGTGGCATTGGGTCGCACCCACTTCCACCCCCAGAAGGTCGAGCCCGCTCTCCCTGGTCGACGAGTCGCGCCCGCACCCGCGGCCTCTCTATCGTCCTCGGCTCGCCCCCCCCCCCACCGCCGGCTCCTCTTCAGGCTCGGGGAGGCGTGGCCCTCCCTGTCGAAGATCACGGTGGTCCGGCTGCCACTGCGACGGGCCTTCCCCCGGTGAGCTCGTACGTCCCAACTCCACTCGCAGAGGCCGCGTCAGCTCATCTCTCGCCTCCTCCGACAGCTGACCCCAAGCCCCCCCTGGGGCCCTCCGGCCTCGGCCTTCCGGCTCGCTGGCGGGCCCGTTATCGTATTGCGGCAACTCCCCTCCCCCTCTCCCCCAGCTCCTCCTCCCGGGTACTCCAACCTCTGGCGGGGCGGTTCCGGATCCCCCAGGGCGGAGAGGCAAAATCTGCAAGGGCGTCGGTGCCGTGCCATGGGTCGATGAGTACGTCACGGACTACGTGTGTGCGCTGTGTGGGTACCGTTTGTTTGTGGCCGAAGCCGATGGGCTACACTAAGCCCCCGCCGGGAATGCTGGGCGCCGCCGGGGCTCCTCCTGCGATGTCGCCAGCGATGGAGCGGTGAGGGAAGAGCTGTGGCCTCCGCGCATAAATTCATGCGACTCTCTTTTTTTTCTGTAACGACGCTGGCTTTGCGCGAACCGCCCGTAGCGGAGTGGGCCCCGAGTTTGAAAAGGGCGACGGACGCTTGCGTCCTAGCCTCCAACAACGCCTCCCCGGCGCAGAGGGGCCCCCGGAGGGATGCTCAACCGCTCCACGCCACGCCGCTTGCGGCGGTCCTATCCCCAGCTCCGCTGAGGGCCGGTTCGTTATTTTGACCGCGCAAGATATGAAGGGTGGCTAAGGGCTCTGCTCGCAAGGCGCCCGCGTCGCAGACGCGGTACCATTGACAAATCTGCAATATACCCCCACACGAGCAAATAGCAAAATCCGAATACCGTGCACGAACTGCGTGATCTGGGCCGGGCAAGCCTTCAGCTGGTGCCAAGACATGGTAAAATTGAAGCCGCGACGTCCGCCAAATCCGTGCTTTCGGAGCAACTGAGGGAAAGCCGCTGATCGAGCCCAGCGTGCCCGCGGCCGCCTCCCGCGCAGCACCGCCGCTGGGGACGACACGCTGCGGAATCGGATCGAGCCCATGCACCGGGCAAAGAAGGACGCTGCAGAAGCGGTTGGAGAGGCAGCCGGCGTCTGCCGTCACAACGAGTCCCAGCGCTGGTTGGACATGCGCGTCGGCTCGCCCGAGGACTGCTATCGCGACCCTCCCGTCGTGCCGCAGCCTCCGACGAGCTCTGCAACCGAGGAGAGTGAGGGTGCGCCTCCCCTCACTGCTGGCCTGGCTGCGCACCGCCCCACAAAGCACCCCCTCGAGCATCTCTACAAGTACAAGTAGAAGGGCGACCTTCTCCAAGTCGTCAACGCGCCCGGCGGCTCCGGCAAGACTTTAGCCTTGGCCACCCTCCTTGCGGAGCAGGAGGAGATCCGCTCTCGGTCGGCAACGTGGCAGCTAGTCGAGGGACTCGGTAGTTGTGACCCCCCTGAGTGAGGACAGGGAGAGAGAGAGCTTTTGTGGTGCTGGTGTACGCAATAACGGGACAGGGTAGTCGTTCTCTCTAGCTCCCCTTCTAGCTCTTAGCATGAGCTGTGCCCTGTGTCCGACCCCTTTTGCGCAGCAACACCTTAAACTTTTAGGCCCTCCAAATTCGGGTCGGAGCGTAGCGGAGTGGGCCCCGAGTTTGAAAAGGGCGACGGACGCTTGCGTCCTAGCCTCCAACAACGCCTCCCCGGCGCAGAGGGGCCCCCGGAGGGATGCACAACCGCTCCACGCCACGCCGCTTGCGGCGGTCCTCTTGAAGAAAGAAAGAAAACAGAGAAGCCAAGGGAGGGATGGGAGGACGGCACGCCGCCACCACACAGGGATTTTAAGGAGAGGTGTGTGATGCGGTCCTCTTCCCAGCTCCGTCTTTATTTTTTCTCTGTAACGGCGCCGGTGCGAACCGCCCGCAGCCGCCGAGAGCGCGCTTTCGCGTCTCCATGGACCGTGGCGTCCGGCTGCTGAGACCGTCGGCAGCGTCCGCCGTCGCCGGCTTCGCGGCCGGCGCGCTCGCTGGCGCGGCTGTGCTTGCGCTCTGGCTGCGCCGGCTGCGCCGCAACCTGCCGCTCTTGCTCGAGCGGGCGAGGCACGAGCGGCTGCCTCCACTGGTCGTCCTCGTGCGGCACGGCGAGTCGCAGGGCAACGCAGACCACACGCTGTACCGCACCAAGCCGGACAACCTGATCGAGGTGACTGAGCTGGGCACCGAGCAGGCCGAGGCGGCCGGCCGTCGCATTCGCGGCATCGTCGGCAGCCGCCGCGCCCACCTCTTTGTGAGCCCTTTCCAGCGCACGCTCCAGACGGCGCGTTCGATTGAGCGCGCCTTTGATGCCGGCCAGATCGTGCGCACCTCCATCGACCCTCGGATCCGCGAGCAGGAGTTTGGCAACCTGCAGGAGCCAGGACCGCATCGGCGCGACCACGCGCTGCTGCGGCAGGAGCAGCAGATCGTCGGCCGCTTCTGGTCCGTCTTCGCCCCTCACACAGGGCGAAACCTGTCCACGGCGCCTCTGCACGCGCCGTGCGCCCTGAGCAGGTACCGCTTCCCGACCGGCGAGAGCGGCGCTGACGTGTACGACCGCGTCCGCACGTGGTGGGAGTCCGCGGTGCTGCGCGTCAACCAGCTGCCCTCCTCCGACACGGGCTGCGAGGCGGTGGTCGTGGTGACGCACGGCCTGACCATGCGGCTCATCCTGATGCAGCTCTACGGCTGGTCGCCAAAGACGTTCCACACGGCAACTCCCGCCCCTCCCCGACGCCTCCCGACCACCCGCTGCAGCGCATTCTTCACGCCCCTGCCAGCACGTACACGCCGCCTGCCTCCACCCCCGACGACCCCAGGTGTGGAACGCGGGCAACTGCGACGTGTACGTGCTGCGCCGCCTCTCCTCCGCGGCGATGCGAGACCCGCACTCGCCCGGCCTGCGCGGGACGAGCTCGCCGTACGCCCTCGATGCCGACGTCGGCGACTCGCCGTGCTCGTCGATCGAGCTCGTGGTCGAGCTCAAGGGGGACGGCGCCAACCGCGCGCACACCTCCTCGCGCGGCAGGACGCACAGGCGCACCCTCACGCTGGAGAACTATCTTTCGGTGCCGCCGCCGCGGACGCTGCAGACGGAGGTCGTGCGCGGCATGATTGCGCAGCAGCACGGTCTGCCCGTCGACGACATAGTCAGCATCGACTTCGAGGCGGGGAGGGTGAGCAAGTTTCGATGAGACTCGAGATGTGTTAGGCTAGGGCGCGCGCGCCAGCTAAGGCTTGGACGACGCGCATGTGACGCGCATCTATCTATCTCTCTCTTCACGCCTATATAGCTCTCTGCCTCTCGGCCTGGGCCACCTCTGCTGTCCGGCCTACAGTGCGCTACGGAGCTACGGTCTCCGGCGCTCGCGCCCGGACCCCCGCGGGGGTTCGCTCGCATCTCGGCTCTTATCTTTCAAAACCCAGGCTTCGGCTCCTGTGGTTTCTCTCAACTCTCTCATTTTTGATGCTGCACATGTGGGAAACAATCAAAACTATCTCATCTCCTCGGTCAAGCTAAAGGGCCCTCGGCGACCGGCGGAGCGTCCCCTGCTTCCCGGAGCCGACGCGAGAGCACACACGACGCGTGTGCCCGAACGAGGCCCAACTGATAGTGGTGTACAGAGTCGTATCGTCGACCCTCTCGTGGCGGCGACGTGTCAAAAGAGCGACTTTGCGTCGTGCCGGAAGACCGTGAGATTCTGCGTGAAGCGGTCGCGGTTCTTGGCCTCGAGGCTGTTCTGCACGTCCGCCATCAGCCGCTCGAACGCGGCTGTCAGCTTCTGCTGCCGCTCGGGCGAGGCGGCCTGCTGCTGGACGATGGACGCCTTCCACGAGGCGAAGTAGGAGGGGTTGGAGAGGATGAGCGCGAGCAGCGGCCGCGAGAGCGACCACTGGTTGGCGCAGTCCTCAAAGACAATCATGTTGAGCAGCACGGCGAGCTGCGACGAAAAGAGCTCGGGCTCGCGAGAGAGGTGCGCGGCGAGCGCAGCCTTGACGGACGAGTCGCGGTCGTCCGTCGCGGCGGCAAAGTGGAAGGCGGCTAGGTGCTCGAGGGCAGCGGCGCACTGCGACGAGATTGCAACCTCGTGCGACTTGAGGCCGGCCTGCAGGCTGCTGCAGATGTGCTGGAGGACGGGCGTGTCCAGCTCGACCAGCGTCGCGGTGTGGTTGCGCATGAGCAGCTCCATCAGGGTGAAGTAGGCCTTGCAGACCTTGGTGTACGAGAGGATCTGCTCCGTCGGCAGAGAGAGGCACAGCTTGATGATCACCTGCCCACGGCGGCGAGAGGGGTGGCGGCGAACGGGGTGGCGGCGAGAGGGGTGGCGGCGAGGGGGGTGAGGGGGATGGGGAGGCAGGGCTGGGGGGCTGCGGTGATGGTGGTGGCGGTGGCGGTAGCGTGTGTTTGGGGCGGAGGCAGCCTCGAGGCAATCGGAGAGCGCGCGGTCGCCGTACAAGGCGAAGACCCCAAAGTTGACGTAGTTGCCGCTCAGCGCGCGCGTGAGGAGCACCATGCAGAGGCAGATCCCCTTGAGCCGCTGCGCGTACGGGTCGGCGCCGGCGGGCAGCTGGTGGTCGAGGATGCGCGAGCCGTAGGCAACGACGATGGCGGAGGCGTCGCGGAAGAGGAGGATACCGTTCGGCGAGGAGGAGTCGAAGGTGAGGCGCTGCGCCTTGTTGTAGACCAGCTCGGCGTACAGCTTGAGCAGCGGCGTCGTCACCTCGGGCATCGCGTAGTAGGTCATCGCGGCGCGCTGGAAGACGGGCGTGAAGGCGGGGTAGATCCACTCGAAGAAGAGCGTGTACGTGCGGCGCGAGGAGCACGCAGCGACGATGCCGCGCAGGTCGCGCAGCGCGCCGACGAGCGCGACGCAGACCTGCGAAACGTGGCCGAGGCGCGGGCGAGGCGTGGGCCGAGGCGCGGGCGAGGCGTGGGCCGAGGCGAGGGCGAGGCGAGGGCGGGAGGCGTGGCCGAGGGGCAGCCAAGGCCGTGCCGACCAGCGCGGCGCCTGGGGCGACGAGAACTGCTCGGGCGAGCTCTGCTCGCGCAGCTGCGTCATGAGCTCGGTGAAGGGCTTCATGAAGGCCTTGAAGGGGCCGGCCTGGTCGTCGGAGAAGAGGAGCTTGCAGAGGGTGCAGTAAAACGTGGTGCGCAGCCGCGAGTTTGCGGCGACGTCGAGGAAGGGGAACTCGGCCGAGGTGTGGTTGGCGAGGACGAGGTGCACCGCCTCGAGCTTGAGGAGCAGCTTGCCCGACGAGTAGCCGCCCGCGAGGTCCGCGAGGAGGGTCAGCGTCTTCTCGGTGATGTCGAGGCAGTCGGAGCGCCGCTTGAGGTTGGCGATGATCTTGTTCATCAGCACGGCGAGCACGGCGAGGTGGTCGCTCAGGTTGAGCCGCTCCTGCAGCACGGCGTAGATCTTCGAGACGGCGGTCGCCTGGTCGCCGACGTACACCTTGCGGAACTGCTGCATGAAGAAGAGGAGGGCGAGCTCGAGGTGCTGGTTGGAGCGGACCTCTCTCCGCAGCTGCACGTTGGCCGGCGCGTCGAGGAGCGAGAGCAGCTGCAGCACGATGCACGTGAGCTCGGCGTCGACGAGCTGCTGCGCCTCCGAGTTGGAGGAGGGGGTGAGGTGCGAGCCCAGCACCGTGCCGATGATGTAGACGAGCCACGCGAGCTCGCCCTCGCACTGCGAGAGGCGCGCGGCCACGTCCGCGTCCCTCGCCCGCTCGGTGGGCAGGGAGAGGAGCTGCGAGTAGAGCTTGGCGCACGGCTCGAAGAGGGAGAGGACGTAGGAGGAGGCCTGCTGCAGCTGGAAGCGGCAGAGCGAGGGGAGGGTGTCGAGCTGCTCGGTGAGCTGCTCCTCGTTGTCGAGGGGGTCGTCGGGCCCGCCGCCCGGCTCGCCCCCCTGCTGCTGCAGCGCACGGACCAGCTCCATGCGCGAGTGGATGAACGCGGTGATCACCTGCGGAGGAGGCGGCGAGGAGGCGGGCTCGCCGCGCCGCGGGCGGGGCGGGGCCTGCGCGGGCGGGTGCGCGTGTGCGCGTGCGCGTGCGCGGGGCTGCCTGCCTCAGTCGAGTGCCTAGGAAGTGTCTAGGAAGTGCGCGGGGCTGCCTGCCTCAGTCGAGTGCCTAGGAAGTGTCTAGGAAGTGCGCGGGGCTGCCTGCCTCAGTCGAGTGCCTAGGAAGTGTCTAGGAAGTGCGCGGGGCTGCCTGCCTCAGTCGAGTGCCTAGGAAGTGTCTAGGAAGTGCGCGGGGCTGCCTGCCTCAGTCGAGTGCCTAGGAAGTGTCTAGGAAGTGCGCGGGGCTGCCTGCGGCACGTACGAGTCGAGCTGCGAGGGGACGTCGCCCTTGAGGTACGGCATCGAGGCGACGAGCCGCGACCAGAGCGAGAGGAGGTAGTAGACCGAGTTAGCCGCCCACTGCCAGTGCTTGAACGAGTCGATCGTGAAGGTGGCCACCTAAATAAACAAACCAGCACATTGCTGATTGACCGATGAGTGAGTTCATTGTCGATCGTGAAGGTGGCCACCATCGAGATCCACTCGCGGTAGCAGTCCGCCTGCACGAGCTCCGACAGCTGGTAGTTCGCCTTGAGCCGCGCGAGCAGCCGGCAGAGCTCGTGGTAGTTTTCGTGCTCTGTCAGCCCGTGCTGGCTCTGCAGCAGGTGCAGCGTGCCGCGCAGCAGCCGGCCGAGGAAGGCCTGCGGCGAGGCGAGCGCGGCGAGGCGAAGCGAGCGTGTGGCGGGCGCGCGGAGCGGCCAAGGGGGTGCGGGAAGCGAGCGGGCAGGGGGTGCGCGTGGGGGTACGCGTGGAGGCTGCGGGTGGGGGGCGCGGGCGGGAGTGCGGGTGAAGCGGGCGTGGGCGGCGGATCCGGGGGACCCGTGGCGTGGGTGCGCCTGCCGGTGGCTGTCTGCCTTTGAGGGTGGCGGTGTCTCGGCTGCATCTCGGCTGCATCTCGGGACGCATCTCGGCTGCATCTAGGCTGCATCTCGGCTGCATCTCGGGCCGCATCTCGGCCGCATCTCGGGGCGCAGTTCGCCTGCCGCTCGTCGTCGGACGAGAAGAGGGAGCGGCGCAGAGAGGCAAGGAGGACGAGCACCTCGAGCGCCTTGGAGGAGATGGGCGCGGAGGAGGCGGCGTAGATGTCGAAGAAGAGCTGCATCGTCGCCGCCTCCTCCATCACCGAGCGCCACGAGGACGGAACCTGCGGCGCAAGGAGAGAGAAGGAGAGAGAAGGGGGAGGGGGGGGGGGGGAGGAGGAGGCTGGGGCGCGGTGGGGCGCGAACCGGCTCTGAAGGCGGGAGGTGTGGGGTCGGTCGGCGGGCGCCTGGACGGTGCCCATCTCCTCGGACGCCTCGTCGAGCGTGGTCCCGATGAAGTCGAAGCCGAGGCACGACAGGCAGAGCGAGAGCGACTGCTCTCGGATGCGGGGCTCCTCGTCGCCAGAGCAGGGGATGGCGCCTGCCAGACAAGGTAGCCAAAGAGTGGCGAGAGGGGCACCGCCGACCCGCGGTGCGACCGGCCGGGCGCGGCGCCGGTCGAGAGCTGCTGGAGCGTGCGGAGCCCAATCTGCAAGATCTGGAAGAGAGCCGTGTCGCGAAACGAGGCCGAGACCTTGCGCTGCTGCGTGAGGGAGCGAGTGTTGCCCGCCATGTTCATCTCGGCGACGAGCTGCTGGAGCAGCTGCGGCGGAGGCGGCGGAGGCGGCGGGTCAGGCGCGGCACCGGCGACGCGCGGCGCGGCGCGGCGGCTCGGTGCGTGCGGCGACGCCTGCAGGCCGAGCACGAGGTGCCCCGTCGTGGCGTGCAGAAACTTGGAAACCTCCTGCACGATCGCCTTGTGCTCCTCCCCCGACGACCAGCCGAGCTTGGTGACGGTGGCGACGATCTGCACCAGGTTGCTCGACACGAAGGGCTCGATGGACGTGCCGCGTTGCGCGAGGTACGAGAGCGTGTAGTTTCGAAAGTCCAGCTGCTGCGACGGGGTCAGGTGGTTCCACGACTGCACGAGCAGCTTCTTCAGGGCGTTGGCCGCGACGAGCTGCGCGTAGGCGTACTTTGAGTGGTCCAGCACGAACTGGCACTGCGGCAGGTATTCGGGGGTGCTCGACAGCTGCACGAGGGCAGCCTCCGCCGCCGACCGCTCGGCCGCATCCGGGGAGGTGTAGAGCGTGGCGCAATATTGCTCAAACTGCTTCAGCTGTTCGCGGGGCGCGGCGGCAGCCGGGGTCAGCGCGGAGCGGGCGGTCTCGCGGCCGGCGGGCGGTGGGCGGCTCTGACCTGGTTCATCGCATGTGTCGATCGCAGGGCAGTCACCTCACGGCGGGGCTTTTCGTCATTCTTTTTCGCACTACTGGGCTTTCTTTTTCGTCACTCTTCCGCCACTGGAGTCCCCTGCGCGGGCCCCGCCCCCAGCCTGGCGGCGGGGCCCTTGCGAAGGAGCGACTGGCAGAGCTGTACAGCACGCGGACGGACGATGGACAACGAAGCATTAGTTAGTAGTCTACTGACCGCCCGACCATGGCGGCTCAAGTCAATTATTAATATTGCTGGTGTCCGCCGTGCCAGGCGCCGTTCCACTTCAGCGCCGCCGGTCTGGCGCGGTTTCCTATTTGCAGTTATTGCACGCCGCGCCGCCGTCGGGCGAACGAACTTATCGGCGGCAGCAACTTACATGAGCGCCATTTTGTACTGAGCCCTGGCTGTCAGGCTGTCAGGTGCTGTCAGGTGATCTGTCTGGCTGTCGGGCACTGTCAGGCACTGTCAGGTGCCTCTGTCAGACCAGCTGTCAGGTGCTGTCAGTGCTGTCGGGTGCTGTCGGGTGCTTGTCTGTGACAGGCGAGGTGCTCTGGTGCTGTCGGGTGCTGTCGGAGCTGTCGGGTGTTGGCTGTTGCTGTCAGACGCTGTCGGAGCTGTCAGAGCTGTCAGGCTGCTGCTGCTGTCAGACGTAGGGCCGGTACTGTCAGGTCTGTCAGGTGGTGCTGTTGGGGTGCTGTCAGGCTCAGGGCTGGTGGACTAACGTTAGCACACCTCAGGGGGAGCACTGACTACAGATCGTGCCAACACTTGGCGCAAAGGTCGGTGTTAGCAAGTTTCGCCCTGATCTCGGTCCAAGACGGCCAACGCCGTGTCCGGCACCTGCTGGCTGCTTCACGGGGATGCCCCCCCCGGACACATGCTGCAGCCCCGAGTGGATGTATTGGTCGTTTGTGGGTCCCACAAGACTACTCTAGTAGGGGCCGGGCGCTGGAGCGTCGGCGGTACACCTGTGCAGATGTTGCACGGGTGAAATGGCTCCTCGTACAGGGTAGGAGGCAGGTGGTGGGTTTGAGTGTTGTGAGTGCTTGCAGCTGCGAGTGCAGCACCGTTTGTGACTCCCATGGATACAGTTGGGTGGGCCACGGTGCTGGGGGGCGGTCCGGTGCGCCACAACAGCCTCCCCGGCTGACCCCCATCCAGTTCGGCACCTCCATCCTGACCGTGGAACCCCAACCTCAACCGGTCATATCTCGGGCGGACTGGCACCTCAGGAGCTCATCCTGGGCGGTTTGGGGGAGTCTTGGGGGTGTACTTGAAGGTGGTAAACAGAGTTTTGCACCGCAGCTTAACCGAGGGGCGTGCTGAGCACCGTGAACGAACAGCGGACCACAGCTTATTCCCAGAAAGAAAGAAAACAGGCAACCCAACGGAGGGATGGGAGGACGGTACGCCGCCACCACACAGGGATTTTAGGGGAGAAGTGTGGTGTTAGCCGTCGCCCACCCTCGGGCGTCTACCACTTCCTATCTCTCTCCGCAGTTTCTCACCAATTCTCGCAGCGACCTTCATGCCTCCTCGCGTTCTTCCCACTCTCGTCGTTCTCTCTCCTGCTGTCTCTTCCCCTGACTCATCGCTCTCCTCGGCCTCGTTCTGAGACGCCGCTGTCGTCTGCCGATCTCTTGCTCTCGCTGCTTCTCTCGCCTTTCTGTGTAACTCCGCCCTCCTCGCGGCATAATTTGGCCCCTCGAGTTTATCGAGCTCCCCTCGCGCAAGGACCACATTTCTGACTCCCACTGCGAGCATATCCCGCCCTGTCATGTCGTTGCTCAGGTCCACTCTCGTTTCGAGCACTTGTACCTCAACTGTCGGTGTTGGCACTGGGGTTCCCTTCGGGTATATCGTGACAGCTGACGGCGGGATTTCCACTGGTGTTTCGTCCTCCTCGGGGTCGTCTTCCCCAGCTTCCTTGCGTTCGGCGTGGCTTACCCTCCATGCCGTGAACAGGCGCTTTATCCACTCTATATTCTTCTCTCGTTCCTCTGCCCGTGCCTTGGTCTTGTCGTTGTTTCGCACCCATGTCTGTATGGCAATCGAAGCTGCCTTCCCCACTACCTGTAGTTCACTCGTCACCTCTCCTGCTAGCTCCTCTCTCTTTCTTTCGGTTATGGTGTCCGTGAGTGCGGGCAGCGTGCAGGCAATCACGGGCGCTATTTTGTCGTACTCCCCTTCGGCGAGCGCTCCGAATCTAGACCCCATTGCCTTTAAGGAGGCTGCCCTCGCGCGTCTCAGGAATGTAGCGGTGTCTTTTGAGTCCGGCGCCGCCCGTTCGACTATTGCTGTCGCCCTCGCCGTGTGTTTGTCTAGCTTCCGCATGAAGTGACGCGCCTCTTCCTTATTTCCAGCGCAGCTGCCGCTCAGTATGTGCGCCAACGACGCCTGTGGTGGCTCACTGTCTTCTTGTTTCCAGTCGTCCCAGTCTCTCAGTTCTCCGATTCTCCTCTTGCCTCGCGCGCCTCGTGCCCTCATTCTTTTCCTCTAGTACGATTGAATTTGGCTAATTTTTTGAAAGCTGAAAAATGCTGCACGCCGTCGCTGCGCTCTCCAACTCCACGAGCCTGGCCTCACAAGTCGGCAGCCGACTTGAGCTGTGCAGGGGCAGCCGCTGCTCGTCCGCCGCTCTCGCCGACAGCTCGCTGTGCGGGGCTCACAGCGGCGGCGGCTGCTACCTGCTGTCGCAGAGCTCGCTCCTCGGCTCGGTGCGCTCTCTCGATCTGCTTGGCTTCGCACCCGCGGCCGGCCACCGTGAGCCGCCGCAGCTGCCAAGCTTCTCGCTGGGCTTTGGCTTCCTGCACCCAGACTGCTGGCGGCATGTGCGCGTGCGCTGGAGGCGATCGCGGCCCCTTCTTGAGGCCGAGCCGGCGCTCACGCGCGCGGCGACGCAAGAGTGGGCCCATCCCCGTGCATCGCGAGGCTTGCGCGTCATCGTCGACGCGCGATGCATGCCCTTCCTTCTCGACGGCAGCGTCGGGCCCCGCGCGCTCGCCAAAGACGGCGTGCGTCGAGAGGCCGTCGTCGTCACCGTCGTCGAGCCGAGCGGCCGAGAGCGGCGCGCCCATGTCGTCCAGCGCGTCGTCGTGTCGCCCGATGCTGCCGCCGCCCTCCTCGCCGCGCGCCGCGCGCACGCCGCCGCCGTCAGCCCGCTGCTCCAGACGCCAGAGGAGGCTGGCGAGGGCGAGGGCGGCGCTGCGGACGGGGGCAGCGCCACCTCATCGCTGCTTGCGGAGCTGCGAGAGCGTTCGGAGGCGCGACAGCGGCGCCGGCTGACGGCGTGGCGGCTGATTGCGCTCAACTGCGCCGTGCTCGCGCTGAACGGGCTGATCGCCGTGCGCGGTGTCGCGCTCTGGGCGCTGCTGCAGCGACTGCGCGTGGAGGAGTGGATCCACCGCGCGCGGCCGCACGTGGGAACCACGCTGCAGGCGATGCGCGTCCTCAACTGGGTGACGCTGCCCGTGCGCTGGCCGCTCGCGCGTCTGCCGCGCCCCGGCCGCTGATGGCGAGGACCGAGGTTCGTCCAAGTCGCTACCCCCACCCGGGATCTCCGTTATCTTTTATACTAAAGAACCATAAAGCCGTATGGACTATGCACCACTATGGTTACTGTATCATCGTGGTTTGTATATACGCCCAGAGGTCTCTCGCTCTCGGTGTTCTGAATGCATGTTATACGACCTTCGTGGTAAGATTAGTGAATCGTACATTCATTTACGTGGGGTCGTATCGTCTCGCTGCCAAGTGCCATTGCCCGCGACCGCCTCTGCGGCCCTCCGTGCGCACTCCACGAGCGTGCGGAGCGGGACGCCACTCGCCACAGAGAGCCGATCCTCCCCGCCGCCGCTCGTGGCTGCGAGCTCTGCGACGGTCGCGACGCCCGCAGCGCGGAGCGCCTTGGATCGGCTCGGCCCGATGCCCGGCAGCTGCAGCACATCATCCGTCGGGAGTGGGCTCGAGTCACCTGGCCGCTCTCTTCTGACCCGAGGCGGCGGCGGCGGCGGCAGCGGTGGCGGCGTCTGCCGCCGCGGCGGCGGCGATGGCGGGCTGGCTGCCACGGCAGAGGTATCCGCCTCGCCCCCCCCTTCCCTCTCGCGCCGCGCCGCCTCCCGCACCGACCAGTCATCGATAGCGACCGCGAGGGACGACCGCGACAGCCGCTCCTCCTCGACAGCCCCGTCGACCAGCCGCTGGTTCTTCGCCGCCCACCTCGCCTGCCTGCGTGCAGCGAGGTCGGCCGCCTCCGCCGCCTCCGCCTCCGCCTCCGCCTCCTCCCGCCTCCTCTCCTCCTCCTCCGCTGCCGCCCTGCTCTGCCACTGCGCGACGCAGCGCCGCAAGACCCACTCGGCCAACGCATCGCCGCTGATCCGCGCGACGCTGCCGCCGCGAGCCGCCGCCTCCACGCGCGCAGAGTCGGCAGCGAGGCCGAGCTGCCGCAAGGCAGACCTCACCTCCTCCTGCAGCGAGGCGCGGAGCCGCGCGGCCGCCTCGTCGCTCGCCGGTGCGGAGGCGGCGAGGACGGGTCTCCAGAAGGACGCCGCCTCCGCCTCCACCTCCGCCTCCACCTCCTCTGCCGCCGCCGCCTCAGCAGCCCTCTCTGCCGCCGCTGCCGCCGCCTCCGCCTCCGCCGCCTCAGCAGCCCTCTCTGCCGCCGCTGCCGCCGCCTCCGCCTCCGCCGCAGCCTCTCTCTCTGCGCCTGCAGCCCTCTCCGAGCCCGCCTCCAGCTCCGCTTCCAGCTGCAGCGCCACTCCCTTGTCGCACCCGACGGCCACCAGGGGCCCAGCGACCATCTGAGCCTAGAGGGGCAATGCTCGAGGCGGCGGTGAGAGAGTGACCCGACCCGTCTCCCAATCTCTCCCGCTTTGCGCGCCTCGCACAGCGCCTCGGCTGCGGCGGCGGCGAGGGCACCGCACGCCGCAGGCGGCCACCGCACACGCAGCTGGAAGCCATCGCCCGCGCTGCTGCCGCTCGCCAGTTTAGCCGCAAGCTCCGACGCGAGCGGAGC